GGCTGTGCCTGACCGTGCCTGGAATTACTCGGCGTTGCAGTATTAGGGAAAAGTCTGTAGCGGAATATAGTAACGCCCGTTGGTGAACTGTCAATCTTCCGCACACGAGAGGCGCACACGCGGGCTGAGGAGCTCGCGGCTCTTCACAGCCGACCGCCGCCGCCCGCGTACCGAGGCAGCGCAATGCTCGAGTTCGTGGCGAACACCGCCGAGCTGGCAGACTGCACCACATTCACCGTCACGCTAAAGGGAGAAGCGCTCGCATGCGGGGCCGGAGCGCGGGAAGTCGTCCTGCTTCACCTCGACTCTGGCCGTGTGGAACGGTGGGCGCACGGCCTTACGTCTCCGCGACTCTTCTCCGTCGCCTGTGATGGGCGGTACGTCGTGCTCGTGTGCGACATGGAGGCTCACATATTCACTCGTAACGGGGTGAGGGTCGCCTCCTTCCCAGACGAAACGGAGCCGCTGGGAGACCTCGTCTGCGAGATCGGGTGGCCGTGGCCGTACGCGTTCAAATGCGAGCGGCGCCCCGAACGCTCGCGCGACCCAGCCGGTCCTCGGGCGCCGCCCGAGTTCGAGCACGCCGAGACGAGTATGCGCTGCGTCGTCGCGTACCGCCCCCAAAGCAAGAAGTACGCTCAGCTCACGGGAGAGTTTGAGCGGTGGGGCTTCAAGCCAATGTTCCGAGGGTGAGTTGATAGAGGTGTGGCACGAACTGACAGGCAGGGCGGGATTCGGACAGCACGATCTCGTGCTCTGGGGTGCGAGCGGGTGGGCCCTCGTCGTGCAGAACTACCGCGCCCTGTTCCGTTCCCTCACGGAGGTGGATGAGAGCGAGCGCGCCAGCTACATCCGCGAGCGGACCGTAGCGCTCTGCGAGCCGGAGCGTCTGGACTGTTTGGTCGTTAACGGCCAGCGAATCCTGGGCGCGCGCGCAGCCGTGAGTCTTCCCCGCTGAACCTATCTCAGTATCAGCTGACAGCAGGGCACGATGTGGTCCTTTGACCTCTCCACACTCCCACAGCTTCCCTGCAAGCTCGACCCTCTCCCCCTTCCCCCACTCCCAGAGGGCCACGCTGTGCTCCTCGACATGACGCTGACGCCGGAACACCGCGGCGTCTGGGCGGGCGAGTACACAAACTACGACATCTCGTGCCTCGCCCAAATGTCTGCGCGCAGCTCCGTCGCGCTAGATGCTCGCGCAGCGTACATGTTAGACTGGGACAAGGGCTTCCCCGGCGGCGCGAGTGTGGAGTACGAGCAGCTCTTCAACGGCGAGCTCGAGAGCGGAACGTGGCCGTGGCCCACCCGGCCTGCATTCGGGCACGTCAAGATCTGGACGCATCGCCCGCACGCGGCCGTGCTCTGGACGCCGCACTCAAGGTGTCTCGGCGCCATCATGGGTAATGGGGTTTGCGGATGCGGGCGGCGGCACGGGGACGAGTGGGGGTGGGGCAGTGATGGGGAGGATGATGAGGATGAGGAAGAGGAAGAGGAGCAAGAGACGGATTGGCAGAACGCCCTCTGGGGCTTGGGGTATATGTTTGATCCGGAAGATGAGGATGAGGGGCTGGACGGCCTCGTGCAGCTGTTCATGGAGGAGACTGATGATGGGCCAGACGGACTGGACGGGGTCGTGGATGTGCTCCTCGAGCTGGATCTGTCGGAGGACGAGCTGGGAGTTGACTCGGCGAGCGAAGCGGGAGTCTACGCGGCGAGTCTGGACTAGAACGCCATCTGTAGACTTACCGCGAAGCGCAGAGTACATCGCGAAATCTTACGTATCAATCATAATGCACAGTGATTCATAACATACAACTGATCGGATACAGTCGACTTAAGCACGGGTTTTATCTACTCCTCACGCTCAATCTTGACGCCCGCCCCGCCGAAGCTGAGGCGCGTCTGTCCCCCGGTACCTTCCTCGAGGTACCCTCTCTTGTAAATCTCGGCCGCCTTGGCCGCCTCGAGCAGCTTGACCTCGGCCATGACGTTCTGCTGGATGCACTGCGCGAGCTGGTTCAGGCGGCTCTTGAGCAGGGGAGATGTGCCGGGCTCGTCGCGGACCTTGTTTGCTGCGTATTTGAGTGCGAGGAAGAGCGAGATGGGGTCCTCGTTCTCGCTACTCTCCAACCCGGGGCTTGGGCGTTCCGACTTCACCTTCACGAGGGCCGAGCTCGCGCGCGACTCGTCGTGCAGCGACACAGACGTGGCGCGGGATGATTCGATGGGTGTCTCGGGAACACACACGCCGGGGCTGAGCTTCAGACCGAGGCCGAGACTCTCCTCTGCCTCCTCTGTGTCAGCAAGCTCTTCGGAGCGGCGCTGCTTCTCATCCCACCACCGCTTCACCAGCGCATAGGTGTCGCCTGCGGCCGATGACCAAAGGGAGAGCTGATCGAGAAGGCGGTAGTAGTCCGACTCTGCCCCCCGCAAACCCGATAGGATCAAGTCCATACCAGAGTGGAGGTCGGTCATGTTGGGGTGGCTTTCGCGGCGCGGTGAGAAATCACACTCCTGGCCATCAGAACGCAGAAGGAGAGCAAGAGCTGTCCAACGTGCCATAGTGCGGACACTCTCAGATCCCTGTCCGAAGATGCAGATTGCACGCGCTTGAACCACGAGCGGCAGCTCCGCCAGGTCTTCAACGAGTGCGGACAGAAGTGTTGGCCTCGATTCGGCGGACTCAATCACCGTAGCTAGGTCTTCGATGGTGTCGGTAATGCTCGAGCGCGTGGCCGAGGATGTAGAGGGATCGACCGCCAGGACAGCCAGCTTCCGAATCAAACCCACAACGTCTTGACCAGGAAGTACATTGGCGGAAGCCAGGGCTCGCGCGATCTGGCAGATGACAGCGGTCGCAGCCTCTCGAGTCTGCCCAACAGCGCGGGACGCGTTGTGATCGTCTGTGGCGCCCAGCTCATTCCAAGCGCGGGCAGCCAGGTCGAGGAAACTGCAGTCAGATCCTTGGAAAGGATCAGTTTCGAGCGAGGGCAGGGCGTTGACGACGTCGGTGGTAGCGAGCATCGTCAGACTGTCCTGCGTCGAGGCCAGAGCTACCTGGCACAACCAGCGGAGAGCACCACCGTCGCTTTGCGCCAAATCACGTACAGCCCCGGATAACAAAGCCTCGTAAATGTCCTCCTCCACATCGCCGAGTTGCGGCCATTCGAATGGAGCAGGCGGGAAGGTAACAGTACTACCTTCCTTCCGCTCCGCCAACGATTCGTACTTCCAGAAGGTGGGTCGGCTCAGATCGGCATGTCGTTGTTGACGTTTGGCAGCATCGGTCGGGTCATCTTGAGTTCTCGTGCAATCGGCGATCGCATCCCGGTCCTCACCATCAAGGAAGGAGAGGTCCAGCGCGGACCCAGTACCGCTAGCGTCATCGCCTTGCTCAAGGCGAGCAGCCATGTCTGCCGCCCTGAAGAAAGCATCGTGGTCGATCTTCTTCTTCCCCTTCCGGTAGAGGGCATTCATTTCACGATCCGCCGCCAACTCTTCCTCCGTGAGCGCCTTAGCCGCGTTGATGATATGCTGCTGAGCCTTCTCTTCCAGCATACCCCGGATGCGCCTGCTTCGCCTCTCAGGCTGGGAGTGCTGAGACGACCGGTCCCTAGATGTCAGTAAAGCATTCTAAGAGCAACGCTAAACACGTACTCAAGCACTTGCGAGAGGTGCAGCTCGTCCTCGCTGTCACTGGGCGTGGCAGCCTCATAGTCGCGGATCTTCTCAGCTGTTTTCGCTTCCAGACGACGGGCGTAGTCCTCAGCGGCTCGTTCGGCCGCTTCGCGTTGGGCCTGGGCGTCCTCCAGGACGCGGGTGGTCAAAGACTTCTGTGAGGACTGAGAGGGAGGGAGCTGTGGCTTTTGGCTGGCCAGCGGGGATAGCGAAGGACGCCTGACAAGAGGGGACGCGCTCATGCGCCCAATAGATGATCGCGAGGGCGTGCGGAGTAAGCCATTCCTCGGTGACTGGGCCGCCTGCTGAGATTGCGAGGGTGACCCTGGCCAATCTGCGTATTCTGCAAATTCAGCTAGCAGGTCTTCCTCTGGTTCAGGCGCTGGCGGAGGTGAGGGTGTCGGCGCAACCTCTGGTGCTGGTGTCTCGCATGGCTGCAGCGGCGATTCTTCTCGCTCTGGCGGTGGCGGTGTGCTGAGTGAGCTCTCGGAACTGCTGTCTGATGGCGGAGCAGGGCGAGTAGCCGGCTTTCGCTTCGGGGTTTTCTTCGTACTGCGAGGCGTAACCGTTATCTTCGTCACGGTCTTCCCCTTAGGCTGTCTTGGGGTATTATTTACGGGTGAGGCAGCCACGGCATTGCGCAGTCTGCTCGGTGACGACGACTTGCGGGCTGGAGTGCGCGTAGGCAAACCCGGAGATCCTCGCGTCGTCGGCCACTGATGGATCGGTGTATCCATCGTCGGAAGCTTGTACTTTCCGGGGACAGCAGCGACTCGTCGCGGTCGATTGGATGATGGAGGATCCGCTGGCACCGAGACGTCGCGCTTTTGAAGCTGTCGAACCTCGCGGCCAAACTTCGTCTTTGGGCTGGGACGATAGCTCTCTTCGTCTAACTCTTCAAACGCAGCCCGGCGCCTCTTCATGGCGGGGATAGGATCAATCTTCGGCGAGACGGTCGTCTCCTTGAGCTTGGCCAGCAGCTCCTTAGACCTGACCGGTAGCTCCGTAGGCTTGATCGGCGAAGGATCGATCCGCGGTTTAGCAGGGGAAGGCGTAGGTGTACGTGCGAGGGAGGCCAAAAGATCCGTCGGGCGTGGAGGCGTTTCTGGAACCAGCTCTAGACTGCCGCTTGCACTGATCTTGGGAGGTGGTAGAAAGGTGTTGCGCGCCCTCCGTTGAGGCGTGGCCGGAGCTCTAGTAACAGATCGGGCACGCTGAGAGTCTCGCGGCTGCGCGTTATCGGCGCACCGGTCTGGTTGGGAAGATCTCACAGCTGGCGTCGGACTCTTCAGCCGCTTGCTAAAGGACTCCCCGATACCGGTCCTTGGTCGGGCAGGCGATACTTGAGGAGATAAGGAAGGCGAAAGGGATGGCGAGACTCGAAGCCAGTCTAATAATCCGTCGTCAGCTCCGGAGGTCGATTTGCCCTTGCGAGGAGAAGGCAGCTCAACCGGAGCATCTGAGAAACTGGTGGCGCTTCTAACTCGAGTGAACAGGCGCTGTGACGCGGATGCTGTAGGTGGACGGGACGGTTGTCGGGACACTTGTCGTTTTCGAGGGGTGGCGACGACGGGCACCTCATCCTCAGATGAGGTTGGATCGAGGTCGATGGCATTAGCACGGGACGTTCCCCTAAGAGGTTCCTTGCTGATCTGTTTCGATAGTCGTGAGGGCCCCGCGCTGGACATTGGCGGGTCCCTCGAGAGGAACTGTGACAGTTTACTCTGCCCGTCGAGAAGTTTCGGCGTCTTGCGTCGTTGCTTGGTCGTTGGTGTATAGTCCTTGCCGTTAATAAGGGTTTCGTCCAAGACCATCCTCTTCTTTCCTTTGGAGGTGGAGGAAGACAATTTGGACGCCGACGAAGACTTGGCCAGTCTATTTTGTGACGGCGGTTGACTCAACCGCGACATCCTGGATGAGGGTCCAGCGTGCTGCGAGGCGTAGTCGATTGGCGTCCCAGCTCTTTGCGATTTAAAGTTCCCCGCCACAATATCGTCAAGTGTCGGTAGTTCGTCGCTGCTGATAGACAGAGCGGTGACTGATACGGCGTCGGAGTCACTCGATAAGGAGATGGCGTCTAGTTGAGTAGCTCCAAGTTTGACGCGTCCGGACATTGCCGCCACCGCTCAGAGATAGGTGCTGCCGGACGCGGACCGCATTCGGAGTGCACTTTACGGAACTGAATGAAAGGGAGAGCGATATGGGCGACTGCCCATGGGATATGTTCCACGTTTGCGTCGCTGTCGGTCGCTATCGGTGTAGTAGTGTGTGTCACCGACGCGTTCACCATAGTGCACCACAGTCATGTAGCGGCTCGTCCGAACTCTTTCCTCTCGTCTATTACGTAAGAGACGCAGTTCTGTAAACAAAGTCGGTCGAAGTACTCGCGTGCGATTGATTCCGTCATCCTTGCTCGACATGATGCCCATTTATCACGTGACTTGAGAGATCAGGTACGTGCTGACGACGAAAGGCGATCGGCTCGAAGGCTGAGACGAAGGCACGAAGGCGGCTTTTCAATGTGGGTCGCCCATTGGACGGGATGGCTTGCTCGGTGGCCAGGTCCGGGAGAGTCCAGGCGGTGGGTATCCACGAGTCTGCGTTTGGCTCGTTTGGCCGTTTGCCGGGGCGCATACGTCATAAACGGCGCGCCAGCGTACCAGGACGCTCCAGGCGGCAGGGCCTGCACCAGGGTCATGCTTTCGCGAAGGAAAAGTGACGTTGTTTGTCAGGCTCTGGCGCTCTATGACACCTGCATGGTGCTCTGAATCCGACCCCCCCCCCGCCGCCCCAATCCCATCACCCAGCCAGGCAAGCCAGCCGACAAGGACGCACCCACCCATACGGGACACAGGACAGGACTCCGAGAGAGGAGCGCGACAGCTCAACAGGATCACCCACCCATCCCTCCTCCGCTCGTAGTGCGCGTCCTCCTCCGGCATCGTTAACATCCGTCTTTTCACATCTTTCTCCCATCTTCTCAACCGACATCTTCTTCCTTCCCTTCTTGTCGTGCACACCACACTACACACCATGTCCTACGCTAAGGCCACCAAGTCCCACAGTGAGTGGCGTCGACCCTGCTAGCCCTAATACGCCCCGTGCGATCCAAGTCCCTCGCCATCCAATGTGGCGGCAACCACTCACTTGCGGATCCCACTCGAGCTCGGGCGCAGGCGTCGTCCATGGCTCATCAAGCGTTCAATGTTGCTGACTCGTACCTAGTCCCCGAGGGCGAGATGCCTGAGCCCAGCCAGGAGCTCCTCGACGGCTCCACCTCCTCCCTTGACGATGCCGGCAACGAGGCCGCCGGAGTGAGTAACCTTTTTTCTATTGCTTTTACACGGCTCCATCAGCTGACCTTGACAGATCCAGGTCGTCGAGCACGACTCTAAGGAGGCCCAGGCTATCGAGCAGGCCAGGGCTGAGGAGGAGAAGGAGGCCGAGAGGCTGGTGAAGGAGGAGTACAAGGCTGCCGTCAAGGAGAACAAGAAGGAGGCTAAGCAGGAGAAGGCGGAGAAGGCGGCTGAGAAGGCGGAGCAGAAGAAGGAGGCCAAGCAGCACAAGCAGGAGCAGCAGAAGCAGGAGGCCCAGAAGGAGGCTCAGAAGGAGGCTAAGCAGGCCCAGCAGGCTAAGGAGGAGCAGAAGAAGCAGCTCGAGAAGGAGGTCGAGCAGGCGAAGAAGAACGTTCAGCAGGCTTCCGGCAAGGCCAGGGCCACCCTTGCAGAGGACCAGGCCGCTGAGGCCGAGATCAAGGAGCTTACTGCCGCCGAGAAGCTCGCTGCTGAGGACGTCAAGGGCAGCCTGAGGAAGGCCAAGCAGGACGTTGACGCGACCACCAAGTCGTCGAAGCCCGTTGACAAGAACTTCGGCAAGCAGGTCGAGTCGGACGCCAAGGCTGCCGCTGAGCAGGCCAAGAAGGACGCCAGCAAGGCCGCCCAGCAGGTCGGCGAGACCTACGACAAGGTCAAGAAGGACGCCGACAAGGCCGCGAAGGAGCTCGGCGAGAAGTACGACGCCGCTAAGAAGGACGCCAAGAAGCAGCTCGACAACGCCGCCGACCAGGCCGGTAAGGCTTACAACGCCGCCGCCGACCAGGCTGGCAAGGCTTACAACGCCGCCAAGCAGGATGCCGAGAGCAAGTACAACGCTGCTGCCGAGGTCGCCGAGAGGACCTACAACTCTGCCGCCGAGTCTGCTCGCGAGACCTACGAGGATGTTTCCGAGGCCACCAAGAAGGCCACCGCCGAGGCCCAGAAGCAGCTTGACGCTTCGGCCAAGGAGGCTAAGCGCAAGTACAAGGAGTACAAGAAGAAGGCTCAGCAGGAGTGGGACGAGGCCGAGAATGCCTTTGCTGCCTACTGGGAGAAGGGCAAGGACGTTGTTCTCCGCCCCAGCACCCTCGGTGGTCTCCTCGGTATTGGTGAGTGGCTGACATCATGCAAATTCCCGGCTAACATCAGTGAACGTCGGTCTCCTCGGTGGTCTCGGATACACCGCCTACAAGAACAAGGACAACCGCCCTTGGGACCCCCAGGTTGTTGGTGGCGCCATCGCTGGAACTCTTGCTCTTTTCGGTGCTGAGGGCTATCTCGCCGAGTCGTACCTTGAGACTGAGGAGGGTCGCGCGGAGGCCGAGCGCGCTAAGCGCGAGGGCTCCAGGCTCTACCTCGAGGCTAAGAAGCGCATCCTGCGCCCCGACGTTGCCGGCGGCATCATGGGTCTTGGTGAGTATACGCACTGTCTCATGAACGAAGCTAACGAGTAGTGAACCTTACCATCCTTGCCTCGCTCGGATACGTCTCTTACAAGAACTGGAACCAGCCGTGGGACCGCCGTGTCGTTGCCGGTGTCGCCGCCGGTCTCTTCGCCCTTACCAACGTCGAGGGGTGAGTAATCTGAACTCAGCATTGCATGAACATTACTGACAGCGCCAGATACGTCGCTGAGCAGACCCTCGAGCGTGAGAAGAGGCGCCCTTAAGTGCGCGATTGCGACGATCTTGTTGTGATCTTAGGTTTTGAGAACGAGTATCGAGTGTCATACATAGCTAGCAAACACCATTCATTACACGCTTTTATTCATGCGTTTGTTGTCTTCTGTAGGCTGAGTGAACTCGGCGGATAGACATGCAGTACCCACCAAATTGTGCCGACCATCAGGTCGCGAGTTTCAGACTGAACTAGACCACCCGGAGTGACAAGTGACAGAGTGACCGGAATGACCGGAGTGCGGCATCCGCGGGCCGCACATATCACGGTTGCGCATGCATGCATTGTGCAAGGTCCGCCTGATCACGCATCATGCTGCTTCGATTAGCAGGGCTTGAACGTGGTACGCATACGCACGAGTTGCTTTGCAGAGATCGAGGGCCCTCCAGGCCCACAGCTCGTTGGCTGGGCGGCGAACTTTGCCACCGGGTCAGGACGCGCCCAAGTCGACCCAACCCTGGGCTACCGCGTAGAGCTACCCCGCGTCCCAGTGCGGGGTAAGACACGCGCCATGGGTTTACCGGTACTCCGCACGAGCCACCACATCACTTCCTCACTATCCTCATCTCGGTCCTCTCAGTCCCTACTCAGCTACGCTATCTTGGTCCCGGCTTCTTGTCTTTGCTCCATCTCTCTTTACCTCACGACAAACCAACAGCCCCCGGGCCACTCAGCATCATGTCCGGGGGAGGAAACATCAAGGTCGTCGTACGGTACGTCATCACAACAATCTTTGCAACCTTAGTCCGGTCGAACTTTTCCGCTGACTGAGCCAGATGTCGTCCGCTCAACTCGAGAGGTGCGTCCGAGGACCCCGATAAGCTTCCTCTACCCCAACAGCTGACCTCCAGAGCTCGCCCGCGGAGCCAAGCCCCTCATCCGCATGGAGGGCAACCGGACGATCCTTGACCCACCAGAAGCGCCGACGTCCGGCAGAGGAGTAGCGAAGACGCCGCAAGTGTTCTCATTTGGTGAGACAGTGCGTTTTGCCCACCTGACACGGCAGACAAGTCATATTGGTCGGCAGGAGCAAGAACCGACCCCGACTATGCGTCACAGGAGACGCTGTTCCAGGACCTCGGCGTGGACCTGCTGAACCACTCGTTCGAGGGCTTCAACACTTGTATCTTTGCCTGTGAGTTCAGGCCAGATCGAGCGGGCAGCGGCCGAGCGGAGAAGGCTGAAGCTAACGAATGCAGACGGACAGACGGGAAGGTAAGCAGGGACGGTGGGAACCGCATGGGAGACCGTCAATGCTGACACGGGCGTCCCAAACAGTGGAAAGAGTTGTAAGTACGAGCCCGGACAAGCCCAGAGCTTTGGGCAGAACTACCGCATACGAACACCGGCTAACATCTTGCACAGACTCGATGATGGGATGTGCGTAATAGGTCTTTGCGCATAGTGACGCAATGGCTCTCGCCCAAACAAGCATTGTGCTCGTGTTGGCGGGAGCGGATGCTGCGGCACTTGCTGATGCCACAGACGGAGCCGATAAGGGTATCACGCCTCTCACCACCTCGGAGCTGTTCCGACGCGTCGAAGAGCAGGCTGCAAAGGACTCGAACCTGTCGTTTTCGGTTGAGGTGTCGTACATTGAGATCTACAATGAGAAGTGAGCTCGGGTGCTGTATCGATCGACTGACAGCAGGGTGCGCGATCTCCTCAACCCAAAGAACAAGGGCAACCTCAAGGTCCGAGAACACCCTAGTCTTGGACCCTATGTCGAGGACCTCAGCAAACTGGTCGTCGAGAACTACAACCAGATGATGACATTGATGGACGAGGGAAACAAGGTGAGCTGTACTCTTCCGCCGCTTCAGCTGACTTGCAGGCCCGAACCGTTGCTTCCACCAACATGAACGAGACTTCCTCGCGTTCACATGCCGTCTTCACGCTTATCGTGGGTTAAGCACGAACGCCGTACCTAACCGCAGCTCACGCAAAAACGACTGGATCCCGCCACGAACATGGTCGGAGAGAAGGTGTCCAAGATCTCTCTAGTGGATTTGGCTGGAAGTGAGCGACAAGCGTCAACGGGAGCTACAGTGAGTACACAAGAAGAATGACGCTGATCACACAGGGCACGAGGCTGCGTGAGGGTGCAAACATCAACAAGTCTCTTACGACCCTTGGAAAGGTCATCGCTGCGCTGGCCCAGGCAAGCGAGCCGACCAAGAACAAGCGTGGATCACGGAGAGAGGAGTTCGTCCCGTATCGAGACTCAGTTCTCACATGGCTGCTGAAGGAGAGTCTCGGAGGAAACTCCAAGACGGCGATGATCGCTGCGATCTCTCCAGCAGACTACGATGAGACGCTCAGTACGCTCAGGTACGCCGATGCTGCGAAGCGCATCAAGACGCACGCGGTTGTCAACGAGGACCCGAACGCCAAGCTCATCCGCGAGCTCAAGGAGGAGCTCGAGTTACTCCGGAATCGCGTCTCGAGTGGTGGCGGTACGGATGAGTCGACGTACGACCCGAATATCCCGCCCGAGAAGCAAATCGTCACGTACAAGACGAAGGAAGGCGAGATCCGCAAGGTCACCAAGCTCGAGCTGCAGGATCAGCTGCAGGCGTCCGAGAAGCTCATGGAGGATCTCAACCTCACGTGGGAACAGAAGATGGCTGCCACACAGGCCATCCATGTGGAGCGAGAGAAGGCGCTCGAGGAGCTTGGTATCTCGGTGGACAAGAACGTGAGTTACGCGGCAGAAGGAATGAAACTCACCATCAGATGGTCGGTGTGCACGCTCCTCAGAAGCACCCGTCCCTGGTCAACTTGAACGAGGATCCCCTCATGTCCGAATGTCTCGTCTACCAGCTGAAGCCTGGTGTGTCGGTTGTCGGTAGTCTGGAAAGCAAGGAAGCACAGATCAAGCTGTCCGGGCCACACATTGCCGCCAAGCACTGCTCCTTCACCAACAATGAGGGAGAGGTCACTCTCGAGCTTGCTGGGGAAGCCCCTACATTCGTTAACGGCAAGCGAGTGCAGCCCAACACTGTGAGTTGTAACTCGTGTTTGGTAAACTGACATCAGCCTGTTGTTCTGCGGCATGGTTTCCGTGTCATTATCGGAGACCTTCATGTGTTCCGCTTCAATGACCCAGCTGGCGTGCGCGCTCATCGGTCTCGCATGTCGGGCATGTGGAGTGTGAATGGCACCGACTCAGCCTCAGCACCTAGCCGCGCCGACTCACCCGCAGGACAGACCGAACTGATGGACTGGACGGCGGCGAGGCGCGAGGTTGCTGACATAGAGGCCTTGGGCGACCGCGACCTGGACAAGCTTTTTGACGATATCGTCAAGGTGCGAACACTACGCGGTCGACCCGAGAGCCGTTTAGACCTGACCTCTGAAGTAGATTCCAAGATTCTTGCTTCCCTCGCGGATGAGTCAACAGACAACAACCCATGGGACCTGACGTACACGAACGGGAACGGCAACGCGTCGCCTCGCGGCATGTACGACCATAGCGACAGTCGGACGGAGCCCGACAGCCCGTCTCGACCTAGCTCTCGACCAGACAATTCGAGCAGCGCGGACTCGACTCTGGAGCAGCAAGCGTTGACGAAGCAGCTGCGAACCCTGGCGCAGGAGGTCAAACGCATGCGCACGCAAGCGGCAGTCGCTCGGGCCCGAGGCATGTCTATTCCAGATGTCGCCGACTGGACGCCTCGAGAGCTAGTTCTGGCTCGCAAGGCTATTGAGCACTGGAAGCGGCTGCGCAACTTTGCCATGGCTGAGCAGATGCTCATGACCGCTGCCGACGTGCGAGAGGCGAACATCATCGCGTAAGTGACAACTGACCCTAAAGGAAAGCCACTCACAGGTCTAGCAAGCAGATGAACAGACAGATGACATACAACTTTACGATTGTCGATGGGCCCCTCGAGTCACCGATATCGACGTTAGACGAGATCGGTGGGATTATTGACTATGACGATATGTCCACCGAGTCCACTGGACCGAGCGGTCCCAAGGTCATGGTTAAAGTCATTGACCATGAGTCGACATGTGAGCTTCAACCAGGACAAGCCCTGACGCAACCAGCAATCTACCTGTGGAATCTGTCCAGGTTTCAACAGCAACTCGCACGCATGCGTCAAGTTCTCGCCGTCAAGGACAAGCCGGGGTATCAGATGCACCTCAGCGTCCACGCGCCGTTCGGCGACAGCCCGACGCCCAGTTTTTCGTACATCGGTGCAGCGCAGGTGCCCCTGCAGCTGCTGGGCCACCAGATGTCGTACGCGGTCACCGTGCCCATCTTCTGTGCCTACACGATGGAGGCGATCGGTTCCTGCAGGGTCGACTTCAAGTGCTCGTCCGTGCCACGCTCGGGCGTGGCGAGCCCGGACCTCGGCGGACCCGTGCTGCCGACACCCTCTTTCGGCCCCAAGTTCTCGTTCACCGTCACGGTTGACTCGGTCAAGGGTCTGACGTCTGCGGACTTCACTGAGGTTCACGCGCAGACCAAGCTCTCCTCGCTCGTCGGTCCGATTCAGAGCGAGGACACGTACTCGTCAATGCCGGTCAACCTTGACAAGGAGTCGGTGTCGCACCTCAGCCTGTGCAAGCCGCTCTCTGTCATTGTGACTTCGGACATGTTGCAGCACTTTGAGCACGGTTATGCCCGTGTCGAGTTCTTTGCGAGGGTTAGGGACGCCTACCTCTGCCGCTTGGAGCGGTTTGACTGCTCGCGGGAGGAGGTGCCTCCGCCCTCAACACCGGGAGACTCAACGCCCTCTTCAAACCCCGACAAGCCAACGATGCGGCGCGCAGAGACCGAACTGGCTGTCACGGAGCAGCATGACCTCTTCTCTGCTCTCGAGGTGCGCGAGATGGCGACGGATGGCGAGTACCTCCCTGCCGCTGTGCAGGACGAGGTGCTGCAGCTGCACCTGGGTGTGCAACGACAGGTTGTCATCGAGTTGTCGCATGCCTCTGGCCAAAGCCTGAAGTGGCTCCGCATCTCGCACGCCTCCGCCGGAAACATCCGTATGGTGAAGAACGGCGGGGACCCGGTCCAGGTGACGGCGGCCGAGGTGAACCTGCAACTCACGAGCGAGGTCGAGTTCAAGCACGACGGCACCGCCAAGCTCGTCGCGCAGGGATCGTGGGACACGGCCGCGCACCACTGTCTGCAGATGGATCGCCGCACGCCCACGAACGGCTTTATGCTCGCTCGACTGACCTTCATGGTGGAGATCGAGGGCGTGGACGAGCCAGCCGTGCTGAACATGGACGTCAAGCTCCGCATCCTGGCACGGGATACGCGCCGCGGCTCCCTCATCAGCTTCTGGCGAGCCAAGCCGCAGACGAACATCATTGGCATCTTCTCGCTCGACCTCACACCGCCAATGGCGCGCACGGCGCGCGACCTCTGGCGCCTCGACACGGCGAAGAAGAGCATGCCCGGCGAGCATCTGTTAGAGGGGTGGCGGCCGCGCAGTATCGCCCTCATTCGCGAGTACGCTGGTCTCGCGAAACAGCGCCGCCTCATCGCCGACGTCCAGACGAGCAAGGTCGTGCTCGACTGGGCTGGTGCCGTCGTGCCGTCCAAAACGGACGCGGACGGGCAGGCTCAGCTCCAGACACGCTGCGTCGGCATGTGGCAGCGCCAGATCGACACGAGGGTCGAGGTGAGCTCTCCAACTTGTGCCACGAGCTAACAACAGTTTGACGTCGCCCGCGAGACGACGCAGGAGAAGGAGCTCGCGCACAAGCTCCGCCAGCTCGTGCCCGACCTCGCGCCGCGGCTCGTTCCCTCCGTCCGCAGCGTGACTGCCAAGTAAGCTTTAGGGCCGATTCTGAGCTGACATGCAGTGAACGTGTCATCAAGCGCGGCACCATGTCGCTGCTCAAGGACTCGCGCTCCAACCGCTGGGAGGAGATGTACGCTGTGCTGCGACCGTGAGTTGTGCGTGTAGGCTTCAGCTGATCCCAGGCCATACCTGCACCTGCACCCCGAGTTCGGCAAGCGGGAAACACAGATCATCAACGTCGCGCAGGCCAATGTCGTTCCGAGCCCCGACGTCGAGATGCTCCTGGGCGTGAGTCCAGCTTTCTCCCTCCATCTGGTCTAAGCTGACTATATACAGCGCCGATACGCCTTCACAGTCTACACGCCGACGAACAGCTACATCATCCAGGCGCAGGGGCCGTACGAGCTCACGGCGTGGATGACAGTGATCGGGCGGCAGAAGGGCGCCGCGGCCGCGCCAGTGCCGAACGGACACCCTGCTGCGTGAGCCGTCACTCTCTGTCCAGCACTTGCAAAGGGGTGCAAGTGCTGTTTTCTTCACTTTGTTCTCTACTCATTACTCTACGCTTTTTTGCACATAGCCAATGTATTTGTTTAAATGGGTCAACGTCTGGTTCGGCGGGATGTGCGGCTGGAATGATTGGAGGAAATGGACGGGGCCGGGCCGGATACGGCAATGGTCAGTGAAGGCTGGTCAATACAACACGATGCGCGGTACGGTGTACTCCTATGTCTCCACAGATTCCACGGACTCGGCACGAAGGTGTAACGTACAGACGCGCTTGACGCGGTCAGTTTAGCCCTGCTGGACGTGTTGCAGCAGAAGGCAGGCGCGTCTGGCGGACGCGTCGAGAACATGTTTATGTTAAGCTCGCGCGCTCCCGCAGACTCGGATGGTTAGTCGAGGAGCAGCATCAGTTCGAACTTATGACATAAACCGGGACTGGAGCCTGCCCCTACACCTACGGCGGCCGCTTTTGCTTGTAGAAGCAGGTGGTACTGCATCGACAGGGGATGTCACTGCTGCACACAGGTACGCAGCGTCGACTGTCACCAGGCACCGGTATCAACTCTCCACCTTCCTTCTTTCGGCGAAGCCAATACGCAGAAGAAGAGCGTGGCCGAGCACTAGCACTATGGGGAGAATCGAACGGTATTGCTATGCAGACAGGCTTCGACTGGAGCGGCCCGGAAGACGGACGAGAGCTAGGAGCTCGTCGACCAGTCCCAGTCCGTCCCGTTGAGTCGGGTCGACCAGCCTTTCGCCTTCCAATTCCAGCTTTCTCTAGCGGGCACGACCTGAGCCTCTCCCGACCCGCACTCTGCGCCAGTCCGCTTCCTCTCTGCATGCGGTGTCGCGGACAATCCGAACGTCTAAACACCCTCCCCCTCGCCTCTGTGTACAGGAAATTCTCCACATTGGTCGATGTTTGTGCTGCCTACAAGGACCACACTCATGACTGGTCATGAGCATCTCCAAACGCTCCCAGCAGCGAAACCCTGCACGGCGAGAGTGCCAGGGTGCCGCCCTGAGTTTGGGGTGGCCGCCATGTTGTAATCGCAGCTGGCCTGAATTGTAATGGAATCAAGGAGCGCTGGGCTTCTGAATATGTCATGTAGCCTTAGGCGCGCACACCCACCTTCCGCCCAGAGCCAGCGCGGGAGTTTGCCTCCGCTCGGGGCAGGCATCCCGCGTCAGGCCCATCAGGTCCCCAGGCCCAGCATCACGGCACTGCACGACCATAAGCGCAAAGGGAGGGATTGCTTCTGTCGCGCCTGGCATGCCTAGCCAGGTGTCAGCTGCCCAGTGTCGTCGGGTAAGAAGAGCTTAAGAGCTTGCATACCGCAAACAGAAAAGTCGCTTGGGAACGATGGACGACGACGATCTGGTCGTGTACGCGGATGACTGGACGGTGGAGACAAGGGCATGCATGGCCGATCGTCCGTTGCTGAGGCTGAACTCTGGACGGTAAGAGCTTCGGGACACCGGTCTCGATTTCGTATCACATTCTGGTGGTACTCTGAAGCAGCCAGGCAACGCAGGCTCTGGCTTTACTACCCCAGCCGAGCCAGCTGCCCCCTGCCCGCTGTGCCCGTTGTGCCAGGCAGCTGAGAAACGAGCACTGCACACAGGCAACATAGCAGGGCCAGCCTCCCCGGGTTTGCATGCGTGTAACACCTTTGCGAGTCGTAGCACGCACGTATCAGCGCGCGTCGAGCGGTGTCGTTGTGCATGCATCACCACATCTTGTTTTCGCTGCGACTACTGCATTGCTCAACTCACTTTACTCATCTCAATCTGGTCATTCCTGCTTTGCTTGAACACTACGATCCTCGAGTCCCTCGAATCTCCTCGGTCCACCTGAGTCCACCAGTAGCAGTGACCCGACGCCCGCTTCGCCCGCACGCTACGAGCCCATCGCCCATCGCCCATCGCCCACGCGCCCCTCTGTCCTGTAACCGGCCCAGCTCGCCCAGCTCGCCCAGCTGCCCATCTGGTTCCATCTGCCCATCAAACCCTTGAGCGTCTCAGCTCTGCAGCCCATCACCGCTCATCCCCAAACCGGCCAACCCAGTCTACCACTCAGCCAGCCAGCCAGTCAGCTGCTGTCAGCCAGCAGTAACCCCCCAATACCTCATCGACACTCTGCCAGCCCCCCCGCAAGCCCTGCACATTGCACACCCGTGTTCACCTGCACCCCCTCACCAGCAGAAGCAGCAGCAGCAGCAGCAGCAGCAGCAGCAGCAGCTAGCAGCACCCCCGCTAAGGGAAAGAGCATTCATCTGGGATTACCAGATTACATATCATTACACATCCACTACAACTCATTCCACCTCTTGTGCATCCCACCCTCCGATCCTCCCTAATCACCTCTGCCCTCCCCCGTGACGCTTGACGCCCAAGACCCAGAGACCTGCGACCGACCGACCGACCGACTTGTCTGCCCGTCCAGCCGCCAGCCGTCCCAGCCGTTCCACCAGCCAGCCCAAGTGCATCAACCACCGCCGACATCCATATCCATCACGTATCGCCGTATCACGTATCCTCCCCCACCACTCCAACTCCGATCAACATCCATCACCATTCCCTCCATCGCCCTCTCTCTCCCCGCAAGCCCAAAGGGCAGCTCTCACCATCACACTCGTCGTCCGTTCGGATAACACCATCCGAAGACCCATGGACACGCAGTACCCACCGCCGACTCCTCCACATTCAACCTCAATTGATCATCTGCACCGTCAACAGCATACCCACCAGCAACAGCATCATCATCAACAACATCAGCATCACCCACCCCACCACCCTCGCCCCCCGCCCCCGCATTCCCATTCGTACTCGCACCAAGGAGGAAACGACTACCCGCTAGCATCGTCGCCCTCGAAATCCTCTTCCGCCTTTCACCCCCAAACAGACCGATTCGACCCCGACCTCCGCGACACACAACAGTCTTCCTCCTCCTCAAGCGCCCATCGCCAGGCTTACGCGCAGGAGCAGCTCTCGACTACTGCCGCGCATCGAGCGCCGCACGCGTCCTCAGCGTCTGCGCCTGCACCTGCATCCCGCCATCTGGCCCTGGGATCGCCAAGAAGCGATTTGGAAGCCCTCTCCTCCGCCGCGGTCGCGGCCGCCGCAGCGCAAACCTCAACCGCATCTCCCTCCAGAGACAACCACCACAGCTATCCTCCACCCCCGCCTCCGCATCGCTACATCCACCTGAACTCCCCCCCGTCGCGAACACGAACGAGCGAAGACCCAGCCCCCAGCTCATCCAGAGGGGAATCCGTCAGAGACTTTGTTCACGACCCGCCCCCTCCACTTCGGCGTCTTAGTGCACCCAACGTTCACTCGAGTCGGCCGCTGCCTTCCCCAGGTCTGCAGCCGCCAGCCTCAGCGTCATCCGCAACGTCTTCGCGCCCATTCTTGCCACCTCCCAGTCTCGGGCGCCGCACCCACGCCCCGCCGCCGGCCATCCGCATCCCCACGCGTGTCAGAGACGGCGACACCTTTGCAGAGCCCCAGAGTGCTCCCCTCCAGGTTCCCAACCACTCGCGCGCGTACTACTCTCACATCCCCCAGCCTCCACGTTCGGCTGGCCCTCGCCCTTCCTCCAAACCGTATCCGTCACCACTTGCCGCGAGAAACTCGGCCTTTCTCGCTCCCCCTTACCACTCGTCGTCAGGATCGGGAGCATCCAGCCCAGGCGTCGTCGACGAGCGCGCCCTACGATCTCCGCATCCCCCTCTGACAGCAGTCTACCCTCCCAACTACCCTTGGCCACCACTTCCTCCATCCTCCCACGATCTAGGAGACGAGGGACACCACGGCCCACCCAGTCACCACTACGCGTCGTCGCACCACTCGCAACGACCGTATTGCTCCAGCCCACTTGGTGACACACCTCTGACTGCGGGTGGAAACAGCAGTCGAGCTCCGTACAGCAGCACCTACACACCGTACAATCCGACTCCGCTTCAGACTGCCCAGGCCCATCCACCGTCGCCCGCCTATCTTTCTGCCCCTCCCCCTTACAGCTCGGGTGCTTCGCAACAGCAGCCGCTGCACAAATCCAAACACGCCGTCCAGTCATCGTCACAGGCGCGTACATCCTCTCCGCTCTTCATCCCTCCTCCCCTCCGTTTCCAGTACTCGACGTCTCCCCCACCAGGACTGGAGATGCCGCCGAGGAAGAAGGCTGCCGTTGGCAGCGGCGGTGTCGCTTCGGCTACGCCCCACTCGCAATCGTCCACACGCTCATCCGCGCGTCTGATGGCCGCTTCTCAGGCCAGCAACAACAGCCGTAACGGATGGACAATGGAGCATACATACGACTCTGTCGGCCAACCGAAGGAGGTCATTGTGATCCAAGACAGCACCAGCCCCATCCCGAAGAAGCGAACGCGAGCCGTCGCTCAGGCCGAGGCCCAGCGGTGGGCAGCGCAGCAGCAGCAGAGCGGAAGCAACGGCCATGGTAGCATTGCAAACGGCGCGTCGTCGTCGCAGACGAAGAAGCGCAAGGCTGAGGCGGATGATTCGGCGAAGAAGGCGAAGAAGGTCGCACCAGTGAGTCCAATCACCTCCAGAGGTGACACACACACAAAACAAAAAAGCTGACGTGTTTCCAGGCAGTTCCACAACCACCAGCACCTGCACCGCAGCACGCCCCAGCAGCGCCGGGGCAGGCTGCTCATGCATCCTGGGATGATGCCGAAGGACATTACATTGTGAAGCCGGATGACGTTATCGGAGGGAGATGTGAGTCTGGGCTTGACGGACCGTGCAGCTGACATGTCAGATAAGATTGTACGATTGCTGGGACAAGGAACATTCGGCAAGGTGGTTGAGGCTCGACACATTGAGTCGCGGAAGAAGGTCGCGATCAAGGTTATCCGAGCAGTTCAAAAGTATCGCGACGCAAGCAAGATTGAGATTCGAGTACTGGAGACTCTGAAGAAGAACGATCCCACGAACCAGAAGTGAGTTGCCCCTTCCCGAGTACCAGCTGACGTCCAGCAAATGCATCCACCTGACGGAGTACTTTGACTTCCGGAATCACCCCTGCCTCGTGTCCGACCTCTATGGCATGTCCGTGTTCGACTTCCTCAAGTTAAACCACTTCCAGCCGTTCCCGGAACGACATATCCAGGATTTCGCGCGATCGTTACTCAAGTCGGTCAAGTTCATCCACGATTTAAAGTTAGTTCACACGGACTTGAAGCCTGAGAACATTCTGCTCGTGTCGAACGACTCGAGGCTGTCGGGGCCGCGACGAGCGAACGCCCGGTCAAAATCGATCCTGAGGAATACGGAGATCAGGTTGATCGACTTTGGAAGCGCAACGTTTGAGAACGAGTACCACTCGAGTGTCGTCAGCACGCGGCATTACCGTGCGCCGGAGATCATCTTGGGTAAGTTGCCAGTTGCTCGTTGTCTGGACAGATAGCTGACGAACAGGTCTTCCCTGGTCGTATCCATGTGACATGTTCTCGATCGGGTGCATCCTTGTCGAGTTCTTCACTGGTGATGCGCTGTTCCAGACGCACGACAATCTCGAGCACCTCGCGATGATGGAGGTCGTCATGGGCAAGATGCCAAACGTCATGATTGAACGAGGAAGGTGAGTAACGGAGTGACGCACGTGGGAACTGCAGGGCAGCCGCTGACGCGCGAACAGACTGAAGAAGCCAGAATTCTTCAAGGGCAACAAGATTGACTTCCCGAACCCGACCGTGTCCAAGTCGAGCCGCAAGTTTGTCAAGGGGCTGAAGAGTCTGCGAGAGATCATCCCGTTAACGAACCCGACGAACGCGCTGTTCCTCGATCTCGTTGTGCGGTTGCTCGACTTTGACCCGGATCGCCGGATCACGGTCGACGAGGCGCTCAAGCACCCGTACCTGCGGGCAAACATCCCCGAGCCAGCGTAGGCTGCGTAGAATTTGGAATTGTTGTTGGGTCTATTCGTGCAAAGTTACGAGTCTAGACGACTGAGAAACGATTCGGCCACCCTCATCCCTCGTGTGTCTCATCACCATCATCATCATTCTTCCTTCTCAACTCTTTCATTTTCGTTCCACTTCTCTCTTTTTTTCCCCTGTTTCCTTTGTTGTTGCCTAAGCTAGCCAGCGTGCGTTATTAACAATGCAAAAGATTCATACGAGTTGCAATATTTGGTGTTCTTCTACTTGGCCTCCTCGCCCTCGTCGACCGCCGTGCGCATCTCCTTGATGGTCTGCCTCGGGTCCTTGGATCCAAACACAGCAGTTCCAGCGACAAGCACGTTGGCGCCAGCCTTTCCGCACTGGCAAGCGTTGCCGGCGCCAACACCGCCGTCGACCTGGATGTTCTTGTCCGGGAACCGGGCCCGGAGCTCGGTACACTTGGGCAGGCACTCGGGCATGAACTTCTGCCCGCCATACCCGGGGCGCACAGTCATGACGAGCAGGTGGTCGGCAGCATTGCCGATCTCGTCCGTGATGGCGGACGCGGGCGTCTCGGGGCTAATGGCGACGCCGGCAAGCATGCCGTGAGAGTGGATCAGGTCGATGACGGCCTTGGCGTCCTCCTTGGCAGCCTCGAGGTGGAAGGTGTACAGCTTGCCGCCGGCCTCGGCGACGTCCTTGACCCACTGCGCGTTAGCGCACCTATACCCATGCAGCTCTCCGTTCGACGCTCGATACCCTGCTCCTGCTCCTGCTCCGCTCACAAACTCCCCGGCCTCATCCTACGGCACAGAGTTCCCATGCCGCCGACCAAGCCGGTGTAAACAAACGCTTGGACACTCCGTATACAGGGCCTAGAGGACTGGCGAGGGAAGCGAGGCGAGAGCGAGAGGCGGAAAAGTTGCCCGTAACTTTGTCGCGTCGCGGACTCACGTCCGCTACGCTCGCGACGCTCGCGAGCGACTCACCTGAGAAGGCTTCGAGACCATCATGTGGCAGTCCATGAAGATGTCGGGGATGTTCTTCTTGACGCAGGCGAGGATGGGAGCACCCATCGTGATGTTCGGGACGAAGTGGCCGTCCATGACGTCTGGGGGTTAGCTTACGGATGACAAAGTGCTAGCTGTGATAGGAGGGACGGAGGATAAAGGTTCTGGGTGAAGCACTGGGAGTCATGCGCTGAATGCTGAGCGTTGCTCGACCAGTGCGTCTGTCTGGCTTGTGAACGACAGCAGAGCCAGGTGAGCCCCGTCCGCCATTGCGCGCTCGAGTGCTGCAGCGACGGGAAGGTCTGCCCAGTGTTCGTCGTACACTAGCACTATGTCGTATTGCCGCGCTCCCACGATACAGCCTTGACCACCTTTGGACCGTCTCCAGGTGAGACCCCACTCACCCATGTGCAGCCAGTCAGCGCCGTCATTGATCATACGCTTGCACTCGGGCGTAAGGTTCGAGAGGTCGCTCTGACTGTCAGCTACGCCTCATCGTCACAGCTCACCGCAAGCACGCTGGGGGCGATGATGGCCTTGGGCATGGTGTCTGTTGTTGCTGGGAGACGAGGTAGTGCTGAGAGTCGTCGTTTCACTTGCTCGTGCCTCCGCCGAACGCAGGCGTACCGGCGTCATAGATGGACTGGGGAGCCCAGGAACGGTAGGAAACCCAGGAACTTTTGCCCTATTCGATCCACCCAGTTACGCTGATGTCACTCTGGCTGGCGGCAACAACAATCTTTGGTCCACTTCTGGGTGCAGCGAGCAACGGGCTGTTGTATCCCCACTTCGTACACACTCACGGGGCCACTCGACGGCCACCTAAAACGGAGGAAGAAGGACACCCTCGACGACCCAACGCTATGGGAACGCCGCTTTCCGTCGACGACTTGCTGAAGAGGCAGAAGGAGGAGCAGGCGGCGGCGGCCAAGCCCAAATTCCTCAGCAAGGCCGAGCGTCAAAAGCTGGCTCTGGCCAAGCGGGAGGAGGAAGCTCGCGAGCAGCGCGCAAAGGAGGAGGAGGAGCGTGCCGAGCGGCGGCGGTTCGAGGCCGAGGCGGAAGCCGAGCGGCGACGACAGGCTTCGGAACGCTACGGCGCAGGCCGGGATGGACGAGACGGGCGCGACTCGCGCGACTCGCGTGACCCCTGGGATAGGCACCACGACCGTAACGGCGGGCTCGACTACCGCGACCATCGTGATCGGGACCGAGATTACGACCGCCGAGGAGGACATGGGCGGGACGACCGCGACCGCCCGCCGGAGAAGAAGGGACGGCGGGACGACAAGTCGAACGGCAGCGCGGCGCCAAAGGACGTCGACGAGCTCGAAGTCATCAAGAAGCGGTACTTGGGGCAGCAGGAGGTGGTGAAGAAGCCGTGGATGCGCAAGTCGACGAACAAGAACGCCATCTTCCAGTGGGACGAGAAGGACGACACGAGCTCCAGGCCGTTGTGGACGGCGGACCCTGCTGCGCTGTCCGTGCCGGGGACGCCGGGATCGTCTGGCTCTGGCGCGCGCGGATCGCCGGCACCGGGTAACAGCAAGTTTACGGATGCGCTCGAGCGGCGCCGCGCCGGAAAGGGCGGTAACGACGACCGACACTGGAGCGAGAAGCCGCTCGGGGACATGAAGGAGCGCGACTGGCGTATCTTCCGCGAGGACTACAACATTTCCTCGCGCGGTGGCAATATTCCCCTGCCGTTGCGTAGCTGGCGCGAGAGCGCTATCCCGGGCCCGATTCTCGACGTCGTCGACCAGATCGGATACACGGAGCCGTCGCCCATTCAGCGCCAGGCGATCCCGATCGGCCTCCAGAACCGCGACCTCGTCGGTATCGCCAAGACGGGTTCGGGAAAGACAGCCGCGTTCCTTATCCCCATGCTCACGTATATTTCGCACCTCCCGCCGCTCACCGAGGACAACCGGCATCTTGGTCCCTATGCTCTGATTCTCGCGCCTACGCGTGAACTGGCGCAGCAGATCGAGGCTGAGGCGGAAAAGTTTGCGCGTAAACTTGGGTATATCTGTGTCTCCATTGTCGGAGGACGCAGTGTCGAGGAGCAGCAGTTCAACCTCCGCAACGGCTCGCACATCATCATTGCGACGCCGGGTCGTTTCAAGGACATGATCGACAAGTCGATGATCGTCCTGTCCCAGTGTCGCTACATTGTCATGGACGAGGCGGACCGAATGGTGGACATTGGTTTCGAGCATGACCTCACGTTCATCCTCGACGCGATGCCGAAGGCGTACGAGAAGAAGGATGACGCGAGCGCCGCTGCGCCTGCGAACGGAAACCAGGTCGGTTTCACGGGCGAGCGTGTCACGACGCTGTTCTCCGCGACGATGCCACCGGCGGTTGAGCGCCTCACACGCAAGTACCTCCGTAAGCCTGCGACGGTGACGATCGGTACGGCGGGCGAAGCGGTCGACACGGTCGAGCAGCGTGTCGAGTTTGTGCACGGCGGCGAGGAGAAGAAGAAGGCGCGCTTCATCGATCTCCTGCGCAATACGGACCTGCCGCCGCCAATCATCGTGTTCGTCAACCAGAAGGCGACGGCGGACGTGGTGGCAAAGTACGTGCAGCAAGCCGGCTTCAGCGTCACAACGCTGCACTCGGGCAAGAATCAGGAGCAGCGAGAGGCGGCGCTGGGCGCGCTGCGCGAGGGCCACGTCGACGTGCTCGTCGCGACCGACCTCGCGGGTCGTGGTATCGACGTTCCCGACGTCAGTATGGTCGTCAACTGGCAGATGAGCGACACGATTGAGAAGTACATCCACCGTATCGGTCGTACGGGTCGTGCGGGCAAGAGCGGTCTCGCGCACACGTTCCTCGACAACAACGACGCCGAGGTGCTGTATGACCTCAGGCTCGAGATCGAGAAGAGCAAGAAGAGCAGCATGAACCAGGAGCTCGCGCGGCACGAGGCTGCCCGCCAGCGCATCACGAAAGAGATGAAACGCAAGCGGGACGATCTCGACTAGGTGTCATAACACCAGTAGATGCATCAGAAGTTAACACTCTACGGCATGGCGCATGCACGCATTCTCCGTCAGCACTTAGCACTTGCTTTCGTTATCTAACCCGTCGGATCGGCAAGGCACCCCAGCATGCAGCAGCATGTATGCGAGCGAGGACGCGAAAGGAGGCGCGTCTCAGCATGCACATGTGACTGGCCCCACCGGCCGATAAGCACCGCTAGGCCCGACCACGCCCCGTGGTTAAGGCTGGGACTAATAGACGAACTCGGCCATCAAATTAAGCCGATGACATCCGAAGCCGCGAACCCCTCCCCATACCCTCACTCCTTTCTGGCCCCTGTTAACCTGCCTTTTGGCACAGATTCGGAGTCAAGCGGGCCAATACGGCGCCGCACATAACAGATTACGACCGGCTTGCGCTTGCGCGTATACGGGGCATAACGTACTGACGCGAAGCGGTTGTTCGTAGTATGAACTGGTCGCTTCGTAGTATGCGGGTCGGACCGCTAGACTAGCGGTGATCGCGGCGTTGCGGCATGGGTGCGGCATTGCGGTGATCGGCGCTGGAGGCGGGGACTGCATTGTGGAGCACGAGCAACAGGTCCAGATCCCGCAAACGCCAGCAACGCCAACAACGTCAGCCAAGTGAGGTGTCCGATTCAGTCTCGGTGTCATGGAAGCAAGGGGCCGGTCGCTGGATTGGGATTCCATGGTGTGTCTATGGTATGGTGGGACTAACCGCCGCAGCCTTCAGTGGTACGCATGCGATGACGTTGTTGGCTGCATTGGCTGACTGGCTGGGACATGCACGGAAAAGCTCTCGCGCAAAGTGCGGGCCAGAATGCGGCTGGGGCAGCGGCTGAGTGGTGGTTTGGGTGGTGCCTCCGGCAAAAAGGACCCTGAATCCACGCTTGCAAGAGCTCGCAGAGCTGGAAAAAAGTGACCACCCCCTAACCAACGCCTTTGGCGAGCGCCTTCCGTTTGCACTCGACCAACAGCAGGCCGAGCATTTGGCACCCAGCCCCCTCATTGCACGCCGTTATGCACTGCTTGCTCTCGCGATGTCTGTGCTCGTCGCCGAGCTCTGCGCGCCGCTATTGCATGCAGTCGTCAGTGGAGAGAAGTGCAGAGGTGACGTAGGATGCTATGATGGTGTTTTTTGCATTACAATGGTTGTACAAGTACTACTAGTTTACTTGCAGGCGTCGGCCATGTAGGCGATGAGGTCGTTGCGGTCCTTGGGCTTCTTGAGGCCGGCGAAGGCCATCTTGGTGCCGGGGATGTACTTCTTGGGGTTCTCGAGGTACTGGAGAAAGTCAGCAAGCTGTTTGTTGACGGGATCGCGGAGAGTCTGGCCGGTGCCGACCAGGATGTCCGAGTCGGAGTCCTGCCTCCCATCTCGCGGAAACGCCTCGCTCTAAGGCTCGGCGCTCCGCTCGCGCGCGCTACTCACCTCGAAGAGGGTCTGGCCGTCCCAGGTAACGCCCTTGTTGACGTTGGCGGCGGTGTAGGAGAAGCCCTCGGCCTGTCCAGACTTGCGGCCGAAGACGCCGTGGAGGTTGGGGCCGACCTTGTGGGGGCCGCCAGCCTCGGTGGTGTGGCACTGAGCGCAACGGGTCTTGAAGATGCCGGCACCCTTGCCAACGTCGCCTGGAAGAGTCAGCTTGCTGTTCGTTGTTCGGTGTCGGTGGTGGACTGTCGTGATCGAGCGGGCGAGCGGGCGGGCAGGCAAGCGAGAGAGCGATCACACAGCGAGCGCGGCCGCTCTTGCTGGTTCGCTAGCCCTCCCACATCGCTCCCTGCATGGCATATGCTCCTCCGGTCCAGAGGCGATGCTTACCGGGGGTGTAGGTGTTCTTGTCAGCGGCCATTTTGTTTGTTTTGGGTTGTTGTGGTTAAGTTGAGGAGAAAGAGAAAAGCGAAATGCGCACCCGAGGCCGAATTTATGCCAAGTCGTCACTACAGTCTGCGTTTAACGACCCGGCTAACCCTGGGTGGGTCCTGGGTGCAGGCAGTCGCGGGCTCCACTGTAGGGCTTCAGTCACTGTCCGCCCAGCCGCCCAGCGAGTCCTGGCTTGGGATGACGCTGGTTCCGGATTTGGTGGAATTTGCTCCGTGTTGCTCCGATGCACGGCCAATCAACGGCGGCCCTATTCAAATGCGTATTCGGGACGAGTTAGGCGTGAGACCACGGCAGGCATGCGTGCCACGTGTTACTAGGCGCACAATCATGAACGGAGACAGAACCACCCTCGCTCTGCAACCACCGGCCGCTCAGTGGTCAACGGCTCAGACAGCTCAGGCGAGGTCCACCAACACCACCTCTCAAATACATCAGCACAATGGTGAGCTCCGAAGGCGTTTGGCTTAGCTGACAGGAACAGGGCGGAGGAGTGAGTACAACGGTTGTTCCGCGCATCGGATTCGGTTCGTTGGAAGGTCTCGTCGATCGGAGGAAGGAAGGAAGAGCGAAGGTTCGCGCAACTGAACGTTCCACCAACGTTACGACAGAAGTACAGCCCGCGGCGAGCGCGGTGACTTGACAGAGGAAGGACAAAGCTCTCATCGGTAACACATCGAGCAGCAGCTTGGGAAACTCTGGAACACAGTGGAGGAAGTGGGATATGACGGAGAGAGATCGACAGACCGCGGTCGACCGAGCACCGACGCCGAAGACGAGCTCCGATGTCTACGTATGTGAGCTAACCCCAGGCGCACTACCCTTACCCTAAGGAGGTCTGGTCGCCGACCGGTGAGTGCGACGACTTTGAGCTAGGTGATGGTAAACGCCAGCTAATATCCAGGTGGTTGGTGGACCCGCCCCTCGAACTGGAAGGCCAACACCGCCATCTGCATCGCCGGCATCGGTGCCCTGACGTACTCGATCTGGAAGTACTCGGCCAGCAAGGAGGTGAGTCTGCGAGCGCTATCCGCAGCACGAGCAGGGGGTAACCTGAGGCGCAAGCTATCTCTTGTGTCCGTGGGCTATCTGTTCACCCATTCTCTGCCAGTTCTCCCAGTAATGCTGGAACTGGATGACCAGATAGAGTGCTCAGTCGTGTTTTCCCCTATTATCAGCGCAGCTTTCCCAGTCCCCGCTTCCAAGCTAACGTCCAGGTCCGCACGCAGGTCCCGAACAAGCCCATCCCGTCGCAGAAGTGGTCGCCCCAGGCCGCCTCGCTCGGGGTCAAGAATGAGTAGAAGCTTCTGCACTATGCACAAATACATACAGGCGTGGACTGCTGGGGTGGTGGGCTACGGGCAAAGGGACAGACACGGGGAGATCAGATATCGTCGCGGACTTCCGTCCGCGGTTGCGACGTCAGGAAGCGTTCACTGGGGTCAGCTATCGTCGGCGCCTTCCACAGCTGCGAGGTTTCTTTCATGGGGGCTGTGAGGTGGATACAGAGCAGAGGGAGGATGGACTCACGAACGAAGAAGTGTCTCAAGGTCACCCTCGAAACGGATATGTTTCGCCATCAGGTCGCCGCGGCGATACACGAGCACGGCGGGGAGGACGGCCTCGTCTGGCCCCTCCTCGGTCGTCATGAACTGGAGCGCGGTCGCCGTAATCTTGACGAGCGGGGGCGTATCGGGGTGTCGGCGGAGGATACTCGATGCCTGCTCGAGGAGCACGTTGCACCGGGGCGCGTCCTGGGGTCAGCTCGGAGATGGTGGCCCCTCAGCTATTTGCCCCGCTGTTGCACTTCAGAGAGGCGGGGGGTGAAAGTGCAGGATCAGAAGTGCACTCACCTCCTCGTAAATCAGAATCGCAGCGTGCTCTTCGATGATATCGAGAAACTCCTCCGTATCAATGTCCCTCACTCTTCCCTCTGCAATCTCGGCACGGCGCCTCTCCCTCCATTCCCTCAGTTCGTCGCGCTCGACATCTTCTTCCCTTCCTCCAGCCTTGCTCGCGGCCTGCTCGTCCCTCAGCTGCAGCAACAGCGCCAATTCGTCTTCAGAGAGATCGAGGGCGGAGAGATCCAGCCGCGACAGGTCGAGCTTGGAGAGATCGAGGTCGAAGACTTCGTCTGCGCCCTGTTGTCGCGGGTAGAGCTCGGAGGAGGGGCGGGCGGCTGGTGTTAGCTTGAGTGTATGGTGTGAGCTTGACGGCCGGGCAGCGGAGTGCCAGATCACCACCCCTGTTCTCCCTTCCCATCATTGCTCGGAGCAATGCCCAGAACTGCTGGGGCTGGGGAGTGTAGAGCTTGCTAGAGCTTGCCGGGCTTCCTGATCTGAACCCTCGTCCGTGGTAGGGAGACATTATCCAGCTCGCTGCGCTCGTCGGATACATACCAATAGGTCCCTCACGTATCCTCAGCGTCCCCTCGTCCGGCCCCAGCGCAGTGATAGCCCTCGCCTCCTGCTCTGCCCTCGTGCGTCTCACAGCCGCCTGCCTTGCATCGCGTTCCTCGGCATTCGCCTGGCGCGAATCGGACAGGACACCCTTTGGGCCCGTATTCGAGCTGTATGGGGAGGAGGAGGATTTGGCCTTGCCCAGTGAGAGAAGCTGGCGGAGGGCTGGGACATGGTCTTGTCCTCGGGATCGAGATGGGAGGGAGGAAGATGAAGGACGGAGGGAGGGAAGGCGCTCTCGTGTTCTTGACTTGAGAAGGTCGAGCTTGACTTTCAGCTTGACTCGAAGGCGAGAGTATATGCTGATGAATCTCTGGACAGGTGCAAGATTCGTATGTTTTTGAGCTTGCAAAAGTTACGTTTGTTGTTGTGTGTTTCGTCAAGCTGAGGACAAAAGAATGCTCGTCACTGTCAACAATCCCCCCTTGGCCGGGTGGATCCGACAGGTGGAGGTTGCTTCATCCCGCCGTGGGTGAAGCAGGGGACGAGGCGCGTGCCCCTTCCAGAGCGCCTCTTTTGTGCGCCCATCATACACCCACCGTGGCGTCATCCCCACTCGGAACACCCGCAACATCACGTACAATGCCAGAGCTAGCATGCATGACTGGTTTCTACAACACGTACGTTTTGGATTTGCGTCGTGGGTTGTTGTCTGTGTCGAAGGAGGAAGAAATGATTGTTGTATAGAGAAGTAACGAAACCGAATAGAATAAAGAGAGGAAATCTATGTACCCTTTTATAACAGTTCGTTGGTGCGAGCAAGAGTGTGTGAGCAAGATGAAGCTCGTGTCTATTTGTACAGTTTTGCTTTTCTGTGATGCTGGTATGCCAAGAGAACTCGGGTATTACGCCGTGAGCGGGGGCGCGTCGCCGTCCGGCGACGACGAGCGGGGTATGTTGCTCGTGCTCAGCGTCAATGTCGGGAGGCGGCTGAGGCCCGTCTCCTCAACCGTGTCGAGGCCGTTGATGTTCAGCGAGTTCGGGTTCGCGCCCGAGATCGGCGGCGAGGAGGCCGTATTGCTGCTGTGCGAGTGCGAGCGGATGTGGCGCGGCGGGTTCTGCAGCGCAAAGTGCAGGCCGGGCGATTGCGGAGACATGGGCGACGGCGTGTCCGACGTGTTGCTGAAGGAGCGCACGTGCTGAGGCGCCATGCCCGGCGACGAAGGGTTGCCCACAGACGAGTCGCGGCGCGCAATCATCGGAGACGGCGGGACAATGTTAGTGGCCGGCGTCGACTGCATCGTGAATGTGCGCGGGAACCCAGAACCTGTCTGCGAGAGAACCTGGTCGCGGTCGCCGAATGTGGACGTCATGCGAGAGCGAGACCGGCGCAGGCGCGACTCGAGTTGCCGCTCGTCCTCCTCCTGGAAGTCGCGAGGGAGCATGACGGCACGATCAATGGCGACGGGGAGGCCGCGGTGGCGCCCACGGATCATGACGACAATGATGACGAGCTTGCTGAGCGTGCGGAGCTCACCCGACAGCGAGTAATTGTTGCTGCCGGCACCGAGCGACAGACCGACAGTGCCGTACGCAGAGACAAGCTCGAAGATGACGTTGAACGTGTTGAACCATTCGGCGTTGTCTGTGCGATTCAGGTTGTTGCGCTCAATGATGCACACGAGCCACAGCGCAAGGGCAATCCACCACATGTCGAACGCGAGCTGTCGGCGAGCGTGCCAGCCGACGTACTTGGCGACAGCGTGGGCACCCCTGGTCTCCGACGCCTCGTGTTCCTCCTCATCCTCCTCATCCGAGTCGTCGTCGTCGAACAGTCCGAGCGATCGCTCTTCGTAGACGTTCGTCGCACGCACAGACATGGCGATCGGGTAAACGGAGATGTACATCATGATGATGTAGAGCACCTTGACCGACGGAGCCAAGCTGTTCATGGGTACGATGCCGAAACCAGCCGCGCGCACGGCAACGGACTGGAAGAGACCGGCGGCAATGCGCGTTCCAACGGGAAGAGCCTCAATGTCGGGCGTGCCAATGTCGAGGACCATGAAGGAAACCCAGTCGATGATGGTTAAGGTGAGCACCACGAGGAGCAGGAACCACGTGTGAGTCGAAGGGAAGAGATACACGAAGCATCGTCGCGGGTGGTCCAGGAGGAACTTGAGCGGCTCGCGGACATGGGATCCGGTGGGGGCGAGCTTGTAAATCGACCAGATGATGAAGCGGAGGAGAATGGGCTATAGATTGTTAGCGAACGACGTTTCAATAACAAAAAGCGACTCACGAAGCACGTGTTACCGAACAGGATGAGGAGCGCCTGAACAGCAGCCATCAAGTAAGCCTTCTGGAACGGAACCATACTCTGGTCGACAAGCGACATGCCAGTGTTCGAGAACGAAGAGGTCGACTGGAAGAAGGCGAACCACGGGATGCGCACATGCTTGTGCTGCTCGTTAAACACCCAATCGTACCGGTTTCCGGCAGCGATGTACGGCGCAATGATGGTCGCGCCTGCCAGCGGCATGAATACCCAGTACACGCTGACAATCCACCACAGAATCTTGAGAGCGCGATACTCGGCGCCACCAAGCTCTTCCCTCTGCTCCTCCGTCAGGTCCTGGAAGTTGGAGTTACGTCCCACAGTAGCAGCGAAGGAGATGTACGGCACGTCACGGCCCTCTTGGTTGCTCTGGTGTCCCGAGATCGTCTCCGTCCGCGGCATCGTGATCGTGCGCTTGACCTTGCTGTGCGCCTTGGGGAAGACCTTGTGGAACAGATCACTGGCGATCTCCAGCGGCGTGGGGAAGCCTCCGAAACCGGTCATCTTGGAGTCGACAAGGCGAGATCCGGTTCGGCTGAGGGAAGATGTGCGGGGGAAGCCAGACCCAGTCGTACCCGACCGCGGGAAGCGCGAGTTGTCGCTGCGGATCGTCGCCGAGCGAGGGAAGTTGCTTGGTCCGGTACCCCATGGGTCGCGGGTATTAGAGAAGTGCAGCTCGTGGTCCATACCGTCCTCGGGTTCATCGAAGGCAATCGTCTTGGAACGAGGGAAGGCGTCGTCCTCGGCGGGAGTAGGCTTGTACGCGACGGGCACATGCTTGTGGCGAGGCGACGGTGGCGGACGGCTGGGCTCGCTGTCGATCGAGTCCTCTGTGCGCGTCGGAGCGGTCCGCAATTCCTCCCCGAAATTCTTAAGCAGGGAAGGCGCAGTTTGCAGATCGTCCGAAGGGCGTTCCGTCTTCTTGCCCTCGCTGGAGGATCGGGATTCCTCCTTGCCCTTGTCACTGTGGTCACTGTCGTTCCGCAGTGTCTGCGGGTCGCTAATGGACCCAGTCTGGCTCGGTTCCCGACCGTCTGATGAGGCGCGCGACATGGGGCGTGGTGAAACGGAGCGATTTGTCTCAGGGGTCTGGTTGCCGGGTGTGGGAGTGTTCGCGTCATACCAACCCATCGGGTTCACCATGCCAACACCGCCGCCGTCGACACGACGGATCATGTCCGTCGTCAGCTTGATCGGGCCCTTCTTCTTCGGCTTGGCGTGGTCCTTCTCACGGATCGTGTCAGCCGGCGTCGGGGGCACCGAGTGGTTCTCCTCTTCGGTGTCGTCGTGGTGACGCGTGAAGCGGCGACGCAAAGCGCTCGTCATCTGTCCCGTCGTCGTCGGGAAGTTCGTGAAGGTCTTAGCTAGATCGAACCTGCGCTTGCTTCGCTGCTCTTCCATGACATGCTTGAATTTCAACCGGAAGAACCGCCTGAGCGTTAGCAAGAAGCACAAGCAGTCCCAACCGATGGCAGCAAAACTCACTTGCGAACAGACAGCATGATAATGGACACAAAGATCTGTAGACGTGTCAATGCGAGCGCTCGCGTCACGAACTTACCAGAGACCCGATCAGCATCTGGAAGTACATCAAGAACTGCTGGAACGTCGAGAGCGAGGACAGGTCGACAGTGGCCAAGCCGGTGACGCACATCGACGAAACGCAGAGAAACAGACAGTCGACATACTTGATATGGAACTCCGTGTTGCACGCGTAGAAGATACCTGAAAAGATAAGCGGTATCTGTGTGTTAGTGACGAGGAAGGACAGCCTGCTGCGAGGCAATATGGATACACACAAAGGTACTGGGAGAATGTCAGCGATCTCTTTCGACTCTGCGATGGGCAGCACTCACAAGCACATCATGTGCACACGGTAGAAGTTTAGCGATGCAAAGAAGACCGCCATGGACTGTTCCCACCATGACGGCTTCTTGAGATACCTTGGTAGCGTCGGCATGGCAGGCAAGTGTTCACTGCGAGCCGTTCACGCCAAGAGAAGGGGTCGAGGGACGGATTTGTTGATATGTAACGAAAATAACGCGGGACGCGATGGGAGGAGCAGGCAATGCTTCACGGGGGCGTACTGTTAGTGGCCGAGCATGGGGATCGTCTTAGATGCGTAGAGATATCGAGAAGATGTTGGGAAGCAAGGGAGATTAGCGCGAGAGACGAGTGAAGCGAAGCGAAGAAGATGCGATGGGCGGCACTAATGCTGGAGCGTCCGAGATCGCGATAACACGGGCTGTGGCGACCTGTGATCTGTAAGGGGGTCCCGTCGGAAACCTGTGCTGCGGTGCACGTTTGTACGTTTATTCGTTACTTGACGACGTCGGGAAGTCGACTAGCGTGCAAGCTGCAATGGTGCGACGAGTCCGGAAGAGTCGGCGAATGCTGTAAAGGTCGCAAGGAAGGGGAATGCAAGAAGGGGGATGAATGCGAGGATGGCTCCGGTACGGTGGGGTCTTAAGGTGAACCTGGCCGCCTGGCAGGCAAATCCTTGGTAACCGTGGCTAGGCTTTGTTGTCAACTTTTGAGTCACCGCACTTGACATTTTCGCTGGATCCTGATTCCACATTCGCCGCCCGGACTCAGCCAAGCCTGTCACTGTGCTGCAATGCATGCGCGATTTTTCTGTCTGTGCCAAGCCTTGACGAATCTGCATCGAGCGATGCTACTGATGGCGATTTTCTGCATCGTGCAGGTGGGACAGCGAGGATCCGTGGAGCTGCACCGTTATGAAAGCATAGCCGCGCAGATCCTTTAGCGGGTCTCAGATTGGATGGCCGCACGCGGGGCGGCGGCAGCCCCCCCTTGTGGCTCAGGTCCTGCAAATGTTCACTTGGCCAGCGGGGCAAGAGCTGCAGAGCAGTGACCCCTCCGGGTCTACCGGTACCGCATGCTCCCTTGAGTCTGCACTCGTCGGTGGCTTCTGATCTGCTCCGGCTACTCCATGGGACTAACCGCGGCGCGCAGGAGGGCTGGGAAGCCTCCCTTTCAATCAAGCATTCAAGATTCAAGATTCGAGGTCTAAGCCGCCGTCCTGACCGCAGACCCTTCACCGTTTCGAGCACATGAGCTATTTTTGAACTCGTTGAAACGAGCCCACCTTCACGTGATTCAAGAAGATTAACGTGACTATCGCGTGGCGATGGAAGCAAAGATATCGGCGCAAGTTGGAATCGCCGCCCCTGAAGGATCGCAGGGACGGTGGGCGCAGGCACCTGTGGCGCTGGCATAACACGTCCGAAGAGGTCACTAGCGGCGACGACGGCCCATGGGCTCTGTCCTTTGGATGAGACACGATTTGGGCAGGAACGCGGAGCTCTGGCGCGGAAGAAGGCCGCTGTACGATGCATGCAGCGCTTGTGGTGTTATCCGCCAGATACCCAACGGGCGGCCGGATCCCATGTCGGCTGCGAGCGTGTAGCGTGGTTCCTGCTATCATCTCAAAATTTTGATGCACCTCTTCGGTTGAGCAATCCGGCGAGCATTCCCATCGCTAATGAAACAATCTACCGGCCAAAGACCCTAAGCACTGGCCCTTAGGCGGGCCGGAGACCAGTGATCAGATGCCAACGTGCCATCGACCTCAAAGATCTGAGATCCACCCTGTGCCACTGCGCTCTCAGTGCTCACCGTGGCTGGCACAAAAGTGCACTAAAGCGTGGGGAAGAGACAACACGAGGCCAGCCGGATCAGGAGGATGCACCACAATGGATGCTATAGCGAGCGATAGGTGCCAGTGGACCCACCAGTCCTACCAGAACAACGTGAGAGCCACTCAAAAGGTCAATGCTAGGCCAGGATCGCTGGGACGCGCTCGTTCCAGCACTTAAGCTTTGCCTGGTCGTGAGTGGATCGCATCCTATGGCCTATCACATCGCCGTGGCCCATGGCTCCCCATAGCACGCAACGCGGTGGCCCGTGCTTCGATCCACTGCATCTGCTGCCATCGCATGCCTGACCGTTTCCCCGCACATCTACTAATCGCCGTTCTGTGTGCATGGTCGGGGGTGGGAACACGTGACTTTGCCATACGCAGTTCGCATGCCATCAGTGGCTTGGCACTCGCTGGTGTGGAGAGAAAAGCGATGCAAGTGTGCTGCGGAGTGCAGTGGAGGATGGCAGTGCGACCGGGAGGTGAGGCCGACGTTGGATGGGTATGCGTACGACGCCAAACGGCGATAGAGTTGTGGGTTGGAAACGCCAGCTGTGGGCCTGTGCTCTCACCAGACTAATGGCCCTCACCTGACACGATGGTTTGTATTGCATTCCGTAATCGCTGGGCAATTAGTCATTATGACAGGGCCCTTTTGAACCAGACTTTGTACCGACAAAGGAAGCGTCAGCGTCTGTCCTGGGGGGTGCGCCAGCGTGCCAGCGTTCAGCGTTCAATGTCGAGCGTACCCAGGATCCAGGAAATGATCAGGACGAACAGCCAGCGGCCAAGCCAACGGTCTGCGGCCAGGAGGCCAGGACCCAGCCATGCCAGCCAGGAGTCAGCCAGGACCTAAGGATCAGACCGAACGACCTTTCCTTTGGTGGCCATCTCCACCAATCACCCTCACACCGTCACGTCCATTCTCTTCTTCTTGTCTTCCTCCCTCCAAGATACACTTCGGAAACCATCCGATCCCTCCCCCGCATTCCTCTCCCATCTCATCCTCCTCATCCTCCCCTCAACATCTCACATCTCCTCTCATCCCATCTGTCACCGACCCAACTCACACCGACATAATTTTCTTTCACTCCTTGAGCTCTCAAAACTGTCGCATACCCCGGCATCCGCCTTGTCCCATCCATCCCTCGATCGACACGACACGACACGCAACTGACTTTCTCCTGAACAGGAGCTCGTCTCGACCCACATCGATTCGCTATCTTGCATAACTTACCCCTCCCCTGTCCAGCATCTATCTGTGAATAGGCGACGGGGACACCTCCTCGACTGAGTGTCCGCGCAATGTCCTTCCTCAACCAGCAGCGGTTCAGCTCGACGAAATCGCGACGCTCGCCGCTCCCCTTTGTCAAGACTGAAGGCGAAAAGTTTGGCCTCTCCGGCGGCGGCGCCTCCAGCTCGTCAAAATGGTACTCTGTTATCCCAATCCCAGTCCCGCAGTTCGGCGGTGGCCATAAGACGAAGACGGCGAATGGAGCTGCACACCACCAAAAGATCTTCCACGCCGTCCCCCAGCGGTACATCCGGGTCCCCGTCCCTATCCCCCCGCGCCTGGTTTCGAGGTTCATGCGGCTAAAGCCAGTCGTCAAGCTCCTTATCATTCTGGGCACCCTCTTCACCTTCCTTCTCCTGACGCTAAACTCAAGACGAGAGACGCACAGGAGCTCATGGACGCCGCCGTTCATCGAGCCGAATACGCTCGTCCTGACCCCCAAGGAGGTATCCAAGATCTGGGAGTGGGAAGTCATGAGTGGCCACCATCCCAGCGTTGAACAGAGTGAGTTGGCCACTAGCTCGGCTGCGGAATGCAGAAATTTCTGACAGCGCAGTTCCTAGCCAAGTCCCCATGGCAGAGACTCTGGTTAACCCCGTCGTTGCCGAGGACCTGTATGCCGCAGTCAACGTAACGGCGCCCGCCGGCACCGGCACTGTTACTGGCTCGCGCGGCGCTGCGCGCCACGCCTCCTTCATCGGTGAGGGACCTGAGCGCGACTTTATCCAGGTCGGCGAGCTCTCGGACCCGGCGTACCCCCCGCGTCCTGTTCCGGGAAGCATTATCGATCTCGACCTGATTCTCGACAAGTGTGACTTTGGCTCGAACAAGGTAAGCCGCAGTCGTCACCACCAGGAGCCTAACACACAGTATGTTCGCGACTGCCTGAACCTCCTGCGTATCGGTGGCAACCTCGACAACGGCAAGCGCATCCGTCATGGCAAGTACCTGGACAAGTTCAAGCACCTGTACAAGGAGGAACACTTTACGCCCGTCAAGCAGGACTGGACTCCGGTGCCGTTCGACCCGTTCCAGCGCCCCAACACCCTGTCCCGCGAAGCTCTGTCGCTCAATCCTCCCCTTCCGGTCCGCGCCGAGTACAACCCCGAGAAGCCCTGCGACCCCCTGCACCCCCGCATCTTCCACATGTTCTGGGCTGGCCCCTTCACCGACAAGCCGTACATGGCGATCATGTCGTTCCTGTTCACTCAGAACACTGGTCTGGACAAGGCTGTCGAGGACGTGAAGGACACGGTTGGCGGCACCTGTCGCCCTCAGTTCTGGGTGTGGATCAACCCCGGTCCCGCCGCCTCGGTCCCCAACCCCGCTGCCAAGACCAACATGTACCGCACGCTCGCTACCAACCCCTGGTCGGCCCCCTTCCTCCACGAGCGCTTCCGCGACGTGGTCAAGTTCAAGATGTGGAACACCACCGAGCAGCTTGACGGTATCCCCGAGCTCAAGCCTTACTGGAGGAACATGGAAATTTTCAACTCTGGCGGCAACGTGTACAACCACAAGCAGTCTGGAAATGACGAGGGCGAGGCTAACAGCGATGAGAAGGAGGCCGAGGAGGCCGTGGCGGACGACGAGGCTGCCAAGGCTGCCCACGAGGCCGCCAACTCCGACGAGGAGCACCTCGACGAGAACATGAACGAGGACGTCGACGGCGAGGAGGGCAGCGAGGAGAGGCCGAAGAAGAAGGATGCGTTATTCGCCAAGGTCGGCTCGTCCTCGGAGAGCGACTACGACCGTCTGTCTGTCATTCTGTCCGACATGGCGCGATTTGTCCTGACGCATCGATTCGGCGGTGTGTACCTCGATGCGGACACACTGTTCCTTCGTGACTGGGAGGAGCTCTGGAACTACCGCGGACAGTTTGCGTACCGCTGGAGCTGGCACCAGAAGTACAACACGGCTGTGCTCAAGCTGCACAAGGGCTCTGCTCTCGGCACGTTCCTGTTCAAGACGGCGCTGGAGAACGGCCTCGACTTCCACCCGATGACGGTGTCGCGCTACCTGCAGGACGCTGGACTGGACAAACTTCTCATCCGCATCCCCGATGCGCTCTTCGACCCGGCCTGGCTCAACATGGAGCGATACCAGCGCGACCGCCCTCCGTTCCCGTACTTCCCCGAGTTTTCGCACTTCTTCTCCAACGACAAGTCTCTGACGGGCGGCCCCGAGCCATTGGGCTTTGACGGCTTCTTCCGTGGCGCGTACTCGTACCACTTCCACAACTTCTGGTGGCTCCCCTTCGACCCTGCGCGCGACTACCCCGACCTGGGCGAGCGCTTCGCCAAGGGCGAGATGGCGCTGCGCCAGGCCAAGGCCGAGGCGGCCGCCGCGAGCGCCGAGCCCGCCCAGGCCGCAAAGGTCAAGGCGGAGAAACTCGACCTCGCCAACGCAAATGACGACGACGACCTGAGCTGGTCCACAACCCTCAAGCGGACATTCGAGGCGTTCATCCGCGGCGAGCGCCCCAACATGTACGGCGAGTGGATCAGGTGGTAGAATTATGGAGGTTTTAGGGGGGTAAAGGCTTTAGGATAGCTGGCAACCACAAAAACATAGAGTCAACCTCATCTTTTACATTACATGCATTATCGGGAGCTTGTGTACCTAGAAGGATGTCTCAGCAGCGGGTACACCGGAAAACGCATCGAAACAGCGCAATCTTGGCTATATATAGCCCGGTTGTTATCTAATCTGACGAAGGATAGGGGGAATGAGAGCCGCAATGATTGATCGTCCCGATCGCAGATCCCGCGGGATCGCGGGGTGGGTTCTGCACGGCTGACTGAACCGCAAGCGGCGGGCAAGCAAACTGTCAGTGGCACACGTAACATTACTTGATTCCAATCTAGATTCACTATTCATTACAACGATACAGAATATATATCCAAAAGCACCCTCAGATGCTGTGCTTATGCTGGGAGCGGTATACGACTCCAGGCTACTCCGTCCTTCTCTTTCTCTTCTCTCCTCCGTCCTGCTCTCACCTCCTCCCTCTCCCACCTTTGAGCTTAGAACCAGGCCATGAAGGTCTCGCTCATGGCCGCGAGCAGCGTCGGCGCCGTCGCCTGCGAGATGAGCGTGACCATGGCGTGGTTGATGACGGGCCCTCCGGCTGCCTTGTCCTTGACCTCGCCAATGTGGCCCATGAGCTCGGCGCGCTTGATGAACTGGTCCACATTCTTGTACACGTGTGCCGTGAGCGGGGCATCGGAGCGCGCCTCGCCGCCCTTGTTGTACGTGTTCTGCCACGTCAGGATCTCGTCCCTGATGAACAGGTGGAGGGTCGAGGCGAGGTCGAACTCGGGCAGCGTGAGCGAGTGCGCGATCGCCGTCGCGGCGGCGGACACGACGCCCTCGACGCCGACACGCGTGATGAAGTTTTGCATGTTCGGCGTCAGACGGAAGGGCACGGCTTCGCTGCTGTGGAACAGCGGCTGGCCCTGCACGAACGAGGGCAGCATCTCCGTCATGTACATCTGGCCCGTCTTGCGCGAGATGTGGAACCGAGACGGCGCGCGGTTGTTCAGGCAGCACACGTAGGTGAGGAATGCCGTCGCCGCCGTCTGCATTGCGAACTGCTTGCGCATGAGCCAGAGGCTCTCCGAGTCGGCCATGTTCTTGATCATGTAGTTCGTGAGCACGTTCTCCGGGAGCATCTTGGTCTGGATCTCCTCGATGATCTCCATCTTGAGCTGCACGAAGCGGGGGTCCGTACGCGGGATGCTGGGGTCGTGCAGCTGGCGCTGTCGGTCGCAGAAGGCAAGGATCGTGTCCTCGTGCGTCATACCGTGCGAGAACGCATAATCGTCGTAGATCTCCTGCAGCGACACGTAAGACGAGTCATTCTGGATCAGGCGCAGCTGCGTGCCGAGGGCGACCGCAGTAGGTAAGTGGAACTGGAGGTTGCGGCGGCGCGACTCCTTGCGCTTCCGCAGGACGCAGTTCATGATGCGGAACAGCTGCACGAGACGCTCCTCGCGGCGGCAGTGGCGCGCGGCGGGCATCTGCACGTTGAACGTGTAGGGCGTTCCGTTGTGGCCAATCATGGTGATGCGGCGGAAGCAGAAGCCAAAGCCGCGGCACAGCTCGACGCGGGGGTGGAAGCGGGCGATACGAACCAGCTCGTCGGCCTGGTCAATGTGCTGGATGTATTGGCCGGGCACCTCGACGTCTTCGAACTTGGTGTAGTGGAAGTCTGTGAGGTTGATGCCCGACGAGTCGAGCGGCTGGTGGCGCGGGCGCGAGTCGATGGCGCGCTCGTAAAAGTCACGCCAGAACTGCAGGCGCTTGATGTACTCGCGCATCTTGGGCTGGTTGTTGATAAAGTCCTTCTCGACGGCGGCGCGCAGGTCGGAGTGGAGGTTTAACGAGAAACGCCTCAGGTTGTCACGCGTGTGAGGACCGAGTTCCTGGTCCTCGCTCAGGAATGTACCACGCGTGCTCCACTGAGCCATTGCGTCGTTAAGCAAGGCGCTGAAGAACCGGTAAATGTCCTCCTCGCTTGTGGGCTTGGCTCGATAGCCGATCTGGTCGACCATCTTCTCCATCGAGAGAGCAAGCAGGGGTACGCCAGTCTTGAGGTGATTGATAATCTCATCGACAAGCTCCCACGGCTGGCGGGGGGCAGGCTTGGCGGGCTGAGCAGGATTGGCGGGTGCGTTGTTGGCTTCGGGCTTGCTCTCTCCTTGATTCGCGTTCGCCTCGGCACCATTGGTGGCAGGCTTCTCCTCTGCCTTCTCCTCCTTCGCTGCATCCGGCTTCTGCTCGCTGTTCTCAGCAGTCGCGCTGCTGCTGGCGGCCTGACCAGCGGCGGCAGCAGCCTTGGCCTCGGCTGCACGCTTCATGGCCGCGACTCGTTGCTGAGCGGCGAGCTGGCTCTTCTTGACGTTGCTAAAGTCCTCACGAGTTACGCGCAGGCTGTAGAACAGCGCCTGCGGGAACGACTTGGCGATGTGCATGAGGATGTGGCGAGCAATCTGCGCCTCACGGTGCGACAGCGACAGCAGCAGCTGCGGGATGAGGGTAATCCAGTACCAGATGACAAGGTCGCCCTTGTACGCCTCGAATGCCTTGGCGATCGTGTTGCGCGAGTCGTCGAGGCCGAGCAGCCAGAGCACGCGGAGGAGAAGCGCGCGCGACTTGTGGCTGTTGTACAGACCAGCAGCCTGCATGTAACAAGAGACCGCTGACGAAGCACGGAGCGCGCGGTCCTGAGCCCAGGACTCGGCCCACTCGGCGTCCGTCATCGGCTTCTCTCCAGGCCCGGGCTGCGGCTTGCTGCCAGGAGGCGGCGCCTCGGGCTGCTGGCGATACATCTTCTCGTTGAACTTGCCCCACTCGGCCCAAGCCTTGGGCAGGTTGTAGTCCATCTGCACGGCGTGGGCGAACTCGTCATTGGCGTCCGAGTCCTGACCCAGGCGAGAGATAAACATGCCCTTGAGCGTGAGGAACTCCGCCTTCTGCGGCTGGGCAAAGTACATGAGGTTGGTCGTGCTGATGTTGTCGAGACCCTCATTGAACTTCTCCGGCTTCTGGAAGTAACAGAGCGCCTGCTCACGGAGCTTGAGGAACGCCTCGGAGATCTCGATATTGGGCAGCATGTAGATCTTATTCAGAGCGGTGCTGCACACGTCGAGAAGACCATGGCGACGAGCGACCTCACCGAAGCGGTTGATCATCCAGGCGGTCTCGTGGTATCCGCGGTAGCCGTGGGTGACCCCTTCGGCCGGCGTGATCATAGGCATGTAGACACGAGTGACAGCCTGGAACACGTGCTGACGCCAAGCAAGGAGGTCGGACCAGACGCTGATGTCGTCCCAGAAGTTGGGGAGACGGTCACGCCAGGTCTGGAAGATGCTCTTGAGCTCGGTGTTTGCGCGAGCTTCCAGAGTCTGAGCAGTAGTCATCTGGAGCGAGTCGAAGACCTGCGCAGCCTCGCCAAGCTCGACAACCTGCTGGAACATCTGGAGAAGGGGAAGGTGGGCTCCCGTGATGGACGACGGAAGGCTGATCCACTTGCGGATAGCGACTTGCTGGGCCTCGTCGACGATGCGGAGGAAGTCGTTGGGCGGCTCGCGGCTTCCATGCGCCTTGATAAGGGCAGTGAACGCCTCGAAGACCTTGCGGCGGGGAGTGGGGACACCGGCGACACTCTTGAGCGAGTTTTCGATCATCTCCCGATCGGCAGAGCCCCAGTCGGACAGCCTCCAGGCACACTCGAGAAGCAGATCCGGGTTCTGGTCGGCACGAGCAAGCTCAGTGAGCGACTCCCAGTTTTGGAGCTTCTGGGCGGCGAGAATCCAGTGGTCCTCCCACAGACAGAACTCGTCCTCGGTAAACGGAAGCGCGGCATGGCGAGCCTTGATCATGGTCTGCTCGTAAAGCTCCATAGTCTGCGGCCAGCGACCGTTCTGCTCAAGGGTGAGTGCAGCAGCAGTCTCGGGGTAGACGTAGCGGCAGCGGGCGTTGCCGTAGAACATGTCGTCCTCGTTGAGTTCGGCATACAGCTCGCTCAGAGCACCGGCGCAGCTCTCTCGCAGGTTATCCGTGCCACGGTACGTGTCGGAAAGGAGACCAAGAATCTCGAATCCAGCGTACCATGCGTTGTACGTCTTGGCGAGGAACTTGATGAGCAGAGGAGGGACGGTAACCGGCGGCCGGCAGTACACCAGAGCCTCGAGGTGGGTCTGTATGACGTTCGGCTTGAGGTCAATCTGCTTGTGGTGATACTCCTTGCAGAGCAGCTTGGCGATGTAAGGCGTGAAGGCAGTCTGCTGCGAGCGCGACAGCGAAGCCCAGACCTTGGGGAAGATTGACACCCACAAGCGGTGGCACACCATGGGGTCCTGGTGGACCAAGTTGCGAACGTACTGGACGAGCTCGCCCTGGCGCCAGTTCTTGGTGGCCAGCTTGTCGTCCTCCGAAATGACGCTCAGAGCAGAGCTGAACACCTCGTCGCGACGCTCGGCGCTACCAAGGAGAAGGCTAAGCATCTGCGGCATCCAATAGCTGTCCGCCAGCGTCTCCCAGTTCTGGAGCGAGTACAGGTACTCGAGACGGGCATCAAGCTGAGGAGGAAGGGTCTTCTCAAGCTTGTCGAGGAACTTTGAGCGCTGAGCAGGGTCCTTGGAGCGAGTTCCAAGCAGGAAAGACGCCTCGAGACGGTGCGTGAGGTCGGTGCCGGCTAAAGTCTCAAGACCATAGATCTCATAGATGAGGTCGAGGTACGACTTCCAGAGTGCGTCGTCACGGGTCTCGAAAGCGTGCATGCGCAGAAGCAGCATCGCCTTGTCCTTGACGACGATCGGTCCATCGACATCCTTGACGACCCACTGGCGTACCATGTCGAGGAGGTAGCGGCAAAGCGCGAGGTTCTGAGACTTATCGACCAGCGCGCCGAGGATGCTAACCAGGTAGCGCCGATGCTCCTTAAGATCAGCCACACGGTCTCGAAGCATGTCGAGGATGCTGATGATGAGGCGGTACGAGGGGTCGGGTCCATTGGCAGCTGTGTGGACCTTGACGAGGTTGCTGAGGACGCGGAGCAGGCCCGACGCAATAGTCTCATTGTGGAGAAGCTTGGGCTGCGCCTTCAGCCACGACTTGAGCAGGAACAAAGTTCCGGGCAGTTCGCTAGTGGAGCGCAAGCTGGCAGCGAGGTTGTTGTTGACGGTCGTCGTGAGCCACTTGAGCAGCTTTTGAGCGTCATCGTCGCTGTCCGGAATCTCCTCTTCGGGGAGCTCGGCGAACATGCGTTCGGTGAGGGGACGAATGACCTCGTGCATGTTGTTGTCGTCAAAGACCCAAACCTTCTCAAGCAGCTTGCGGAAGGTTTCCAGCTTGCTGCGGATCCATGCCTGGTCGCGGACCTCGGCGACGGCGGCAATGACCTCGGTCGAGTTGGCCACGGTACCGATGGTGCTCTCAGTGATATCTTGAGCCATAGTACGGTTGAAGAAGTGGAGCTTGACGGTGACATTCGGTAATCCGTTGGGGCCGAGAATCTCCTTGAAGAGGTCAAGGGCACGCTTGCTGAGACCACCGCGGGTGACCGGCTCGGGAGAAGAGGCAACGATCCGGAGCAGGTGGGCGGTGATAAGCTCGCGCGTAGCAGCCGGGGTAACCCAACCACCGCTGCTGCTGTGGGTGGAGACGGCGGTACCGGCGCGATCGATACGCTGGCGCTTGTTGGGCGAGTTGACGTCGCGGTCGTCGACATCCATCGACTCGTCCGCCTTGGCAGCCTCGTCCTTGAGAGCCATGCGCTTGCGCTCCCAGCGGAAGATGAGCTCGATGACATCGACCGTGAGCTTTTTCATCTCCGCAGTGGCAGCCTGAACGAAGCCAAGCTTCTGGAGCGACATCGCGATGTGAGGAACGTAGAGGTCGCGGTAGTCGTAGAAAAGGTCTGGGTGGTTGACGAGCAGCTCGCAGACGACAACGAGAGTGCTGGTCGCGTGTCCCTCCTCGACGAGCACAGTCTTGACCTTCTGAGCCCAGTCGGGGATGGTACCGGGGGTGGGAGGGTCGCGGACCATCAGGCAGCCGGCGAGAGTGTCAATGGCCTGACGGAAGAGGGCCTTGGACTCGTTCTCCTTCAAGCGCAAAAGTCCAGTCCATGTCAAGCGAACGAACTTGACAGGAGTGTCGTAGGTCGCCATGAAGCACGCCGTCAGCACATACGCCATCAGCTTAACAGTCGGCTCGAGCAGGTTAATGCCCATCCAGGCAAGCTTGAACACCTCCTTGCGGGTGTCAATGACCTTGGAGCCCGCATGCTTGACGAGGAGCGTCGTGAGGGCAAAAATCTCGATAAGAAGTGTGTCCTCACGCTGCTTGGCGACGGGGGTAGCAGACAGGGGCCGCCACATGCGCTCAGCGATTCTCTGGATGAGGGCGGGGCTGATGAGAGAGCCATCGTTCTTCTCGTCGGCGAAGTAAAGACGCAAGGTCGGGTTCACGATGAGACGGAGAGCGTTCGTCTTGAAAGCCCAGGTGACGACCGACTCCTCTTCGTACAAGTTCATGAAGTACTCGATGACCTCGCGGCGGTACTCCACAGACTCCTGAAGGGCGACGCGCTGGTACAGGAAGAACGCGACGTTGGTGCGGTCGAACGAGGAGCGAATCTCGTACGCCTCGACAACGTGGAAGAGCAGGGCAGTGTGGTCCTTGTGCTCAAGAGTAGACATGAACATCTCCAGGATCAGGCTGGGCATGGTCTGATAGTGGACGTTGGACATGTCACTCTTGGGATCACGCGAGCGCTGGACGATGGAGCGCCAGACACCAACCACGGCTTCGAGCACCGGCTCGTGATCAGACAGCCACGACGGCGAAGTGCGTGAGAGCTCGCGAATGATGTAGAGACCAGGCAGGACGAGGTCAAACTGCTCAAGGTTTGCAAAGCAGACCTCCGTGATGGCACCCGCGCGGTTGGACAGCTCATTGACAAGCTGAGGAGCCTTGCCGGACGAAATGATGTTGCGATAGGTCCAGACCACACGAGGGTTGCGGATGTTGTCGAGCAGGTTCTGGGCACCCTCTGTGTGGTACCTGTCGAGGTACTTCGCGATGTTCTCGGTGAACGGACCAGGAGCAGACTGGTGCAGCTGCGATTCGACCTCCACAACCTGAGTGGTGAGCTGCTTAAGGTATTGCACGGCAGTCGCAGGGAGAAGACGGAAGATGTTGACGAGACGAGTCATGCGCGAAATGTCCGGGTTGTCGTCCAGCGGTCCACTGGCAGCCTTCTGGAGCATGTTCGCGTCCGCCAGCGTGTCGAAGTGGTCCAGGAGCTTGACACCGATCTCGACCTTAAAGTAGTTGGTCAGGAGCTCAAGGAAACGGGCTAAGCCTTCGAGACCAGGAACGCTGAGACGCTTGGCGTCGGCGAGGTTGACTAAGATCGGGCGTAAACCAGATTGGAGAACCTCCTTCTGTAACTTGCTCTGGTGCTGGATGACGTCGCGAAGACCGTCGTGGGCGACGTCGACGATCTCGGGATGAGGAGAGTAGACATGCTTGAAGTAGACGGTGATGATGCGCTGGCGGATGGGAGCGAGGTTCTGCCTCTCTGTGAACTCCTGGCAGTTCATAGTGGATCGAAGCATGCGAAGGCACGCAATGCGGAGCGACTTGAGCCAGAAACTCTGCTTGTGCGACGGGGGCTCGCCGCGCTTGTTCGGGATGAGGCTCGCATCATCCACATCCGCAAGCGCGAGTACCTCTTGAACAAGACGGACAAACTCGTCGTTGATCTCGGGCACCGAGGGACGCAAGTCAAGTAGGTAGGTGACACAATCGATGTTGCCAACCTGCATCGCGAACGACGACAGCGCACGCAGAGGCTTGGAGAAAATTGGGCCGGCATTCGTCTCGAGTAGGACGGTGCGGGTAACGTTCCCGATGACATTGGAGATCGGCTGGTCGATAGTTTCGGACAGCAGCTTGAGGCACGACTGTGCGGCCTCGCGAGCAAGACGGCTCTGGCTGTTGAGCTCGCGCACAATGATCTCGATAAGACGACTGAGGCGCGCCTTGCCGTCCTCCTGTGACTGGCAGGTCTTGATCAGGTACTGGATGAGATCAACAATGCCATTGACCGAGTTCGGCGGATCCTTGGGAGCATCGCGGAGAGCGAACATGAGGACACGGACGAACTCGAGCTCAAGCTCGATGATGTACTTGCGGCTGAGCTCAGCCTTGCGAACAAACACATTCATGGCGGTCACGCCGGCCATCTTGTGGTTCCAGTCCTCGTCCTGACAAAGGTTCGTGAAGCGGCGAACGAAGGACAAGACGAAACGGTCAATGTTACGAACCGCCTCCTTGCTGCCAGTGAACTCGGGCGACGTGGCCAACACCTTGAAGTCGGCAATGATGTCGTTGAGCACATCAGCAATCTGATCACGCTGGTCTCCGTGGGCGTTGGCCAGAGTTTTGACGATCGCGTCGGTGAGCGCGAGAGTCAGAGGGAACGGACGGTGGCGAGTCTGCAGATCCGGCAAAAGCTTGTCGTTGTCCTCCTCGGTGCGCTTGAGCTCGGCGGTGAAGACACGCTTGCAGTAATCGCGCACGAAAGCGAGCGTCGCCTCTCCGTGGGGAGCGGGAAGCGCGCAGGCACGGAACAGGGCGCTGACAGTCTTGGCGAAGACCGGCGTCGCCTCAGTATCCTTGCGGCTCTCGTGGAGCATCTCCATGGCGGTGAGCTTGAGAACCTCGAGACTGTCACCCTGGCAGACCTCAATCCTCTGGTCCAGAACCTGGTCAGCCGCATTGACGAGCGGCTCAAGCTCGAAGCGCGACGACTTGCCCTCGAATGAGATCGGCGCGGTAAGGTCGTCGGCGCACTTCTTGTACTCAAGAAGGTTTTCCACGTCCGAGAATCGACGGTTGCGGCCTCCAAGCTTGCCGAGAATCTTGACGGCCGAGTGCGAGTGTTGGCGGTTCGCGGGGATCGGCTTCAGAAGCTTGTGAAGGGCTCCCATGAGTTCGCGGAAGACGGGAGTCATGGTGGGGTCGAGGAAGTCGGCCGTGAGGTTGTCGATACATAACTCCAGCGTACGCAGACCTTGACTTATGAGTTCCGGACCAGCCTGCAGAGCGTGGACGAGCGGCTTCATGAGGTAGCTGAGATGAGGAAGCAGGTTCGTCAGGCGGACGGGGACGGTGAGAGTGAGCTCAACGAAGAGGTCGCGCTGGACCGGGTCAGTCGCGTGCTGCAGAAGATACGACAGGTTGTCGAGCATCTCCTGCAGGATAGGCAGTACCTCCTTGTATAAAGCGTCGAATCTGCCTCCTCCGATCGAACGGAAGAGCGCTCGCAGAATCTGATAGTAGACCGTCGGCTCGTCAGCCTTGGGAGCCAGGGCGAAAGACCGCATGATGAGCTTCTGCAGGTGAGGCACAAGCACGACCTCGTTCGCGTTGATGTACGTGTTGATGGCTAAGAACGAGATCTTGAACAGGCGGAGGTTCAGCTGTGCCTTCTTGGGCGAGTAGCTGCCGATCTCATCGAGGTGGCTCATAAGATGCTTCAGCGTGATCGCCACAAGTTGATGGGAAACCGACTCGTGCGTGATCAGGATCTGCAGGACGGAGAACACATGCGGGTTTGTGAGAGCGTGCTCGACAAAGAAGTCCATGTGCGTCGACCAGACTTCACGGAAGGAGTGAGGGTCGAACAGCAGAAGGATCTGTGAAAGAAGTTCGATCGCCTCTTTCGGTTCCCGAGGATCACGATTGTTGTCAAAAATGGCGATGCAGCGGATAGCGTTCTCGAAGAAGCGCGACAGCAGCTCTCCGTCCGGAGGAGGTACCGGGTTCTCGCCTTGCCGCGTGTACGACAGGAGAGTGCGGAAAGTGTGCAGCAGCGTCTTGAACAGATACCGCGCCTCACGGCAGAAGGTCTCGAGGGACTCGTTCGCGTAAGCCACCTGGTGCACGGGCATGGCCTGCTCGATCTCCCGCCAGCCATGCGCCATCCGGTCGGCATTGGCATCCGTCGTCTCGTCCGTCATCGTGACGTCCTCGCCGCTGGTGATGGCAGCAGTTTCCTCCTTGGCCTTGCCCTTACCTTTGTCTCTCTGGGACAGTGCCTTCAGCTTGTCGTAGGCCTCGGTCATGGCCGAGAGCTTCTCCAGCGATGAGATGAACATCGACTTCATAAGTCGCGCGGACTGCTCAGCGTCGCCCTTGCTCGCGATGGAATCGACAATCGTGTTGAGGAGCTTGGCGCACATCGTCTGGATTGAGCTCGAGAACGTCGCATCGTTGAGGTTGCAAGAGAAAACGTAAACCACACGGTTGAGCTGGGCAATCGGAAGCTCGTTGCGGACGTGGTGGATGAGGTCGGCGACGACGGAGGACGCGAGCGGTCGGAGCGCCTCGCGACTTGACACTCCGGTTCCAACGAGTACGCGCTCCTCCAACAGCGTGTCGATGTAAGGAATGAATGATGATCGCGAGTCGGCCGTCAGGATGTGGCGGGTGGCAACGAGCAATTCCTTGCGCGTGCTGACGTCCTCCGGTGGGCAGTCGCGCAACAGCCGAATGCACGCCTCTGGGAAGACCTCCAGGTAGTCCTTGACATTCGCCTGCGAGCTGCCACGAAGAACGTAGGCGAGGAAGGCCATCGTCTTGACCTGCGTCTTGATGAGCTCAGTGTACATGTCACGGTTCGTGATCCCTGGCGCCACTCCGACGAAGATCTCGCCTCGCTCCTTTGCCTCGGCGTGCGCGACGCGTTGAGGTTCCGGCTGAATCTTAATGCTTTCCATAACAAGGGGCGAGAGGTCGAGCATCGCCGGGCCCATGACCGACTTGTACGTCTGGAAGATGAGGACGACAGCAATCGGGCACTCGGTAAGAACCTTGGGCGAGTGGAGGGCATGCGAGAGATGGGTGTGCGAAGAGGAAGAGGGAGCGGAAGGTGTCGGGGTGCCGTCATTGCTGACCTGTTCATGTTAGCTGAATCACGCCGAAGGAGCTCACAGGTTTGCCACCACCAGTCGTGCCAAACTCCTTCTCCACTACTCCCTTCAAATTGGCGTACATCTGCTTCACAAGTTCAAGGAACGGCTCGACGAACGGCTCAGCCTGGTCCTTGTGCGATCGGAATCCGTCGATCATGATCTTAATGCACAGAAGGGCATTGTCCTCATTTTCCACCTTGAGGAGCTTGATCATTAGCTCGAGAACCTTGGCCTCGTACTGTCGGAAGGGCTCGGAATGCGGCAGTCGTTGCAGGTACGCGAGAAGGGTGTGACGGAAGCGCTGTTCTGAGTTGTCCTTGACGAAGACGATGTTCTTCTCTTCCCCGAGGATCTGAACGAGCGCGGGGATGAAGACAGCAAGGTACTTGTCGTAGAAGGTGTACTCTCTGTTTGACTCTGCTGAGTCACGAAGCTCGGACGCGATCTCGATGCGGCGCCGCAACGGTGTGGCAGGGTCGGTGAGCTGGGCAGCGAGCGCCTCGCATTCGGCGACGGTCATCGGTCCGGTCGTGGTGACGGAGGTCGTCACAGCTGTCGGAGCATGGCCGGCAGGGGCTGATGAGGACGGTGTTGGTGTCTCTGCTGCCGGCGTGCCGCCCGGCGCGGTCGCGGTCGAAGCCTTACGGGGCCTGCCGCCGGGCCGGTTGGCGGCCGGAGGTGCCGGCGCTGACATGATGTGTGGTGACACCCGCTGGGCGCTAGGTGTTCACCGGGGCTCGACGGGTCGATCTAGCGTCGAGAGGGGGTCGGTATCGCTGAGTAGAGGATGGGACGCAAGAGAAAGGGTCGAAAAGAGACTGTGGATTGGATGAGGAAATGTGGTCGGTGGTGGATGTTGGGATATCAGGATGTGTTTCAACACTCGAACGGGGGGCTCAACATGGCGAGAAACAGGTCCACTCGAGAAATCAGAGCCCTGTCTGGCACCTTGAAACGCCGAGCCGCGTGGGTTTGATCCCGCCGCTCCTTCATCAATCACTTCTTCTGCATTACAACAGACATTGAGTGACGCGTTGCGCTTCGTACATTGACGACCGTGCTTGCGCGTTTTGAAGCAGTGAGCACAATGCATAGGAAGCAAATGTAGATGTTGGGGAAGATATGACCGTCAGCAACGTCTGCGCCCCTCAAGGGTACTCGCATGGCTCCCATGCTGAGTACACATGGAGTTCCTGAATGTGCACGTGACCCGGGCAACCATCGGTCGCGCGTCATCCAGCAACGACCAACTCACTTTCGACAGCTGGTCGACACAGCTGCGTCCTCAATCACCACGACCATGTCTCAAGCCGACGTCGACCAGCTTGCCCGTTGGCGAACCCTTGGTGCGAGGCGTTCCGCCGAGGTGCTCGACATCGCTCCCCGTGTCCTGGCGTCCGGTCGCTTGTCAGACTCTGGTGAGCTGCCAGCGTCTCTCTAAAGCTAACGAGCAGACCAGTGGGCTGTCCGAGAGCAGCTCGCCGTGGCGGCCATTGACATGGGTCAGATTGGAGTGGCGACTGTGAGCTCTCCGGAGACAGGCTTAGCTGACGTCCGCAGGAACAGATCCGCCTCCTCGAGGCTAAGTTCCGCAAGTCGCCGCGAGTCGACATTCTCCTCGGACTGAGGCTGGAGGCGCACGGCGAGGTGGAGAAGGCGCGGCAGATCTACGAGAGGCTGCTGAAGGAGGACCAGTGCAACGTTGTGAGTTCACACCGGAGTTGGTGCCTTCCTTGAGCTGGCGGCGGCTATCACATCATGTTCCAAGCTAACTTGACCAGTCCGCACACCGCCGCCTGATTGCGATCTCGCCTAACCCCATCCCTCCACTTGTGCGCTACCTCGACACCTTCCACACCGACCCGGAAGGATGGTCCCTGCTCGCGGACCTGTACGCAGACGATGGAGCGTATGCGCAGAGCATGACCGCCCTCGGTCAACTGATGCTGCTGCAGACGTGGGACGCGCAGGCGGTCGAGCGAGCGGGCGAGACGGCGTACACGTCCGGCGACCTGCAGTTGGCGCTGAAGTACTTCCTTCGCGCGATCGAGATGGCGACGGCGCCGGAGGGCAACACGATCCCGCAGAACACTCGCGCATGGTGGGGCGTCAAGCAGTGCGCTGAGCGCCTCCTCGCCAACCCGAAGATGGAGACCAGCGTGCCCGACAAGGACATCACCAAGCCGGATACGCTCAGGAAGCTGGACGCGCTCGCGGCACAGATGATTCTCAAGCCCGAGGGCAGGAGCCTCAGGCTCAGGAGGCAGGCGCTCGGCGAGGCGCAGGTTGCGAAGTAGGCGACGGTCAATCGACAGCGAGCAGCGGGGCGTAGGGAAGAGCAGTAAGACGATAGATTTGTAACAGTTCTCATAATGCACTTCTAGGTATCTAAGATTTCTATACAACTCACTCGCCCTTCTTCTTGTAGCCAGTATCGTACACACTCGCCCCTTTGCCCCAGTCACCAGCCTTGGGGCCCCATCGATCTTCGACGCCCCATGCGTGGACCTCTTTGATGCGCGGAGCACCCTCCCTCGGACTCGGAGGGATCGGCTCCTCCTGCATGCCCGGCGCTTTGGCGCCGCTCTCGGCGGCCATAGAGTCGAGCACGTCGTTGTGCATTCGGCTGCGCGCGATGGGACCCATGCCTTTCCCGCCGTACGAGCGCTGCATGGGATCGGCAAAGATGCCCCTTCTCGGTTCACGGACAGCAGCGGTGGTCTCAGCGCCGAAAGCTTCCCAGGCCCTCTCGTCGAGGGGAAGCCACGCCTCCTTCTGGTACGCCTCAGAACGGCTCATCTCGATGAGCCGGCTCACGGCTCGCTTGTAAGCGAAACGCTCGTCCTCTCCTGTGAAGATGTTCGAAACTGCAAACGCCGTACCGCGATCCGACATCTGGTCCCGCTCCTGCTCGGCTCGTGTGCGCGGGTTGTAGATGCTCACGTTGGCGAGAGGCTGAGCGTCGAGCGCCTCGGACAGCGACTCGGCAGCGATCGGATCGAACATGTCCGGGTCCAACGATGGGTCCACGGCGTCGGGGAAGAAGAGGTGCTCCGGGTCCGCCGCGGCGCGGATCACGACCTTGCATCGAGCCTCGTACAGTGCGTCAATGAGGGAGATAAGACGACGCGCCTCGTTCTTGCTCTTCAGGAGCAGGACCGGCACCTCGTCGAGGTAGAATGTCCGGAACGTTGATGAAAGGGTAATGTAGTCCGCCGGTCCCAGGGGCGTCTCGCACAACTCCCCGAAGGTGAACTTGCACGCGCTCCCCTTCGCGGCAGGCACCTCGACACGGCGGCCATAGACACCCAATGTCTTGGGCTCGCCTGATCCTTCGCCTTCCTTGGCCCACCAGTCATCGAACTTCTGGTCGTCGAGGCCAAGCCAGCGCTCTTCGCCCCCGCCGGCTTGGCGCCAGTCCCGTCCGCCGTCCAGTTCGACGAGCTCACTCCTCGCCCTCAGTCCATCGAGGAATCCTGCCATGCGCTCCCTCTGCACACCGTTCATGTACAGATCCTCCGGGAGGCGGTTCGAGCAGAACAGGATGACGCCGCCGAGCCGCCAGTACCACCCCAGCACGTCCTTGAGCAGGGTAGCGGAAGAAGCGTCGACCAGCTGCAGCTCATCAAAGTATAGGATGTGGTAGGCGAGAATCATCTCCTTTGCAATCCGGAAGGGTATCGTGTCCCTAGGGTCGTCGAGCTGCGGATATTGATCGGACAGGTCGACGTCCGCGCCTTCCTTCCATCGCCCCGAAGCGAAGACGGACCGCCACCCCTTCGCACCCGCTTTGTTCATATTCGACTCGTGCCGCGCCACAGGCGCTGAGTTCTTGTACGCCTCGATTTCGGCAAAGACGCGCTGATATAGCCACAGAGTGAAGGCGTGGTAGTGGTGACGCTTCTTGTACGGTGTCGGGATAGCGTCGAACGCGAGCGAGAGTAGCAGAGACTTGCCCGTTCCTGGAGGTCCGGTGAGCATGATTCCCTGTTGTCAGTTGTCAGCGAACCCAGCTCAACTCACCTTCGGGGTAGTCAGGGCGGCGATTTCTTCCTCGCCAGTCATGACGCGGACGAGCGCTCGCTCCTTCTCCGTCGCACCGAATTCGGCATGGTCTCCACGACCGTGCCACCAGCTTCGCTTCGGACGGCGGGGAGGTGTTGGCCCAAGTTTGGCAAGTAGCTCCATTGGCGGCTCGTACTCCTCCAGATCCTTGATCAGATGTCGCAGCTGAGGTCAGCAATACGCCTTCTCGAAATTGGACCTCCACTTGCGACTCACCTTCATGACAACCCGGACTTGCTCGTCGTCCCACTTCAGTCGTCCGGAGCTGACGAGCTCCCTGTAGGACTCGAGCAAGTCGGTCCTTTGCTTGCCGTCGCTTTCGCCCCTTGTCGGCTCTGTCGGTCTTTCAGCATCATGCGCAGCGGGTGTTGAGGGCCCCGCCTCAGTTGACATGAGACATAGTGGTGTGTGAAGGGCGAGTGGCGCAGTTGTCCGCGAGCCACCTGCCTGCCTCAAAGACAGACTTGGCACTGGTCGAGCCGATCGAGCGTGCAGCAAAGGGCGAACTCGTCGTATCATGGTCGCAGATCGTGAGGTGAACAGACGCCGGCGGCAACAAGCCGAGCTTCTCCGACGTCATGAACGCCGGGCACAGAACGAGCGGAACCAAATTCGAAGGTGTGGCACTCACCGTGGTTGTCCATCACCACCATCCGGATTGCTGCAGCTGCATCCTCATGCTTGGGGGAGCGCAATGGGTGCGCAGCTGGTGCATTGGGCTGTAGCAATAAAAAAAGGGTGTGAGTGCTGTCTGAGGGCCAACACCTGAACCTTGGACAACACTCGAGATCGAGAAATCGGGACAGGTGGGTGTGCGCACTCGCGCCCACACAGATGACGCGTGGGTACCGTGAGCAGTTCTGGTCGTCTGCCTGAGGTGCGCTGTGAGAGCGAGGACGCGCCTTGATGTGCGTTCTTGGGAATTCCATCCTGTCAGGTGCGTATCTTGTGTGTGTCCGGTCTTGCCGTTCTCGGCGTTAACAGCTCAGACGTGGTGTGTGGACCAGCCTCACGCCGGGACAGAAAAATGTCCTGCACACGTAGACAGATCTTTCGCTCTTTCTCTTCTCCGTCAAAACTTATCTTCATCAAAATGAGCGACATCCCCCAGGTCATTATCACCAACTCCCTCGACGACATGGCGACCCCCGTCCCTGCTGAAGTCTCTGCCGAGGCTGGTCCCAGCACGCGGAGCATCGCCACCTCCCTCATTTCTCTCCAGAATCCTGAGGTTCTCCAGGTCATCGACGCGGGGTGAGTTCTCTATCAGAGGCTTAGGAGGACTGACCATCAGCGCATCCATCAAGTCTCTGTGTGACTCCATCAAGTCTGCGGGCAAATCCGTGTGCTCCCAGCAGAGCGTCGGGTTCCTCCCACGCTGCGCCTCCGACCCGGCCCACCATGCCCGTTGCAACTACTGCCTCGAGCTGGCGAAGAAGCACGCCGAGGAGATCATGAGTGCCAACCAGCCGCGTGAGATCGACCCTCTTAGTCTTCCTGCCGAGCCGGAGCGCGTCGCCACTCCAATCTCCTTCGTGGTGAATGGTCCTCTCACTGCGGCCCAGCGTTACCAGCAGTCTGTTGGGTACAAGCTGCGCATCCCCGCGTACGACTACGTCCGACCTTCCACATCGGTTGAGAACGACGAGGCCGATTCCTCGTCCATCATTGCTCCCGAGCTTGCGGTTCTCACCGATAAACACCCGATGGACCGCGAAATCATTAACCCCGGCCCCTACAGCGCGTACGAGGCTTTGGGTCGCCCTAAGAGGACCCCTTCCTTCTTCCAAAGTCACCCAAAGGACCAGGTTCAGAACGCGCACCCTGCCTCTGCCACGGGGAGCGTGTCTACTGAGAAGAGCAACTTCTATTTCCGCGCTCCCAGGGAGAAGGGCAACCACCACCTCCTTCAATGCTGCGTCATTTGCTGAAAAGCACAAAATCTACCAAGGTCCCCCCGTTCCCAATGTTCGATTTCTGGCGCTGAGTGGCGTGGTCCATCGATGATATGAGGAGGTTGTAAGCGGTTATTCATGTATTCAACTTTTCCGTAGTTTATAAGAATGCACTCCGTGGACACTACGAGAATCTGGCCGAAACAGAGGTTGCCATGTTCACCAGTGGCAACTCCTTGTCCACCAGATCGTCTCCCATGCGCGGCAGAACAGCAGACAACATGCAGAAGCAATTCAGCTTCTTTATGGGCAATCTAACCCTTGGAAGAGCACCTTCTTGCTGCTGGGCACTGACGGACATGACCTGTTGCCATGGGAAAACTGAAGGCGCCGTCGCAAGGCGGCAGTGTGTGGCGGGGCGCATGACCTGCCGCGCTTCGTCACCTCCAAGTCTCACTGCCCACCTCACGAGATCTCATCTCTTCAAAGGAGGAGTCGGAACGACTACGACCAAACCTCTCAGGGCACTGAGCATCCCGAAACAACACATGGAAGTTGTGCAAGGAGCATCGTTGTCCTTCCCGTAAACACCTGTAAACGCCAGAAATGGGGAACCTCCTGCTTCACTCCTTGCATGCACTTCTGCTGTTCACTGCATACCTTCTCAGTCTACAGCATAGATCAATATATATATCGTGATGTATAGGCAGCGATACGGGGACAGATCTCCCGACACACACAAGGCGGAGGGGAGCGTCACTCCCCTCACTTTGCCCTCTGCTACCCCGCCGTTGTCCATCCCTGGACCCCAATCCCCGCGTGCACACTGCTCGCAACCACTTGGCCTCCCATGCTCTCGCACTCTTGCACCTCCGCACGTCGAACGATGCCCTCCATGTCGGCTGACATCTTCAGCTCCCGTTACCATGCGAAAGAGCTTGGCGTATGGGGCTGACAGTATTACTGCTCCTCTTCTTCTCTTTCACCAACCGCAAACTAATCCACCAGTGAGTCCATCAAGCTCCCTCAGGCTGGTGCACTAACAAGCCAGCGGGGTTCAGCCATAATCATGACCTCCGGGGATCGCAGTCCCTCGCCGACCTGGCAGTTCTGGCCGCCGTATCCAAAGGGTGGCCTGCAGAGCACGGCCCGCACGCCCTCCCCGCCTCCCGCTGCCCCGAAGAGCTCGAGCCCATGTCCCGAATGCAAGTCGAAGAAGAAAGCTGAAGAGGACAATGGCTTCCCCGACGGATGGAACGGATACGGCTGGGAGGGCGACCACGTCGGTCGCCGTCCGAAGCCGCCACCCAAGGCTGAATCTGAGCCTGAGGAGAAGCCCGAGGAGCCCGAAGAGCCTGAGGAGAAGAAAGAGGCGGGTATCCCCGCTTGGGCTGCCGCCGATGCTCCGAGCCCGTGGCCAGTCCCCGGCCCATGGATGCAACCCGTCGCTCCGCTCCAGATGCCCAACCCCACCGGTTTCCCAGTCGCCTACGTCCAACCCCCTCAGTGGGCGACGCCGTCTTACCCTACGCCGTCTTCGTACGCGCCGCCCCAGACTCCAGCCACGCAAGCATACCAGCAGCCGCCTGCCAACCCGTGGTCAGAGCCTTACCAGTGGATGAGTGACCCGCGCTTCGCCAGCGTGCTTGCGGCCACGGGCCAGCAGGCTCCACCCCCGCCTCAGGCTATGTCGCCTCCGCCTCCTGGCTTCATGATGGGCCTTCATGGAATGATGCCGACCATGCCGATCCCAGCCCCTGCGCCGAGCTACCCGCCGCACTTCTTCCAGCCCCAGGGCGGCTGCAACAACCCGATGTGCCCGGTTCACTCGCCCATGGCCCAGTCGACACAGCCAACTCCGCCTTGGGCAGGCTTCGGTCCCCCCGCTGGACCAAGTGGGCCGGCAGTGCCACCTGATATGGCAGAGCGACTGCACCACTACTTCGTCCGACCCCCCGGCCCTCCGCCCAAGGCACCCACGCCTCCGCCAGCGCCTACGCGGACTCCGTCTCCGCCTCCCTGGATCCCGCCCTGGGTCAAGGATCCGAACTGGATGTGGCCGAACCGCTTCAAACCGTCGCCGCCTGCCACGCCGCCTCCGCCGCCCACGCCCCCTCCGCCTCCTACTCCCTCTCCGCCGCCTCCTCCTCCGCCACCGCCCCCGCAAGCTCATCCCGGACACGCCTGGCTCACGCCCCACCTTCATGACATGTGGATGACCCTCCCGCCCGGCGGACGGCCGTCGCGCGCCCTCATGGGCGTTATGGCGGAGCAGGGGCATGTCTTCCCTCAGGGCGGTGCGGTGCACTACGAGGGATATGGCGGACAGGCTGCGCTCGGGAACGGCGTGCAGTGGGTGTACGCTGGTCCTCCTGCTGCGCCGATCGACTGGACCCCGTACAATGTACCCATGTTCCGTCCGTAGAGGCCTCTACTCTCATCGGCAGCAGGCAAGTCAGTGAATCGATACCCAAATACCCAGGAAACGTATACCCATATACCCCTCGGCCGAGACAGATTGTACCCCTTCATGCTATACCGTCGGCTGAGCGAGCGTAGAGCTCTTCGAAACGAGCAGCGTGAACGGACGTGGAAAACTCGGTCGTGGCTGAACAGACAGAGCAGATCTACGGCTATGTCTCAGACTGTTCGGTCGCACCGAAGATCACGATCCCTCGCACTGTCTCGCACGCTTTCGAACCTGTCGTGAGTCAGATTGGCAAGCTGTAGTCAGTCGCATGGCGTGCCTGCCTCAGCCTTCCCCATCAGTCCCAGCCCGCGGAAAGCTCCAGATTAGTGTCGTTCCATAGCAAGTCTACTTGTCTAATCCCTTCACGTAGTCGACGACCTCGTGCCAGTCCTTCACCCGCGTAACGCCCTGGGGCAGCCACGCCTCGTCGATACGTTTCTGTCTCCTCTGCCTCGCCTCGTCGAGCTTGCCCTCCTTCTCAAGCTCGACGTATGTCTTCTTGTCATCGGGATTCTCGGGGTCGGCGGGGTTGCGAATCTCCGCGTTCCAGGGGTACGAGCCAAAGAGGAGGACCTGCTTGTGCGGCTCGAGGCGAGCACACGTCAGCGCATTCTCGGCGCTGTCGTCGACGAGCAGCAGGGCGTTCGTCTGCATCATGACCTCGTGCTTTGTGCGCTTGTGGTGCGAGACAACGGCGCGCTTCGCTGCGTGGCCCTCGTGCTCCTCCTTCGTCGCTGGGATCAGGTGGTTGAACGCGCCCGTGAAGTGGATCTCGTCGAAGACTTGTGTCAGCTAAAGCGGCGATGCGCAAGTTCGGCGGAGAGGGAGAGAGGGCAGGACACAAGAGAGAAAGAGGGTGATACTCACTGTCCGGCAGGTTCTGGGCAAGCCACTCCTCGGTGCCCTCACGCTGACTCTCGGATCGCGCCGTGATGATGATGAGGGTGTAGCCCATCTTCTTCAGCGTCTCCAAGCCCTCCTTCGCTCCCGGCACTAGGCGCGGGCGGTCCATGAGGCCGTTCCGGTACAGCTGGGACTGACGTTAGCTTGCTACCGAGCATTCACGGGCTGAAAAGCTCTTTCACTTTGTCTACAGCTGTAACTGCACTCCAGCTGTGGCGCAAGCAAGAGGAAAAAGCAGGGAGTAGTTGCTGAAAGCAGGCAAGTAGTCAATGGGGCCGTACTCACGACCATCTCCACCGTCTGGGTCTGGTTACCCCATCCGCGGTTGTGCCAGTAGAGGTAGTGGTGGAACTCATCGAGTGTGATCGGGGGCGAGACGTCGAACAGGTCGTGGTGCATGTCAACGATGGTCTGGTTCGTGTTGCTGCGTGTCAGCTTGAGCATTCTCGATCAGCTTCGGTCGCGCCGCTCCAGCGTGGTTACTGGGGCTGCTCCACCGCACTCAACAACACGGATCCCAACGCCGCCCACACATGCGCTCACAGCCCAAGCATCATGAGCCAAGACTTTAAGGCCAAGAGCAAGCGACACTGAATCAGAGGCGTCTCGGACCCGGGTCACGAGTGCACGGGTGACTCACCACAAAACGTCGTCCATGTCGATAGCGAGCACGCCCTTGCCCGTAGGATGCGGGTGGGTGTGGGGTACGGCGGCGTCTGCGTCATTCTCGATCGTGAGCGGGTCCGGCTGGCCGCAGTTGTCCGGGTCGTCGGCGCGGGTCTGTGTCGTCGGGTGGTCGCTCATCGCTGCAGAAGTGTTGTGGAGTGGTTCGAAGCAACAAACGCAACTCAATCACCGTGACGTTGACGCCTCGCGCTCCGCACTGAGCTCTGAGCGCCTGGAGCCAGGTTTTCGGACTCGGCCGTCTGCCGCCCGCGCTCACGCCTCCGTGGATAGCCGTCATTTCAGTTCAATACAATTCGTTGGAGGACGATCGAGGCGACGGGTAATGTGTTATTAGGAATCTCTGGCCTCGGGATTACCATGACGGACCTCACCCACGGCAACGTGCTTGCTTGTACGGTCAGTGCCGTGCAGGCTTTTGCTTCTGTCACACCCGTCCAAGAGAGTTGCTGAGATGTTACAACGACTATGCATGTCAAGTCGGATATTATATGGGACGTAGGTAGATGCCGGTGCGATTAGATAGATACAAATGATGGACAGCTCCCCCCTCTTTACCTACCCGCCTTTCTCCTACCTCCTCTCCTCCACCCTCATCGCTCTCCTCGCTTGTGTAGCGCTACGCCAGGCAGCATCTACGCCGAGCCCATGAGGGCAACGCCCACGCCGAGCGCAATGACAGCCCAGGCGGCACGATGCCGTCTGGACCCGCTGCACTTAACGGCGAGCTGGGCTTTGTTCCCATCGGTGGCCGTGTTTACGCAGTTCTCCCACGTCTGGGCGTTCTTAGCCTCGAAGAGGCAGTATTGGGCTCCACTGGCGAGAGCGCCCTTGAGGCTAGCGCAGCATGCCGTCGTGATAGTTCCAGTGCCAGCGGCTCCGAAACATTGGCCATCGTCCGGGTTTGACGACGGAAGAAGGTCTTTCGGGCCTTGTTCTGAGATCGATGAGGACTGCGCAGCAATCTTCTGGCCACTTTGCTGTGATGGTGATGACGGGGAAGGCGCAGAGACGGGTGATCGTGAGGGCCCAGTTGGCGTTGAAGGCGTGGCCAAGCTCGACCCGCTCACGGCGGAGGCAGAGGTCGAGCTGCTCGCTGCGCTCACAGCGCTGGCATCCGCTCCGAGGGGTGCAGGGTCGTCGGCCGGGGAGTCGTTGCTAACGACCGGGTCGGAGGAAGGGCCCGGCGTGAGGCTGATGGAACTCGTGGGCGCAACGAGGAGCGAGCTCGCGACGGTGCTGTTGAGCGCTACGGCCGTCGCGACGGTCACCGCTGGAGCGCTTGACGTCGTCGTGAGTGCCAGGGCCATTGGCATTCCGGCGGTTGGGGTATGGTGTAGTGCTGGAGGCAAGAAGAATGATGAGCGGCGCTGGATCGTGATCGTGGGTTATTAAGGCCAACGGCGAGCGGTCAGCTGTACGCACTACGGCTGCAGCACCGACTGGCCTCGGCGGCCCACGGCGGCGGGCATGGCACGGCTACTGCATGGCTTCGCGCCTGATAGCAGGAGATGGTCGAAGCTAAAATGCAGATGACCCAGTTGGTGCATTGCCCAGCGCAGCAGAAGTTGGTCCTGTGGTCCTAGAAGGGCAAGCCAAGGGCACGAGGGCACCCGGAGCTTGAGGCACCGCAGGAGCCACCCGATGGATTGTTTCAGGTGCAGTGCGCTGCGTCCTGCAGGCCCCGTCTTTATCTCGCTTTAAGCGTACAGGTGCACCACGCGTACCTCGACTGACGAGTAATGAGAAAGGAGACATGCGTACATGGCCCCCGTCCGACGTTTTTCCTCTTCTGAACTGGGAGCGGGGATTGCGTAACGCCCCCTGCTCTCTCACCAGCTATCAACACTTGTTGGCGCACCGGTCGTGCCTCCGGCTCTCGGAGACGAGACAAGGGGGCGTGCCGGGCGTTGCGACGTCTCACGTTCCACCACGGTCAGATGATCGTCCATGCCAGCATCTCTCAAACCTTGGTACCGCCATTGCTGTCATCTTCCGAGTGTCGCACTGCAGAGAAGAAGAAACAGAAATCGCATGGGAATGAGATGGGGTGGAGCCAGCCGTGCCGTGGGGCCAGGAGCAGTGCATGCAGTGCTGACCTTTGCTCCTGCTGGATCTGCTGCGCTGCAATATACCTGCTTTGTGATCGCAAGATCGTGCGAGTGCGCAGCTGAACTAGGTCACTAGACCAGGACAAGGCTGACTTAGTTGCAGATGTCACCCGCACTCGCACCACAGTACGCCAGCGTACCAGAGTGACACCGCTGCGCCACCGCACTAGGCTAGATCCATGATTCAGCTCATCCAACACCATTCAGACGGACATGTCGCATTACAGGGAAGGACAGGGTGCAGAGGGAAGGTAGCTTCGATTAGATGTTATCTACCCTCCAACGTGACGCAAGCATTGCACTCGCCTCCTACATCTCTCTGACTGCGCCTTCGTAATCCACGCAGCTAGCATGCACAGGTGCTTTCGGAGCATCCGCTTCGGTAGCAGACTTTGAAGGCTGACAGATTGTTTCTGCTCATTCCTTATGTGGAAACACCGAATCACAAGGACCTGACTCGTATATAGAGTGCAGATGTGCAGGAGTGTGCAGGAGGAGGACGAGCAGAAACGCAGGCCAGGATGTCGCGAACCCAACCGTAAACCTTGTTGCTCAAGCTGCACACCTTCCTGACTTTCGTTTGAAGCGCACTAACGCTCCAACACGTTGGGCCTTTATCTGATCCGCGGTCCGCCTCATCGTCGCTGTCTGCCAAGCCAACCATAACCACCCCAGGTCAGCAGAGAATGTTGGGCTCGACTAAGTTGCAATAAGGTTATCAAAGATAGATGCTCGCACAAGGCTGGCCCAGGTGAGCTCTCGAAAATAGGAAAGCCGGCGCGATGAAACACCTCACTCCTGAGGCGCGAGGGGCCACAAACTCCTAGACGAACTTGCCGGCGTCCGAATGTTCCTCCAGAAGATCTGGCCAGTCGTACTGTCGCATGCTTCGTGTCGTGTTTCGTGGAGATAAGCGGCTACGTGCAAGCATAGATGAGTGTCCTGCATGGAGAGCATTTTGGCGAGACATTTTTACTGCAGACTTCACACCTCAATGTCTCTAGGGTGCCATGAATTGTAGCGATACGAAGCCTTGTCACGGCTCCCACAGTCGAAGTCGTAATGATCAGCCGTAATCAGCCGACTGATATGGGAGGACGACTCTTGTTCATGTTGATTGCTTATGAAGGTACGTTGAATCGACATCGTCATCTGATCGTCTGAGAGAGGCAGTTTGGTGCTTCGTTCCTCCGATCATATTGATATGCTGCAGCGTTCCAACAAGCTGGTATTGTCAAAGGCACCATCGGAGAGCACAGCACAGCAGGGCCGCAAAAGCTCGAGCTGCTTCCGATGCTCATGAGACCCGTCCTCCGAGTTTGCAGGCCATAAGCCACAACTTAGCTGTTGCGCAAATCCCGGACATGGTCGCGATGAATCCGAACAACGCAGTTAGAAACCACATCCTCATGCAGTCGCACTACTTGTTCTGTTCTTGCAGACAGCGTTTGACTGTCGATTGCGTCAAATCAAGGTCCTTTGAGCACTGCCACCAGGCGACCTCCACCAGTTGCCACGTGGGATTGCCTCCGATGGCACTAAGATCGCTGAGTGAGCGGCGGCTCCATGGAGTGCGGGGTCTGGGTCGCTGCTCGCTGGGCCCTGAGGCCATACCTCGTCATCGTCATCGCTCTTGCTCCCTTCACCATCGTCCTCTTCCTTTCACCCCAGCATCATGTTCTCCTCTGCGGCGAACCCCTACGACGAGCTCGTCAGTGAGTATACCAAGATTTCGCATGAGGACAAGTTTCGAAACGTTGTGCATCGCCCCCCGAGGGCGATGCTCTATGCCCGCTGTGCGCTGGTTGGTCACGCCACTGACACCAACAGCGAAGGCGACCGACGAGAACCTCGCCTCTGAGGACTGGGACACGAACCTTCAGATTTGCGACAAGGTCGGCGATGAGGGACAGAATGGGTATGTTGTGCAGGCTAAGGCCTCAGGACGGCCCACGGCTGACATACCAGTGCACGAAACGCCGTAGCCGCTCTCGTGAAGCGTCTGTCGCACCGCAACCCGAACGTCCAAATCTATGCTCTCGAACTCGCGAACACGCTCGCTCAGAACTGTGGCAGGCCGCTGCATGAGGAGCTCAGCAGCCGGGCATGGACTGGTGCTCTCGAAAGGCTTATCACAGACCGGGCAACGGCCCAGCCGGTCCAAACCAAGGCGCTGCGCTACGTGAAGGAGTGGGCGAGGCAGTTTGAGGAGACGGGAGATGCGAATCTCAGTCTCATGAGCGAGCTGTACGACAGGCTTCGTGCCAAGAGTGAGTTAGATGCCATGTGTCGGTGACTGACGTTCAGACTTCCAGTTCGATGAACCGGAGCCGACGCCCGAGGACCAGGACGAAGTGCGCCGCCGGCGAGAGGAGGAGGAGCTTGCGGCAGTCATCGAGCTGTCGAAGAAGGAGACGGGTGGACGTGGGAGCATTGCCAACGACAACCGGGGATCGGCGTCATCACAGCCTGCGCCCCAGCACCACCAGACCGCAGCCGCCGCTGCCCCCGCACAGACGCCAGCGTACAACAGCCCCTCGTACGGCAACCCCTCTTACAGCGCGACGGCGCCCCAGGCGCAAGCCCCGGCCGAGCCGCAGCCCGTTGACCCGAACACCGCCACGCGGGTGCGGGCGCTCTACACTTTCACGTCTGATCAGCCCGGGGAGCTCTCGTTCGAGCGTGGGGATGTCATCAAGGTGCTGAGCCGCGGATACAAGGAGTGGTGGCGTGGCGCTTGCAACGGCAAGATTGGAATCTTCCCGGTCACGTATGTCGAGGCGCTCCCGGAGCCGACGGCGGGCGAGCTGCAGGAGGAGGCTCAGGAGGAGGCGCGAGTGTTCGGCAGCCTGGGTCTCGTCGACAAGCTGCTCGAGATTCTCAAGAAGATCGACACGTCTCGGGGCGACCGCCTTCAGGACAACCCCGAGGTCGAGGAGCTGTATCAGTCGAGCGTCGCGATCCAGGGCCAGATCAACGCCCTCATCAAGAAGTATTCGGACCAGCAGGCTGAGCTCGCCAACATGAACGTGAACTTCCAGCGCGCCATCCAGCAGTACGAGACGCTCCGCGGCGGCCCTCCTCAGGCACCTCCCCAGCAAGGTAAGCTTCCTGCCTGGGATGTTTGATCGAGCTGACATTCAGCGTACGGCTACGGCGCTCCGCCCCAGGACCCCTACGCCCAGCAGCAGCAGCAGCAGCCCCATGACCAGGGCTACCAGCAGCAGCAACCTCCCCACGACCCCTACCAGCAACAGCAGCAGCAGCAGCACCCTCAGCAGCATTCTCAGTACGGCTCGCAGGACGCCTTCCCGCAACCGCACGTCGCTCACGGCGCCTCTCACCACAGCCTCCCCGGTGCTGGTGCCGGCGGGCATGTCGCTCCAGGCCAGCCGTACCACTACCCGCAAGAGCCTCAGGGCCACCCTGCTCCTCAGCGCAATACCAGCGGTGCACCGTCATACCCGCCGGCAGACTCGCCTCAGCGCCAGAACACGAATCCCGGCAACGCTGGCATCGGCACCGGTGACCCGTACGCCCAGCAGCCGCAGGGATACTACCAGCAGCCCCCGCCCCAGCAGCAGTACGGCCAGGGCCCGCCCCAGGAGAGCCCCGGCGTGTACGGTGCTCCTCCGGGCGCTTCCCAGCAGGGCCAGCAGCCGCCGGGCCAGGGCTTTAACTTTGCGCAGCAGGTGGCGGACGTCGCAAACGGCGTGAACCGGATGAACGTGCAGCATTAATGTGTATAGACGGGCTAGGTTTTGAGACGATGCAAATGATCAGATTGTATGCGAGGTAGAGTCAGACGAGATGCATTCGGGCCGATGCTTCGGCCGACGCATGCTGGCCGATAATGGTAACGGCAGAGCAGGCGTGAGATCTGAGGATGGATGCCGAGGACGGGGGGTGAGGGGGTGAGGGCGGAGTGTCAGCGGGGGATTTTCGTTGCCGCAGGAGATTGTCGACCACATGGCACCTTGTCGCCATGTTTTTTTCACGTCCGCATCCGCCTCCACCTCGGCCCTCGCCCTACCCTTCCTGCCTGACGATCCCAAGATCGACTTCGCCATCGCATCCTCCACTTTCCCCTCCAATTCGACAATGAACCCATACTACCTCCCCGAGATCGGGTATCCCTTCGCGAACGGGGGGTACTCGTCGGCCGGCAGCGCCGTCTCGTCTCCCGCCCCGGGGCCGTCGAACGTGCCCTCCGCCGCCGCCTCCTCGACAGGCTACGGCTCGGCGCACCACACGCCGCATCCGTCCCACCACGCCCATGCCGCTTCCCCCCTCTGCGCCGGCACCGATCCCGACATCCGGACCACTCGTTCACCCACACCAGGACCTGAACTCGTTCCTTGAAAGCTTCTGGGCCAGGCAGATGGACAGCGTCGAGAGGGAAACACCAGACTTCAAGACGTACAACCTCCCCCTGGCGCGTATCAAGAAGGTCATGAAGAGCGATGAGGAGGTCAAGATGATCAGTGCCGAGGCCCCCATCATGTTCTCCAAGGCTTGTGAGAGTGAGTAGACCGAATGCTAGCGGCCGTGAGCCTGCGATCCCGTCTTCCCCGTCTTTCGTGCGATGGGGGGCGCATCCGCCCTCATGACGGTCTGGGAGCATCCGTCTCGGGCGCTCGCAGCACTTCGGATCAACAGGACGGCTGCGGACTCTGGGAACGTGCCGCAGGCGACGTGCCGCGGGCGAGCGACCAAGCTACCATAGACATCCCCAGCTAACAACAGTCTTCATCTCGGAGCTCACGTGCCGCGCCTGGCTAGTCGCCGAGGGCCACAAGCGACGCACGCTGCAAAAGTCGGACGTCGCCGCCGCCATCGCGTTCAGCGACGTGTTCGACTTCCTCATCGACATTGTGCCGCGCGACGACGGTTCGGGTGGCGCCGCCGCCACGGCCAGCGCCGACAATGACAACCAGCCGGACGCCGAGGGCGAGGACGCCCCCGCCGCGCAGGAGGATGGAGAGGGAGGAGACGCGATGTACCGCGAGTATGTCCGGGGTGGTGAGGAGGGCGAGGGATTCGCTTAGGAGGCGTATCGGGCCTTGGGCCTGCCCATTGCGCGCAAGCCGGCTGAGGCTGCGGAGGATAAGGAGGAGTAAGCAGGAGACTTGAGGCTGCACCGCTGGCTGCGCTCAGTCCCTTCGCTGCTTGCAGCGTCTCACTCTCTCTCTCTCTGCTTGTATACCCGCCCACCACCCTCTCGCCGCTCGCGCTCATAAGTAAATATTACATTATACCACAGTTCACAGAACACTATAGACGATCGCTCCTCGGGGCCTAGATGTATCCATGCCATGTCACAGCCGTATGCTCACGCTCATGTTCACGTCTCGGTAAGGGGTCCACCCGCCGCACGCTCAAGCTCGTTCCGGACGCGCTTCCTATTCGCTTCCCTCGCGCGGATCGCCTCGCCGTCCTCGTCGTCCGAATCGGACTCGGCCTGGTCGAAGAAGCTGATGTCAGCTGGTAGTCATCCGGAAGGCAGGTAGCTGGCTCCGGCTCCAGTGCCAAGCACACTCACATCTTCTCGATGAACGCGCCGGCCGCCTTCTCGCTGAACTCGGCCTCGCGCGCACCCCACCGCCATTCGATGACCTTGGGCTGGCCGCCAGTACCTCCGCTTTCCGCCTGGTATTAGCTCCGTGCTGAATCCCTCAGCTGGTGTATTGCTCACCTTCTCCAAGTAGCGTTTACGCGCCAGCAGATCGAGGTACTTGTCGAGAGTGAGCTTCTCTCCCGTTCCGTCCTTAGAGGCATACGGGAGCACTGTGTCGCGGTGCAATCCGAGGCGGCGGAGGAGGGAGTGCAGCTGGTCGTCGGGCACGCTCCGTCCGAGACTGAGGATGATACACAGGATAACGGTACGAATACCGAGCAATCCGAGCGCGCCGGTCTGCGACGCATCCGCCTTCTCCCACTGCAGCACGGCACCCGAATCCGCCTGCGCCGCCTCTGCCGCCGCTTCGTCCTCGGGCAAGGGGAGCGGGTTCGGTTTCGTCATTTCCGCGATCAGGGCTGTCGGCAAAGCCGAGCGCACGATGTACGTCTTGCTCATGGGGACTGAGCGTCAGTTTCCCATCCCAGGGTCGATAACTCACCCTTTGCAGTGGCCATCTCGCCGTCTTCCTCCTCCTCCTCCGAGCCCGATGCGTCAGACGCGTCGTCCTTCCGACGCCGCCGCTTCTTCTTCCGCTGCGTCTGTGCTTGTGTTTGAGCCTGGGTCTGCGGGTCGTCGAGGTCGCCCTTCCTCCGCGCACGCAGCTCGACAATCTCGAGCCCGAACACGGAGCGCAACTTCTCGTTCGCGCGGGTCAAGACTTCAACGAAGGCGCGCTTCTTTGTCGGGATAACTGAAGTCAGCTGGCTAGTTTCTGCAAAGAAGCTGGAGATTCTGTCGATTCTAATCGAGCTACTGTGAGGGTGAAGGAAGATATCACTCACTCATCTCCGTGATCGTCTCGCGCTTCAATGGTTGACGCCTGTACTCCGTAAACAGCGCCAGGCGGACGAGCTTGGCCGCGGCGGCATTGAGATCCTGCTGTCAGCTAACCCCTACCTGATTAACTTACGCTCTCGCCGAGGATCTGTTCTCGCGGCGGCATGATGGTGGAAGCTGTCCAGTGCAATGTCAAAACAAATCCGGTCGCGTCCTTCAGTCCAGTCATCTATCACGCGCGTCTGAAACAGCCTAGAACCCTGCCATGGCCATTTACCTCCATTTCAGCTTCATCCTAATGGTGTGCCTAATCCGCCACCCGAGACTACAATAGCGGGACCAAAGCGCGTGACTGTGTGGTCAGATGACGCACTGATCGGCCACCTTCCTCGATCGAGCTGTCGCTATCACTACGCTCTGCAACAACAACAACAACAACACGACAAGCAAGATGGCAGCACTCGGTGCACCGCCCGAGTGGCAGAATGTGATCCGCGCGCGGCTTATGGCGCAACAGAACGTGAACGAGCCGCTAAAGGATGTCATCGAGCAGTGTAAGTTTACTATCTTGAGGCTTGAACTGACGCGCAGACCAGAGACTGGCCAAGGCGGCGAGGGAGCTGAAGGTGCGCAACGCCGCGCTGCTGAGAGGAGGTGGTGGTGAAGGGTGAGTACACTGCCGTTTGGTGCAGGCAGACTACGCGACGACGTGTGCATCTGGTCTTCCTCCGATTGCAGGGTGTCGCCGGGAGTGGCCACCGACTGCAGATCTGACGGAGGTAATATGATCGGGAGCACCAGGCGTCCAGCTAGGGTGATGTGAGCGACAGCTGACAGCAGATCCTCATCTGCGCCGCTTGTTTCGCACCTCGACGCGCAGCTGAACGCTATGCGTACAGAGCTCGCGACGCTGTATCGCACACAAGCAGCCGCGCAGAACAAGCAGCTCGCGATGGCCGACAGCCTGCGCGACAGGGACGAGGAAGTGCGCGGTCTGCGCGAGGAAGTGCGCGAGCTCCGGGAAGCGAGGGACGGGGGCACGCGCCGAGAGCGCAACTGGGAGGAGCGGTGGAGGATGCGAGATGAGGATGTCAAGGTGAGTACGAGGATGACGAGCGCGACGAGCTGGAGTCCGTACGCCAGAGCTGACCGCAGACCCTGCACGACGAGATTCTGTCGCAGCAGATCGAGATCTCGGGCTTGACGCAGCGCAACGCGGCGCTGCAGGCCGACAACGCCTCCTTGCTGCAACGGTGGCTGGACAAGATGAACATGACGGCCGACGAGATGAACACCCAGTTCGAATCGGAGTCTGCCGCGCACGCTGCGTCGGCGTCGGACGCACAAGCGACACCCAAAGCGGAGAAGACGGCCAAGGGCAGCGAGGAGGCAAAGGAACAGCGGGATTTTCGCGGAGGCGGGAAGGGCACGCCGAGCAGGAGAAAGTAGGCCCTCCCCGCTTGACCGTTGATGTAGATGAGAAGAGGCGCAGTGCGAGTTCGACTGGGACGACGGGGACGCCAGAATGGGAAGTCTTAACTGCCCGCACAGACATAAGCGACGATGACTGGGAGGAAGCCAGGCGGGCTGTGTAGCGCACATCTCTGCCCGTGCTGGCCCCGCCGATACTCACTATCGCCTCGCCTGTGCTCCCCCACGACGAGACCATGACCGTCAGGCCCGTCTGCGATGCGAATGAGTAGATAAGTGTTGTACATAATGCCAAATTGCCATGAGATAGAGATACCAGCTGCACGCTTGCACGGGGATATATTCATGTGTCTTTTGCTCTACAGCCAGGATATCTAGAATACAACAGGGGTGAGGAGGAGGATACAGGAGAAGGAAGGTGATGTACATTGGCGGTCCGGCCGCCTAGTTCAGCGCCTGATCAGAGCCGTGGGGTGCAGGGTCGAGATCAGTCTTGGGAAGAGCTCAGCCTACGGCGTCGGCGTCGGCATCAGCCTCGACCTCGGCCTAACGGCCTCGGCGAGTCTACTGCCTCATGCGCTTGACGCCCCTCTCGCTCGGCCCTGCCCCATTCGCAAGCGCCCAAATCAGATCCTCCTCCGGCGGCGTCGTGACGCCTCCTGCCCCTCCCTGCTGCTGCTGGGCAGCGTGCATGCGCTCCTGCTCTCCATGGGCTGCTGTGGGCCACACGAATTCCTGCTGCCCCTGCTGCGGGGGCAGGCCCATCTGTCCTGCTCCGCCGAGGATGTCCCGAAGGAAGCTGTTGGAGGACGAGCACGAGGTCAGTTTCAGGAGCTGCTGCTGCTGCTGCTCGAGCAGGGCGCGTTTCTGCTCCTGGTGCGCTTGCTGCATGTGCAGCCAGGCGTAGGTCGTGAGGCCCATGTCGCCGCCCAATCCCCCGGGCGTGGGGAGGTAGTTGCTTTGTACTTGGGGAGGGTAGGCGGGGTACGACGCGCGCTGGTACTGCGGCTGCTGCTGCTGCAACCCGAGCGCGTAGGACAGGCCCGCAACGGAGGGACTCTCCTCGCGCTCGCGCTTGCGCTCATAGTCGCGCTCCCGCTCCCGCTCTCGGTCGTCGAGGAGCGAGCCGACAAAGCTCTCGTCGCGCTTCGGCTCGCGCCACGCGACGCGGCGCTTCTTGTAGCTCTCCTTGCCCTTGAGGCTCTTGGCGGGGCCCTTCTTCGGCTGCTGCTCGCCGTCGTCGTTGCCCGCGCCGCCCTCGTCGTCGTCATCGTCGTCGTTGATCATGGCCTCGAACTCGGCCCCGCGCCGGCGCTCAATCGTGCCCTCATACTCGTTGTAGCGGTCGATCTCCGAGTCAAAGTCCGCAGAGGAGAACTCGTACGGCTTGCCGTTCGAGGAGAAAATGAGCAGCGAAACGTTCGCCCCGCACAGGACTGAGAGCTCGTAGGCCTTCTTCATCAGGCCCGCCTTGCGCTTCAGGAAGGTCACGTTGCGGTTGCGCTCGTCCTAATCGTCAGCCGAGGCTCACTTCGGGTTTTCGATGTGGGCAAGAGAAATGGAGGCAGTATGCATGAGGGAGCAAGACCCCGGGGAGGTAGAAGGAATGGAAGGGGGAGTGCAAGGGATGCAGAAGGGAGCAGTAAGAGGAACGTCGATACGCACCGTGAGCGGCTTGATCTCGATCTTTTTGCGGCCCATCGTGTCTTATTCTGGCTCGGTAGGTGTTGCAGTGGGGTCTTGGCGGGGACTAGAGGAGTCGCAGTACGAGACTTGCACACTCTTCCAGATGGGCGTGCTTGGAACGAAAGGTAGAGTGCTTGGCAAGAGAGACAAAAGTGGGTAAAGAAGAATCTCTCGTCGTGAGTACTTCAAGGCCGGGTGTGTCGTCGATGAGTCGGTCAATGTCGGGTGGTGTGCCAGGAGACAGTGGTGAGTGAGAGTCCAAGAGGCGATGAGACCGGGGGAGGGGGTGAGCAGGCGGGCTCTATGTTTAGAGTGGGGGCAGAGGTGTGGGCCTATTTTCGACGCGCGGGGGGCTTTTTTTGCTCCCGCGCTGCTCTGAGGGTAACTTGGCCAGTACCCCGGACCTGCTGCCGACGCAAGCGAGATGCACACATGCTGCTCAGGGCAGGCGACCGAGAGCTTCAGCCGGATCCGCCGCGGCAATTCTTTCTCATTAGGAATGGATCCTAATCCACTTCATCCAGTGCAATTGAGGGATTATCTTATGCATTAGAGTGAGTTGGCGGAAATGAGAATTCCGCACAGACGATGCGCACAGCTTTTCCAGCCGTGTCATGCTCTCTGCCGTTCAAGGCGTCAGGCTCAACCAGCCAGAGCCCAGCTTGGTGGTGCTGCGCAGACCCAGATCTGTTATCAGAGACCGATATAGACCACACACTCGCTTCCGATCATCGGGAACTCCTGCGCAGCCTGCTCCACTACAAATACAAAGACATGCGTAACGATGGATCTGTCTACCGAGTCTAGATTTCAGATTGAGCCAGAAAGGCGATGCAGAAAGCATGTGCTGCCATGGACTTCACTGTGGATCAACAGAACTTAGCGTCGTCGCTATGCTCGGCTGCATCGGTACAAGGGGACAAGGCACCCCTCTAGCTCCGCCATCCGCCAGCTGCGGACGAGTAGTGCGGTACGCTTGCACGCTGCCCTTCGGCGTCGGACTCCGCCGAATACGACGCTGTGATACGGCCGTTACATTCGATACACTCTCCGATTTCTGTCCATTCCAAACACTCAAACCCATCTCCGTTCATTCCAGAAGCCAGATACGACGTCACCAGATCCGGGGCTGTCTCGGAAAGTCTACACGCTGCATTGTGCAAAGGGTCAAGGACAGTTTATGCATATACACCTTCCGGAGCACCACACGCTTGTCGTTCGTACAACACAGGCCGTCGCCCTCGGCCACTTCGGTCAACTCAAGATCGCCCTTCTCCGTCACCTAAGCACTCCCGGCCGACGTGCCGGCCGATCGAGCATAATGTTCACTTCCGCACTCATTTCTTTCCCCGCACCCCGCAGGTACTCTTTCTCCACAACTCCGTTCGATCGCGAGCACGTGCGGATCACATGCTCAGGCCCTCTCCTCAAGCTCGCTGAGCCCCGCAGATAACGCTCACTCCTCCTCCCTGATCTTGACTGCCTCCGCCGGCTTGTCCGCAAAGGCCGGGTTCATCCTCCTCCGCTTGTCCTCCTCGTATGCCTTGAACGTCGCTTCGGCATCGTCGCTCATCGCGAACTGGTCGGTCGGCACTCCCTGCGCCTTGAGCGCCTTCAGCCAGAGAGGGAGCGTCGGCTCCCAGAGCGGATGGATGTTGGACGGGTCCACGGGGCACGCCCAAGTGGCGCGCGAGACTTCTCGGTCCAGCCTGTCTGCCTCGGTGGCTCCATTCGCCGCCATCGTTTTGGCGTCTTCGGAGTCGACGTTGTGCATCGCCTCAGCAATGTCGACGTAGCCGAGCACATTCGAGTGCTGCTCACAGAACGCCTTCAGTCCTTGGTTGAAGCGCTCCGTCATCTCAATGCGCACAGGCTTCGTGCAGAGCGGCGGGTCGTGGACGAGTAGCTGCTGCACTGTCATCTTACCCACTGGGCTCTCGTTCAGTGAAGCACGCGCCATGGCGGTTTCGATCGTCTCGGGCGTCAAGCGAGTGGTGGAACGAGGCGCCTTCTCACCGCGCTCGAATGCACGCTGCGCACTGACGTGATCCGCCTCGAGGCGCTCGACATACTTCTGAGGGATACGGGGCAGCGTCTCGTCTTGCACCAGTGGCGGCAGCGCGGCGGCAACGAGCACCTTGGTCGGGGGCAGGCGGCGGACATTGTCCGGCGCATCCGGGGCGGCGATGGCAGCTGCCCGGCGCCCAACAGGACCATTGACGACCTCACGCTCAAGCCAGGTCGTGTACGCCTTCAGGACGGTATCAACGAACCGTTCAGGACCGAGTGCAGGACCGCGGCCCTCATTCTCTGTCGCGTTCGCGAGGATCCGTTCCGTCTCGCTCTCCTCCGATGCCGCTGGCGCGACCGCAGGTACGTCAGACCATGTCCCGGGGCCGAGAGGTTTATGCTGCAGTTGCCAGAGATAGTTGATTTGGAGGTCAACCTGATGTCAGCTTGCCATAGTATAAGAAACTCACGTTACCGAAGATGAGCAGAGCGTACCGGCCTGATGGCGGCAGGTAGGCGTATGGAGGAGGTGCAAGCAGCCTGTTCAGGAGTGGGACCAATTCGTTCGACACCTGCTTCAGCGACTTGGGGTTGTTCAATCCCTTTGGTGTCAGAGTAGTCAGAAGGAGGCAAGTACCTTGGCGCTGCTGCCCTTGAACGTCTGCGTCTTGGAGTACCGATCACTGAGCAGCTTGAAAGGGCCGACAAAGGAGTCGCCAAAGACGAAGAGGGAAGGGCCTGAGGAGCCGCGCTGATGCGGTGGAGGGTCCCGCTGAATGTGGTGGTGGCCACCTCGGGGAGTGTGTGCGCCGTCACGGTCACTCCATGGCCGCCGATCGTTGCCCCCAGACGGAGGGGTTGAGGAAGACCACTTGCTGCCGCCAGCAGGTGATCGAGGCACCGGTGAACGATTGTTGGCTATCGGAGGAGCATCGCCTGCATTGAGTTGCGCCTTGCGGAGGTGAGGCGGCACGTATCGACCCTGTGTTGAGGCCATTGGACAAGAAACTGTGAAAGGGAGTGGACTGGGGAGCTGAGGAGCTGAGGAGAGCGGCAATGATGTAGCTCGGTGGTTAGCTTGGCGAGAGCAATCGCGAGGAAGCGAAGTGGAGGGGACATGGAGTTTATTGCATCCACCTGGTTTAGATGATGAAATGGCCACGCGAGCCGTGGTGAAGGCCCTACCCTGACTTTGACGCGTAAGAGCAGGCGCGTTGGTAAGCTTACGGCTGCCCTGATGTCCTGACGTCCCGGACTGTCTGGCGTGCCGTGGACCGCGTGCAGATGCGTCGAGATCCCGCCATGGATCATGGACAGACGATGGCCTGTGCTAGCTGTGCTGTCCTGAGCATGCTGAAAGAGCACGAGAAGACGCCGCCTGGATCCTCGAATCTGTACGTAAACACGAGCCCGCGTGAAGTCATCGCCCGCAGTGCCGAACACTCATCTCAGGTCCGCTTCGCGCTCATCCTTTGCTCATCACCCTCCCCGGCACTTCCTTCATCCTGTTCGCCGCTCTCCTGTCGCTAACAACGCACTCCCATATCGCCTAATAATCTCCTGTCTCAACACTACTGCCAGCAGACGGGGTCCGCCCATCGCCCACTCGCCCGACTGACCTGCATGACCATGCCCACGCATACATAGTCGACGCCACCGCTCTCTTTATCTTTTGACGACCCCGACGATTCAACGACAAAAATCCCATCCAATACAACAAATACAAGTCTCCACCCTAGTCCATCCGGGATCCCGCCCTTCACCCTAGCACCTCGAAAGCTTAGACACCGTTCAACGCTCCCGGACTGTCCTCTTTCTTTAGTCACTCAACACATTCTGCACACACAGCTTTCACCTATCACACACCCCTTTACGTCAACACCTCTCCCTCCTTCTCACCCCACCTCTCAACGATGTCTGCCGCTGGTGGTGGCACAGACCGTTCAGAGGATCCAAGCCCTCACCCAAGCCCACATGGCAACTTCGCCGACAACGAAACCGACGCGGGCAGTCCGGCAACGACTTGCACCAGTGTTCCTTCGTCCTGTGCCCCCGACGATGACAGCTTCGGTAGTATGGTCTCCGAGCCCCACTCCTTCGATGAGGGCGAGCTCCCGGCCCTTCCTCTGCGCGGCAAGTACCACCGACACATCTCCCGCTCGGCCCTCATGCGCGACTCGGTGCACTCACTTCCCTCGATCCAGAATTTGCGAATGCAGTTTGGCGGTGTCAAGCTCGAGCACCGCATGGGCTCTGGTGTCGGCGTCCGCTCCTTCGGCGCTTTGGTGGAGGAGGAGGAGCAGCCCGAAGAGCGCCGCCGCCACAAGCCGTGGAAGGAGGTCCAGCTCTCGCGCGTTGCTCCAGAGGACGCTCGAGCGGAAGCGCTGCGTCTGACGGCCGACATGCGCGAGAAGTGGCGGCTGTCCGCAACCGAAAGTGCGCCCTCCACCCCGGCTCCCTTGCCCGAAGATCTGCGGAGCCTCTTCGTCGACACTGCCCGTGCGATTCGCCGTGTTCGAGCTCTCACTTTCGTTCTCGTACCGCCGGCCGCGCGGCGAGTTTCGGCATCGAGTGGGCGCAATGCAACGTTCTCGACTCCCTCACGGCCTGCCAGTGGCCCGACCGGCCGCTCGGTTTCGGGTTCGAAGGACCGCCTGGTGGCGAGCCTCGCGACGACTCAGCCAGACCCCAGCGCACCTGTGCGCCGTGCGGCCCTCGAGCTTCTCGGCCACTTGCGTGGGCTTGAGGAAACTTGGCGTGTACAGCAGGACCCAGTCCCGACCGTTGTCGTGATTCCAGACGGCGCTGATTCGCCATCGCCGATGGAGCGACAGCATTCTGGTGACACGAGTGCCTCCTCACCGTACGCTTATGCTAACCGGCGCTTGTCGTCGACCTCCTTCGTGGCTCCCAACAGTTCTACGTCGAGTCTCTCGATCGAGGACATCTTCTCTGACGACGAGGAGTTCAACATCAACGCGTTCGCTCGCGAGGCCGAGCAGTCCCACCACGAACCGTGGGAGGACAAGATCACGTCCGAGGCGCGCGAGTACAAGATGACTGAAGCGTCTGCTGCGGACGGAACCCGCGCTTCACTGCGGCGCTGGGCTGCGACGGTCGAGAAGGCGTTCAACGAAGCGCTCGACTCACCGCGCCTCGCGTGGCTCTCGGCGGAGCCTGGCACACCCCGCGCGCGGGCGTTCATTACGGCAAACCTGAGCCCGGAGCAGGCGGCGCTCCTCCCTGCCGACGGAGCCGGCTTCCTTCAGCGCCTCGCGGACGGATACCTGCTCTGCCAGGCTTTCAACTCGTCCGTCGCCTCTTCGTCACGGCCGTGGGGCTTCATTCCCGCCGACGACATCCACGAGACTCTCGCCGAGGCGCAAGACACAGGACGCGAGTGGACCTTCCGCCGTGTCGGCAATCTGACCTGCTGGGCTGCGTAAGTTTTGGATGTTCGGCAAGCAACTAACAACAGCGCACTGCAGCACAGGTACTTGATCCCGATCAATATGCCGACGAGTGAGGTCGCGCTCTCCCCGCCTGTACTTCCCGACTCGGCGCCCATCAAGCCCGCCCCGCCGAAGGCGTTCCCGAGGCAGAGGCAGGCGTCTGCGCACCGTGCGCACTCGATCGAGTTCGACCCGCTCGTTGTCGCCAAGGGCGCTGCTGGCTGGGAATCCGCCCTGAAGGCTGTCGTCGAGGCCTGGGTCGAGGCTGCTGCTGCGGAAGTGACGGGCGGCACGGCCGCCCCGAGCCTTGCGGCGTCGTCCGTTGCGCCGTCCGAGGCGCAGCCGACGCCGGACGTAACCGCGACAGCTCTGCCGGAGCAGACGCCCGACGTTTCCGCTGCGCCGCTACCCGAAGCCGAGGAGCCGAAGAACGAGGCGCCCGACGCCGACGCAGAGCCAGAGAACGCCGTCGAGCACTCGCTCCAGTGAATTCTAGACGCCCGAAGAACAGAAGAAAAGAAGTAATGCCACCCGAAACGACACCTAAGAAACGCCACCACAACCATACCTACATAGAAACTGAGACGACAGAAGACGAAACGACCCCCCTCTACTCCCCGGCACACACCGCCTAATCACACAGACAACAAATCACATCGTAGCTACACTCATGTTCAAATGCATTTTGTCCATTGTACGCGCCGTGAGGACGAGCCCAGTGAGCCCAGCGGAACACGAGTCAGATGTCCAGAACTGCATCAGCGCCGCCAGTACAAGTTGCATTAGTGAAAAGCCGTGGACCATAGAGTACACAAATCTACATCCGTCTATCGATCTACGGCAGGTCTGCATTCAACGTCGCCGCCATGGCAGTAGCGAGCCCCTGCGCCTGCTCGAGCAACCCCCTCATGCGCCCCGCCTCGATACCGAGTCCGCCCTCGGTCCTGATCCCGCATACGTTTCCGTTCGGTCTGAACCAGGCCAGAATCCTTTCGGGGCAAGCAGCCTCCTCGTTGGGTGACGGGTCGAGGAACGTGTTCTCGCTCCCCTGGACGAGATTCAGACTGAGCAACACCGGAAGTTCCTCCCGGCCCTCGATCCGGTGCGTGCCCTCGCCGAGGTCCCAGTCGTCCAAACCTTTCGCCCTCGCCTTACCCTTTCCTTTACCCCTCGCGCCGTCTTTGAGTGCGCCGAAGCCGCTCTTGTCCGCTGCCGAGGAGGCGTCGTCGTCCCCCGTCCACGCGATCACTTTCGTATCCGGCACCTCCAAGTCGGAGAAGGCCGCGCGTGCCGCGAGTGCGAGGGCTGTGATGATGTTGCCCTCTGCTGAGACTACGGTTAGGTGGAGAGAGGGCAGGAAGGCGCGTTCCTTCGTAATCGGGAGACGGGGGACGAAGGGGATGAAGTGCTCGGAGAGGTGGGCTGCGTACTCTGTCGACAGCGCCTGCAGAGCCGACGACTGGAGGGAGGGAAGGGCCTGCGGCGTCCTGAGGGTCAGCTGATCGCGATCCTTGGAGCTGGCAGTCGGCGATTCCACTCTGCGACTCGCCCTTATACTCACACATCCACGGCCACCTTGGCTGGTCCCGGCTCGCCGACCTCGAGCTTGACGCCAGCCACAACCTCGGTGTTGCCGATACGCACGCGCGCACTCCCGTTCGCGGCGGGTGCGACTTCGTACTCGATTCCAATGTCGCGCGGCTCGAGCAGACCTCGGCCGTCGGAGCGTGTTGGCGGCGTGCCCTTCAGGCCGTCGACGATATAGCTCAGCTCGGCTGGCGAGAGGGACGGCGTCGTGCTTGCTGTTGTCATAGCGTCCAGGTTCTAAATCGGGGGCAGAGGATGAGAAAGATGGAAGAGGAGCTTGACCCCGGCGATTAGTTGGTTGTCGAAAGTTGAGGGCCGATGAGGAGAATTGCAGGCCCACGAGAGAGCTGGATGATGCTTGTTGTTCACCTCGCAGCGAGCTCATGTCCGTGATCGACGTCAGAGTGCAACTTTTGGAATGTGCACCGTGGGAATCCAACTGCAGCATTAGCATGCCTTGTATTCGAAACTAATGTGAATATCGTAATGACGCCTAATTGGCCACTGACACGCGGCACGGTGGCGACCTTCCTCGGCATCTTACATTTCGAGCTGGCGTGGAGGTACCCGTTGACAACATCACTCCGTCAACTGAACTGCCTTCCCCGACTCCGTTGTCGCCAGCACCATGGCCGAGATTGAGCAGTGGTTCCAGGCGATCCCACCCGTTACGCGGGCATGGTTCGTCGCCTCTGCCGCGACCAGCGTCCTCGTTGTAAGCTGCACCACCCCGTATGCTAGCTAACATCAGTCCTGCCAGGTCATCGCGCCGCTGCAGCTGTACTTCTCCTGGAAGGCGGCCGTGATCAAGGCTCAACCATGGCGCATACTCACAACATTCTGCTACTTTGGGCCGATATCCTTCGACTTGGCCTTTCACATATTCTTCGTGTAAGCTACATTAATGGAGGTTGTAGCTGATACCCGCAGGATGAGGTACTCGCGCTTACTTGAGGAGCACTCGTTCATGAACCGCCGCGCCGACTATGTGTGGTTGCTCATGCTGACTGCGGGATTCCTCCTCGCCATCTCACCCCTCGTCACTATGCCCTTCCTCTCGACGCCGCTCAGCTTTGCGCTCGTATACATCTGGGCTAGGCGGAATCCGTCCATCAAGATGTCTCTCTTCGGCGTGGTGACGTGAGTCGTCATTTTCTCAGCCAGTCATCGTGAAGTTCAGCTGACATCAGTATTCCCGCTCCGTACCTCCCCTTCTGCCTTGCGGCCTTCTCCTGGCTCCTCCAGAACGGGTTCCAGGGAGCACTTGGCGATCTCGTGAGCTGCCCGAGCACCTACGCTAGCTAACGCCAGCTCGGCATCCTTGCTGGACACACTTACGTCTTCCTCCAGGACTACTGGCCGCGCGAGATGTGGTCAACAACGCCCGGCGGCGCAATTCGCACCCCCACCATCCTGTAAGCTCACTGTGCGGTCCTCATGAGCTTACAGCAGTAAACGTATCTTCGGGCAGCCGGAGCCGGAGTCGGAGCCTGCGCGCGACACCGCACTCGCTGCTGCGCCTGTCGGTCAGGCGAACTAACCTGTATCCATAGTAGAACCTAGACAATGCAATGCATGATTGTAACTCCTCTACAGCTCCTCGACGTCCTCCCACACGAACCGGTCGATACGGTGCCGCACCCTTCCCTCGGACTTGCCCGGTCCAGGCTCGACCCAACGTATCCGCTCCCACGGCCAGACGATGGCCTCAACCTTTCCCGTGATAAGCGCTACCGGAATCTGCCGTTAGTTTTGCGGCTACTCCAGCCAACTCACGGGTCCGTAGGTGTTCGAATCTATCGTGCGGTGTACGCTGTCGCCCTCGACCCAGCAATGGCCCTCCGGGATGAGGATGCTCGTAGCTTTTGACGGCGGTAGCGGCGTCACAATGTCACCCTCGAGCGCAACAATGCGTTTCGTCGTCAGAAGTTCCGGGTTCATCGGGGACCTGCTGTCAGCTCAGGCCGAAGCGCTGAAGCTCACCAGAGTGTCACAACATCGCCGCGGCGCAGCCTTCCTCGTGTGTCGTATCGTCCGTGGCTAAAGCCATAGCGGTTCAGGAGCACAACGTCACTTCCTGTCGGATTCTTGTACTGGTCTGGGTTGAATGTGGGCGCCATGCTGCCCCCGGAGATGCTTGCGAACGAGACACCGTAGTGCGTGATCACGCCGCCGACACTAAGCCATCCGATTCCTTTTCTGCTATGAGTTTCCGCGAAGCGTAGAGCAACTCACAATCCTGTCCGCACGACGGGCCATATCCGGCTTTTGAACGACATGGCTCTGGGCTGTGTACACTGTATGTGTACGGGGTCCAGATACGGTTGAGGCTCATCCGCCGGAGCAGACTGCGGCCTTCAATGTTCCTGTTCTCGGCGTCCGTCATGTGGAGGCACCTCACGTGACTGTCCCCACGTGCGGCTGAAACGGTGCGGGGGCACGCGTCGCCGATCGTGGATGACTAGCGTACGAGACCGGTTCGAAGTTGCCGACGTCACTGGTCTAAGTTGTTAGCTGCATTTTGCGACGCATAGTCTTTAACGCTTCCCCAACCCCCACATCCCCCGCTCCTCCCGCTCTTTTGCAACCGTCGCAACTCGCACGACCAGCACCCAGCCAGCATGGAGCAGGTCCCGGAGTACATCGACATCCCGATAGGTGCGACGCCGATCCCGACGCCGCGCGAGCTCAGCGGGCCCGCGCCCGTCAACGGCGATGTGCGCGTGAACGGCGTCAACGGCGTCAGCGAGGTGAACGGCCGCATACCCGTCCCCGGGTCGAGCTTCCCGCCCAGCCACTCGACGAGCACGCCCCAGAAGAAAGCATCCATCGGGAGCACCATCTCGAGCAATGTCTCCGACCTTGTGCTAAGCACCATTTTGCCGCCGAACCTTCCGACACTGCCTTCCCCGCCCCATGTCCACGGCAAGGCAAGGGAGTTGACGACTCAGAAGAACGGCCTCGGCTTGAACGTCATGACGGTTAATTTCAGGCGGTTCGTCACCAAGGTGAGCTCGAAAGGTACTTGTTGTAGCTGACATTCAGGTTGGACCTGTGTTCTGGATCCAGGACCGCGTAGAGGAGATTCTCTTCTGGCACAAGCCGATGTGGACGTGGGCTTTCATGGCAACTTGGGCGTTTATTTGCTTCAACCCGCGTGCTGTGCTGTTCTTCCCGACTGCGATTCTCCTGACGATCTACCTCAACTTCCAGGAGAAGAAGAACCCGATCCCATCGCTGCTGGGCGTCACTACCGCCCCCGCCGACCTTGGCACACACCGTGTGGGCAACTCGGCGTCAACGTCGTACTCGGCCTCGACTGCGCCGAATATGGAGGGCGCCGCTGTCGTACCTCCCAAGGAAGCTGAGAGCTCGGTTGACTACTTTATGAACGTTCAGGCCATTCAAAACCTTATGGGCCTTGTGGCTGACGGCTTCGACCTCCTTGCGCCCGTCTTCAGCTACCTTGCGGGCGAGACCGCCACGCCAACTAGCTTCCCGCTTGCACCGGCTCACATCGTGCTGGCGCTTCTCCCGCCTTCGATTGCGCTGCCGCTAGTCCCCGCGTGGATCTTCCCTTGGGCGCTGCTTCCCGTTGGCATCGTGCCTCCGCTGCTCTTCCACCCGAACCTCGTGACACTGTGGGGCAAGATCCCGCACGCGCGTGCGCTGCGTGTTGCCCGTCACCATCTAGAGGATGCGGTGCTGACCGACTGCCTGACCGATGACATCGGTTCGAAGCGTATTGCCCGCGTGCAGGTCGTGGAGAACGAGCGGCTCGACCCCTCCGTGGCCTCCAAGAACAACAGCAACACGACTAACGGGTGGTCCTCTCGCTTCCTACGGACAGGAGAGCGTCTTCCCTGGGTCAAGATTCGGGAGAGCTCGGCGTGGGCGCGCGATGACCTGTCTCCGCACGCCGAGGACGATGGCAAGATGGTCCTCGCGCTTGAGAAGGGGTGGAAGTTTGTGCCCGGAGAGGACTGGCGAGTCGATGTGTGTGCACTCTGGAGCGAGAGCGAGCCAGATGCCGATGGATGGATCTACACCGACGACTCGTGGTCGAACCCCGGCCCGCAGGTTGTCGATGACCCGACCGTCCTTCCGGTTGTGAGCAAACGCACAACACGACAGCGTCGCTGGTGGCGCCGAGTGTACTTCGACCCCGTCGAGGCCACCGCGGTTCCGGCTGCGCCGGGCTTCGACACGAAGCCCAAGGTCTACTAAGTTGTTCATTTCCTCTATACGCTTGTAGCATGTAATGCATACCCCTTGCCATCTTATGTCCTTGTATGCATGCATACTTGCTCCGCAACGCACACACAGCTGACAAGACGTTCGACGCCACCCGTCTCGCCACCAGGTCACGTGCCATGACGCACAACGCCCAGCTCAGGTCCGCGCCCAGGATCAGGTCCAGAAAAGTTGGACGCCGATCTCTCGCATCAGCCTTATCGCACTGTCGCCTTCCTTCGCCCGACAACGAAACAAAGGTTGCGCCATGCGCGGCGCAATTCCGACGACGCTGCTCCCGCAGCTCCCGCGGGCGCAGTACACGCTCTCGCCGCTGTGTCCCGGCGACCTCCTTGGGTATATGTCGGTCCTGAAGGACATGTACATGCCCCCGATCCATGGAGGTTTCACGGCCGGCGATGTCGAGCTCGATGAGGAGGACAAGGACGCCGATACGCAGCCTAACAACCGGAGACGAAGCCGCACGCTCTCTGGTGGCAGCGTCGACCTCGTCCCGCCGGGTCTCGGGCTGGAGATGGACGGCCTCAGTCTGCAAGACACGATCAAGGAACGTGCCGAGGACGAGTTCAGCGATTACAGCGACCACTCCGACTACGAGCAGGAGGGAGATGAGCCGTACAACGACCCGTTCGAGCGCGAGTGGGCCGAGAAGTGGCTGAACGGCGTCGTGCGCCGAGCGCAGACCTTCCTTGAGGAAGCCGAGGAGGACGCAGAGGTGGGCGAGTACGAGGCGATTCTCCGCGAGGCGACCGCCGTCCTCGCCATGATGGCGGGTACGTCTGCCGCCGGCAGTCTGACTCGACACCTCGTCTTCCCGCTTGCGCCTGAGCTCGGCCCAGCACTCCGCGCCATGCGTCCTGCCATCATGCCCGCCAACGCGGACCGAAGCCCCGAGACGGCCACCTTCCTTAACAAGCTGGCCACGAGTCCCTCATCCCCGACGGTGGGCATGTCCGCGCTTGCGCGGAGAAGGAGCTCGCACCACAGCCACGGCTCGAGCGTCGGAAGCGACGGCTGGAAGGGCGGCAAGCGGAAACCGGCCGCTCTGCCCGTACTTCTGCACGACGCGCCGATGAGCGACCACATCTCCGTCGGCGTGCAAACGTGGGGCAGTGCGATCCTGCTCGGACGCGAGATGTCCCTGCGTCCTGCCGACTTTGGCCTGTTTCCGCGTCCGGGGCAGACGTACCCTCATGGAGGCGGTACGCGCGTCCTCGAGCTTGGCGCGGGTACTGGACTGCTCTCGATTCTCTGCCGCAAGCTGCTCGACCTGCATGCTGCCACGAACGCGCTCAACACCTCGTCATCTGAGCCTCGGACACCGCAGACGGCCTCGACGCTCACGCCCACGACGGCCGATGCCGGCCTCGTCGTCGCTACCGACTTCCACCCGGACGTCCTCGCCAACCTCCGTGTATGTGTGGACCTGAACGCCCCGCCCCGCTTGCCGGGTCAGGAGGCTGGACCCGGCATCGAGATCGCCAAGTTGGACTGGACGACGTTCCCGGGCTACATGGCGTCTGGCGGCAAGGAGGGAGAAGAGGAGCTTGCACCCTGGCTCGACACGCCGTTCGATCTCGTGCTGGCTTCTGACTGCGTGTACGACCCGACGCACGCGCAGATGCTTCGCGACGTTGCTGGCTGGGTCCTCCGTCTGCCCGAGGGCGAGGACCAGGGCGGCACGATGCACATTCTCTCGCCCATCCGGCCGACCTTTACGCCTGAGCTAGAGAGTATTGACGTCGCCTTCCCGACGATTGAGAGCTATACGCCGCTCGCTGAGAGGAGGGCTGCCGCGGAGCAGGGCGAGGTCACGGACAAGGAGATGAGGGGAGAGGGACTGGGGCTCAAGCAGGGTCTCAAACTTGGTGTCCGCGGCGGCAAGAGGAGTGTCCGTGGACGCAAGGGAGAGGGACGAACGGACGAGGTCGCCGGATACTGGTGGTGGGAGGTCGGATGGGGCTAGTCGAGAAGTCACAATGCATTGGTTTGGTCTCATGGCACTCAAAGTGACCTGGCAGCTGTCTAACGATACTGTTAAGTCTGCGTCTCTGTGCACTAGCCCTAACATGGTTATCAGCAGGAGCAGGTGTTGAGACCGCCTCCCTGTTCGATGCACCAGCCACTGGACAGCGGCGGGGTGAGCCACAGCCTCACGAAGCTGCCGACACGCAGAGCTCTGCCAATAGTGCCAGATACAGGGATTGAGCTTGCAAGAGCGGGATTGCAGGTACTCGTGCAAACGATTCTGCCCTAACCATCTCACTGGCAGCGATCATGTCCCCGACGTCTTAACATTCAAAGTAAACGCCTTATTCGCCGTCGCTTAGTAGGAAACCTCGACTGCTTAAGAGCGAAGAAAGCCGCATAAATGCGGCCCACCATGGCAGGCTGACATTGCTCAGTGTTGTGGAGTGAGAGTTGGGCGGCAGCTTGTCCCCACCGTGGAGCGCCGTGATCCAGAATGGAGCCGCACAGCCGATAAGCTGCAACCAGGTGCTTTACCTGCTGGAGCTGGCTGGAGCTATGGGGCTTGGAGCGGTTGTATTCAGGAGGCATTAGGATTCAGAGTGGAGCGCTAATCCGGCAGTTCTACAGTGCGCTTGGCTTCCCAGAGCACTGCTCGCAACGAGACCGTTTCCGAAGTCGGTCCGCAAGCTCTCGTGCGACAACGGGGGCCGGTTAGGCTAGATCGTCACTGTTGACGGCTGGATTTGGCTGGGCCCAGCTCCTCGGTGAGGGCGGTTCGATGTGGGTGACACCCGGTGACGGTCTGGCCCAGGAGTTCTGACCTGAGTTCGCTTGGGTATACTTGGGCGAAGGGTTCTGCAAGGCTCCACATCTGCAGATGCCGCCAGACCCACCGCTTACAGACCGGGCCGCCCTGACTGAAAACAAGGGGTTCCATGAAATAGGAGTACGGACAATTACAGGCCAGGCGACTGCAAAGTAAGAGCCCGCTTACCCGTACCGCGCAAGACTGCTGCTGGGTGGTCACCGTGTTTGTGGTGCCGTGCCTGGACCTGGCCGCGCCTTCATTCTCGAATTCTGGCTATGTCATTGCTCGTCATCCTGGCAGATCTTCTGCAGAGGTGGTTACCAGTCGCCGCATCCGTTCGAGTAACCCAGTCACTCTGTCCAGCCGCCATCAAACGGGCCCCCACCCGCACAGGGGCGCGTCCCCACGTCTGCCGGATCATTGTCTGTATACAGGAACAGTGCAGGTAGCCCCACCAAGATGATGCTGGTTGGGTTCGTGGGATTCGAGATCCCACCACCCGCTCTGCCCGCGACGTCGCGCGATCACGTATATACTTCTCCATGTATCCTCTTAACTCCCCATCTCGACCCTCGTCAACAACTTTTCTGCTCTGCATCGACTTGATCAGTCACGATCATCAGATCGCCCTCCGATACGATACGACTTATCCAGCTAGCTGGACGATACCCGCTTGCTTTATATCCGTCCTGTTCCCCGTCTGACTCACTGCTCGCTCGACCCTAGCATGCTCAGCACGCCGTCAGCTCCCGCACCGCCTGAGCTCTCGCTACGCTATGCGTACGACCCGCCCTCGAAGAACGTCGGCTTTACCCCATCAGCGAGGAAGGCGCTGCAGCGCTCCTTCTCATCGACCTCCACCTCGCCCGTGCTCTCAGCACACCCGCAACCGGCGCCGACCGTGCTCCCTGAAGCAGTTCAGCGTTCTCCGATCCGAGACGGAGCTCTCGATGCATCACATCCCTGGCTCAACGCCAGCGACCGACAGAACTGGATCCTCCGCCTCGCGATGGCGATAACGGCGAACGACCCCATCGCAGCTACGAAAGCATGGCGCGGCCTCGCCGGCAGTCTCTATCCCGCCGAACGCACTGGTGCCCTCTTCACCCGCCGTGACCGAGATGGCGGCGCCTTACTGCTGCAGACGCACCAGAGGCGACCTCGCGCAGCTTTAGCCGATGCCATTGAGGGCCTCACGAAGAGCTCGGCGTGGCTCGCTCTCTGCGCTACCGGCAGCAAGTTCAGCAGACTAGCTGTCCTCCCCAACTCTGCAGACGCTGCGCTCGTCATCGCCGTCGAAGTCTCCGACACCACGAAGCAGAAGGGCTGGGCAATTCCGCTGAACGAGTTCCTGGCCACCGCTACCGATACCGAGCTTGATGGCCTGTGGGCGTGGGATCTGAAGCCCCGCGCTCTCGATGCTGGAGCCGTCCACACAATGTGGACGACTGTGCGTGCGATCGGCACACCTGGCGATGAGGCCAAGGCGGCCGCACATGGCGCTCATGTGCTGGCCCGCTCGACACCAGTCAGTACGGGACACCGTGGGTGCAGACTGGCCCCCGCCGTTCCCGACTGTGCTGCTTCGATTCCCGCCCCCGTTCCCGCTCGTCTCCGCTGCTCCCGCAAGAGCACCCCTACCCCGACTTCGGGGTCTGAGAGAAGGAAGAGAGACTTCACGCCTCCGCCCATCGGGAAGGAGGAGGAGAGGAGCGCGGCAAAGGCGTACCGTGCCGAGAAGAAGAGGACGAAGGTCACAGAGTGGCTTGACGCCCTCAGTATCGACGACAGTGAGACAGACCCGGAGGTAGAGGAGCACCAGTGTGGGCTGGAGAGGGAGTGTTTGCTTGTCTTCGTTGGTGCAGGCGAGTTCGAGGAGGTCATGGAGCACCGTGTTGGGAGTGCGAGGCCGCATAGCGCCGGCTCAGCCAAGTCGACGTAGGCTTGGAGGTCATCGTTTTATCACAGACGTACTCGAATAATGACCTCTAACACTGACCGCGGCTTGATTGTTGTAGCCTTAAGACACTGTATCATAGATGTATCGTAGAAGTTGCCGCAGGCTTGACCACTTACCGGCTCTTGAACGGCGTTCTCGCCGTCCTCGGACTAGTGTGATGCCAGGAAGCGTGCCTTGCGCTAGATATCACCGTTGTCGGAAGTACGTCAATGGACGCTTGGTGGGAAAGTGGCACTCGTGCTTCCTGCCACGGATGGTGCGATCGTCGTCAGGTCCCTCAAGTGGTCAAGTTTTGCACCCCAGCTTCTCTCGACCACCGTTGGCCCCGGTATTAGTATTCAGCTCCGAGACAGTAGCAAGTGCAGCAAAAAGTTCGCGGCAATGAGCGTATCACATGAAGACCTATTAAAAGAGGAGAGAGAAAAATGAAAGAAATGAAAAAGCAAGACCCCGTGCCCAAATCCCGAGATACGTTTTTACAGTTATGTGATGAGATCAGATGGTGAGAGGATGAAGTCGTGGCGAGAGCGTGAGAGCACGAGCATGGAGTCTATGTCTAGATACACTTTTTGAATGGCACTGCGTAGTGCCAGGATGGGAGAGGCGTTTACCAGTGGGGAGCGTTGATGAAGAGACCGCAGAGACAGCCGGCGGCGACACCGGCGACGGGGACGGTGAGGACCCAGCCGAGGAAGATGTGGCCGAACGCGCGCCAGTTGACAGCCTTAGGGCCACCGGAGACAAGACCGACACCGGCGGTGGCACCAGTGATGCACATCGTGGTCGAGACGGGGATACCGTACTGCGAGGCGAGGAGGACAGTGATGGCAACGCCGAACTCCATCGAGAAACCACGCGAGGGCGACATGAGGGTGAGGCGGTTACCAAGAGCGAGGAGGATGTTGTAGCCGTAGGTGGCGAGACCGATGACGAGCATGGCAGCACCGAAGACGAGGACCCAGGTGGGGGTGGGCGTGTCCTTGGGGGTGACAACACCCTTAGACCAGACGTAGTAGATGGCAGAGAAGGGGCCAACAGCGTTGGCGACATCATTGGCACCGTGGGCGAAAGAGTTGGTGCAAGCAGTGATGACCTGGAGGTACGAGTACATGTGCTCGGTCTCGTTGTCGTACTGGTTGGCGTTCTCGTGCATCTCGCGGATACGCGCGGCCTCCTTGTCGGTCTTGCCCTTCTGAGCCTCGTGGACATCGAAGTTCCAGCCCTTCAGGAGCTTGCCGGGGATCTTGTAGCGGATGAGGATCCAGAGGTTCTGGGGAAGGAACCACGAGCCCTCGATCTTGTGCTGGTCCTCCTGCTCGAGCTCGGCGAGGCGGGCAGGCTGGGCGGGAGCGGGCTGGTTGTGGAGCTGGGGCTCACCAGCCTCGACGTCCTTCTCGGAACCCCAAGCCTTGCCCTCAATCTCGGCCTCGTTCTCGATCGAGTTGTTGCCAGACTCGGCACCAGCGACAGGAGGGGAAACAACAGCGACAGTCTCGGAGGTGGTGCCGGCAGGGCGCTCGTCGTCACGGCCGTAAACACGGTAGTCCTGGACGTGCTGGTGGTTGGGGTCCTCGTGGGCGGGGGGAGCAGGGCGCTTCCAGAGAAGGGGGCCGAGGGGGAAGTGCCACCAGCGGAGGGTGTAGTCGCGGCGAACAACCTTGCAGTAGACGTAGGGGATCCAGAAGATGATAGCAAGGATGGAAACGACGAGGGCGGTGAGGACGATCGCAAGGGCGATGGTGACCTCAGGCAGCTTGTCGAGCTTGAGGGAGGGTGAGCCCTTGTAGACGATAGACATGGTGAGGACAGCAATGACAGTGAAGAAGTAGAAGGGGGAGAGCATAAGGCCCTTCTTGAGCGAGTTCTTGCGGTCAAGAACAGCAAACTTGGTGATCAGGTAGACCACGGCAGCGAAACCGGCAGAGATGGCCGGGGCAATACCGAAGCCGGCGAAGATGGTGGCGAGACCCTTGCCGTTGTTCCAGCCCCACTGGACAGCGCCAGCACCCTTGAGGGCAACACCGACGCCGGCGAGGGCAGAGACAATGGAGTAGGTGGTGGAAACAGGCCACGAGTTGTAGGTGGCGATCATGAGCCAAGTGGCAGAGGCAACAAGGGCGCAAGTGAAGCCGAGCATCTGGACACCCGGGTTGTTGTCGAAAGTGGAGAGAGAAATGATACCGTTCTTGATGGTGCCGGAAACCTTGGCTCCGACGAGTACAGCTCCTAAGAATTCACAGATGGCGGCCAAGCAGGTCGCCTGCCTCATCGTGAGGGAGCGCGACGAGACCGAAGTCGCGAAGGAGCTGCATTGTTAGCAAGTGTTCCCAAAGAGCCGCGGTTGAGATCTCATGTGGTGAAGACTTCTCGCCACTGAATCACACGACCTCACACGACCCGATTTCTACTCACTTGGCGACATCGTTGGCACCGATGTTGAACGCATCGAGCGCGGCGAAGATGACACCAATGGCGAAGATGTAGTCGTACTCGTGAAGGTAAGGCATCTTCGCTCGATCTTCTGTCGGTTGGAGGAGAAAGAGTGAGCTTCGAGTGGATGGGGATCAGTAGACTGGCAGGCCGCTTCTCCTTTTATCGGTTCGAGAGCTCTAGCGCTGCCTGGGGTCCTTTGACACTTCTCCCGGGACACAGGTCGAGGTCATGAGCCCACTCTCGGAAGAGTGACTTGGGCACTGCGCCCGTTCCGGCGTCTTGAGCAACAAGCCGGGCATCAGTCGGGGCTTCTCGTCTGTCGTCGCCATCTGACCTGGCGTGCCCTGTGTCGCCTGCACGGCCTGTCCCAGGAACACCTGATCCAACTCGCTAGTGCGGAGAACGTTTCTGTACGGCCAAGTCCAGAAAGTCTTGGCATGAAGGTCAGTAGGAGATCTCTTCATGTCGCTGTCCCGACACGTCATTTGACTGGCTTAGATTCACCGCCCATGTAGCTGTCGTTCGGACCTTGCGCCAGATGATGCTGATAGCGGCTCGATAGGGAAGCTGCAGGGGGACTGGGACGCGATGTCTTGGCATCTTTCAGGTCCCAGAAACGTTCGTGGAATTTCAGTTAAGCGTCTTTTTCGGCGTAGGACATGTGCCCTTGCACCTCTGCGCGTGTCGCGATCGTCAGCAATCTTTCTCGAGCGAGAACAAGATGAACAAGAGCAGATAACATGTCACAAGACCACTTGGCAAGGAACTCATAGCGACGATCACTCCCATAAACTGGTGCATGTTGTTTTTAGAAACCACGTCTGTTCTGTAATGGACTAACGAGGGTGCTGCGGGGATAGCGGGGTCACCGATTTCGAAGCGAGGGGCATCCAAGTGGATCCGCACATACCGAAGTCAACAGTGGCTCTCATTCGTTCAACGGACATTAGAGTTTCATCGCGGTCCTTTGGATATACGGAGGAGAGGTGCCCCGATCAGCAGAAAAGACGTGATTGGGCACCTCTTGCTGACACAGGCCTTATAGAGGAAAGGGAAGCGGTATCTCGGCACGGATGAGAAGGAACGTGGGTGAGTATACTGCAGGGAGCTCAAGTGCCACAAGTCTAAAAACGGACGGTGCCTGAGACCGCGGTCTTGGCATCGCAATCGACAAACGTGCGTCCGCGCCATCCTGTCATCTTCCTTCCTCCCACTCTTCATCCCGCCCATGTCCATTTGCCTTCCCACTTCGACTTTGCTCGCATCCATGCCTGCCGCTCCAGCCACTCCATGCGCTCTGCGAGGCACAGCAGTCACATGCTTGATGTCCGTCGTACCTCGATATTCAGTATCGGCGACTTGATCTCTAGCGTGGACACCTTCTTGTCCAGCCCCGCCTGGCCAGCTGAAGGGATCTCGCCCACAAACGTGCTTTGCCGTCACTGAAATCTCGGATGTCTGCCGAACGGAAGCTTCTTGCGATCCTGACCAATGGCTATCACACCATCTCAATACTGATGCTCCGGCCTCCTGCCCAGCTTGCCCAGCTTGCCCAGCACACCCGAAAACCGAGCGCAGCCATGCCATGCGACCCGTACATGCCAAGGGCGACCCGTACACACCACCGACCCCCTTGACATCACTGACAAGAATGCCGAGCCAGAAGGCGCAGATCCCGCGGATGTTGGAACTCTGAGTCTCTCCGAGGGCGCAGCTCGCAGTGCTTGGGCCGGTGAAACTCAGTCGGCAGCCTCCGACATGTCTATGGCACAGCGTGGCCGAACCGTTACGATCTTCAGGACCCTTTCAGAGTCCAGTGAACATTGCGCCAAGAGAGCCGTGCCTTGGGCGTGAGTTTCTCGTCCAGCAACGTGCTCGCCTGCTCTCTTGCCGGACCGCCGGAGCCTGCGGGCCGTAACAACTGCCGCACCAGCCAGGCGGCCGGGTCAGGCGAGCACCCCGCAAGCAACTCCTTGCCCGGAAAAATCGCTTCTTCGCCGACATTCAGAGGCGTACCTAAACCTGACCTCGGAATTGTTTAGTCGCCGCACGTTGTGTGACTGGCTGCCCTCGTGCCCGTGGGCATTGACCTAGCCGTATAGCGCACGACAGTAGCCGCGCCGATCCGTGATATCGCCGTTTGCGTTGCAGCCGCCATCGGGTGGCTCGGACGACCTGACACTGCTCTCGAGACCACGTTCTTGATTTTAGATGTCCGGTACGGCTAAGCTCTGGCATTTCACGCTAGTGTCACATCCCTTCAAGGCCAAGGAACGCATCACCGCCTCCACACCTGCCTCTCAGCTGATGCGGCCGCCGCCTCCTGCTGAGATGAAGCCAACTCACGTTCCCAGCTGAACCGCCGGAGCGCAAGGTCCGGTGGGACTGAGGTCTGTCATGAACTTTACTCAATCAGAGCAGGCTAAGGGTATCTGATATGACACGATCGGCCCAAAGTACGACGTCAAGCGAGCTAGCGGGCGAGTTTTCGACTGAACGCTGAGCTGTGGTCCGCTCGTGCTGGTGGGCTCCTCTTCGCGGTTCGCCGCCCCTGCCGTGCTGATTAAGTTTGGGGCCTGAGGACCCCGCTGCAAACACTTACGCAAACGTGCTGCGAAGTCTGGCGACCGACCTGACCGACATGGGAAGCATCAACACTTACCCAATGACTCGCCCGAAGTATATAACCAGAGTTTAGCTCAACATGTGATGTTCCCCACATCAAGGCTTCCAATTTCCTGGACACCATGTCCGCTCTCCTCCTCGCTGGTCTCCTCATCGGAGGTGTCAACGCGCAGACGTTCCGCCGCACTGCGGCGTGCCCGACTCTCGGATGTGTGTTCCCTCCCGACCAGGCTGACTTCATCTCTGGACGTGAGTGACTTTCTTCACGCTCCCCCAGTCTCTACACCCCCTCTAAGCCCCCAGTTCGCTCCGGACTCGGTGGTCACCGCATGGAGCTCTCGCGCGCAGGCATCGACAACTCCAACTCCATCTCTGCAGCGCAGCACCGGCCGTAGTGCTGAGATCCGTGTCAGATCTCGGTCTCCGTACTTCTCATCGGGCCGTCCACCGAGCTCCGCGTCCTGGCCTACGCCAAGCCCACCCACTCTGCCCTTAGTCCACCACCTGACTAACATCCAGAAACGTTCGACATCCGTATCGAGGTCCAGGCTCCGGTCAATGGCTCCGAGGCGTACAACGGCGGCAGCCAGGACTCGAACTTTGAGCTCAAGATCGGCGGCAAGGGCGCCGAGCTCATCCCTGTGACGCAGTTCTTCAACCTGCCCGAGCCTGAGCTCAAGAACTACACGTTCCACTACTACGAGGACCTGTTCGCCGAGGAAGAGGGCCGCCCGACCCTCGTCAATGTCTTCTCCAAGACTTACCGCAATGTCCAGCTGCACAACCCGGGGCAGTATGAGCTCAGCCTCTCCTACCACAATGGCGAGGAGACCAAGGCGACTTGGGGCGTGAACGAGCGCAAGCCCGTCCAGGGCTGCAAGCCGAAGAACCTTCTCGTTTTCATCGGTGACGGCATGGCCACCTCGATGATCAGTGCCGCGCGCCTGCTCGCCCACAAGACGATCAACGGCAAGTACCAGACGACGCTCAAGCTCGACGAGGCGACCGCCTACGGCTCGCAGATGACGCACTCGCTCGACAGCTTCATCACCGACTCGGCCAACTCGGCCTCGTCCCTCTTCACCGGCAAGAAGATGACGGTTAACGGCCTGAACGCGTACACGGATAGCACTGGCGATGGCACCGGTCTTGAGAACGCCAAGGTCGAGACGGTTTGGGAGATGTTCCGTCGCCTCACCGGTGGCCAAGTCGGTATCGTCTCCAAGGCTTACATTGCCGACGCCACCCCCGCGGCGGTGTGCACGCACACGTCCCAGCGCGGTCTGTACGACACGATCATTGAGCAGTACCTCGTCGGTCTCATCCCCAACACCTCGGACTACCGTGCGTGGTACCCGTGGCAGGGTGTCGATGTGCTGTTCGGCGGTGGCGGCGAGAACTTCCTCCCGGGCAAGAAGAACGGCAATGTGTCGCAGTTCGAGCGCTGGGAGAAGGCCGGGTACCAGCTGGGCTACACGAAGACGGACCTGGAGGGGCTGAACAACGACGACCGCGCGCTCGCCATCTTCACGCAGGGCAATATCTCGACCTGGCTGGACCAGCACGTGTTCACCGACACGCTCAAGCTCGCCAAGCTTGCCAACGGCACCGAGGGCGCGTATGACCAGCCGGGGCTCAAGGACATGACACTCAAGGCGATCGACATCCTGAGCACGCGCGCCAAGAAGCGCAACACGGGCTGGGCGCTAATGTCCGAGGCGGCGCTGATCGACAAGCAGATGCACGTGCAGGACGTGGACCGGGCGCTGGGCGACCTGCTCGAGCTGGACGACACGGTGCGCGCGACGCTGGAGCACCTCGAGTCCATCGGCGAGCTCGAGGACACGCTCGTGGTCGTGACCGCGGACCACGGGCACGGCTTTGACGTCTTTGGCAGCACGGACACAAAGTACCTCCAGTCCAAGAAGACGGCACGCGAGAAGCGCAACGCTGTCGGCACGTACCTCAACTCCGGCCTGTCCAATTACGTCGTCCCGCACGACGTCAGCGCGACAAACCACACAATCTTCACTGGCCCCCAAGGGCCGGGATTCCCCGTGACGTGGGACCCGCGGTACACCATTGCGCACGGCTGGGCCGCGTTCCCGGACAAGCGCGAGGACTTCCAGGTCAAGAAGGCGCACGAGCGTCTCCCCGCCGTCAAGGACAAGGAGAAGGGCGACGGGTACTTCTTCAACCCCCTCGATGCGCCCGATGGGTTCGAGATGACCGGCAACATGAACGTGGGCGAGGCGCAGGGCGTGCATTCGCTTGTTGATGTGCCCGTGTACGCCTGGGGTCCCGGACACGAGATCTTCCGCGGCGTCATGAGCAATGTCGACATTGCGTTCCGTATCGCCCAGGCCATGGACCTGGGTCGCGACAGGAACGAGACCAAGCCGTACCAGCCCTAAGCTGAGAGGCGAGCGCAGCGAGCCGAGCAGTGTGCTTCGGTTGCGCGGTAGAAACAAAAGGCAACAGCAGTAGTTTCCGGGTACTAATAATCAGTAGAACATTGATCAGTAGAAGTCGATGACTGGAGTGATGATGCATGCAATGTTAATGACAGTTTAGACAGCTGTGTTGATCTATTCTTCTACTCTTCCTCTTTACCTCCTCCCCTACTCCCCATCTCTCGCTCAAGCCTTCTTCTCCTGACCCACAGGGTTCGCAGGCAAGTTCTCATACTGGTCCCACCCCATAGACTTTTCGACGACCTCGAGCGGCGCGTCGGGCACGAGGTGTCCCATGTCGTTGCGCTTCGCCCTGAAAAAGGTGTAGGAGAGGATCACGTCGTCGACCTGGTCCAGCGTCGGGTCGTCGATGATGTCCCGGTCAATGAAGAAGAAGACGGGCAGGTCGACTTCCTCGCCCGCGCGGATCTTTTGCTCCTCGAAGCAGAAGCACTCCACTTTGGCGAAGTAGGGCGCGATCTGGGGGTCAGCGGGAGTTCATGTGAGGGAGGGACGTTGGGGAGAGGGGGATTGAGGAGGGGAGTGAGGAGGGGAGTGAGGAGGGGGATGGGGAAGGGGGAAGGAGCAATGTAGAAGGGCTAGGGAAGGGGAGCCGACGACTCCGCAAGTCACCGCCACCCCTTGCGGAGTGGGCCACTTGCGCCACCTTGGCTCGGCCGGTTCGGCCACCGGTCGGAAGACTCAGTTTACCAAAGCCAGAATGGCTGTGTGTCCTCGAAAGCTCCGGAGGAGCCTGTCCAGCTCTCTGTGTCGGCTCTGGACATGGCGCGGACACTCGCCGCGGAGATGAACACTGCCCGCTCCGTCTTCTCTTCAGACCCTCCGACCTTCCAGTCCTGCCTTTCCTGCCTTTCCTTCCTTTCCTTCCCGGCCTCCTCGCCTTATGTCCCGCAGTACCTCAACAAGAAAACTAAGCTCACCTTCTCCGGCGTCATGTTATACGTCGCAATGCCGATAAGATCCTGATCAGAGTGATTCGTGGCCGTGTAAAACGCCAACGCCGTCTGTCCGGGCACAACCGTCACACTCTTCTGGACAGGCGTAAAGCTCCACGGCAGGGTATCGCTGCTCGTGGCCTGGAACCGGACCGTGATGGGTCTTCCCTTGCTCTCGTCCGTCGCGTACAGCTTGTGCGCCTCGAACCGACTGGGGTCCGTCATGGGTGTGCCGGCGTAGCCTGTCGCGGCGCAGAAGGCGCGATAGGCCGGCACGGCGGCATAGGTGGTGGCGGTTGCGAGGGCTAGCGCCCCAACGACGTACAGCATGATGGAGCGGTTGTGCTTCATCCGCTGCGCGTAGTGCTGGTTCAGACGGTCGTGGTAGCTCTGCCCCGCCTGGCCTGGCCGAGGCGCTGAGTGCCCGGCCGGTCCGGCCGTCGCTGTTGGTTTCGGCGTCGGCGTCGGAGGCGGGGGAGGGGGAGCAGCAGAGTACGCACGCCGGCATAGCGGAGACGAGAGTGGCCGTGTTGTTAACCGAGCCTGCACGGCGTGATGGCGGAGGACGGAGCGCATCATGGTGGGTGGTCAGAGGGGTGTCGGGTTGAGAGTGGCTCGGCCTCACTGACTTTTATCAGGACGAGTGGCCGGGATCTTGCGGGTTGGTCGTACAGGGGTGGGCTGAATAAGCCGCGCGCGACTCCGAATCGTCGTTGCGTCTCCGAAATCACCTCGACTGACGCGACTGTGCGCCCCTCCTCGAGATCACTGGATCAAAGCTACTCGGGTGCATGCTCGGGAGGCGTACGACCATGTGCTGATGACCGGATTGCTGACTGATCATTACTTTGCTCTCGTCCGTGCATTGCACCCCAGTTTCCGCCTGTACGTGTGCGCCAAAGTTCTTTCATATTAAGTAAAGAATGGTATTACGGCACAACCATACATATCACCAAGACCAAACAAATCAGAGTCCAAGGTTGAGGGTGGTATCAGTTCGACCGGCGCCGAAGCTCATGCCCGAAATGAGCTGACAGCCAGCGGTCTGGTCACGGTCCAAGTGCCACCACTGAGCGCGCTGAGCACGCCGAGCAGCGACCCAGAGACTGCAACCCTTCGCGTCTCTATACATGCACGATGCGATGCAATGGCTTAAGCTGCTTACTGAGCCTGCGGCGCAGCACCCTCAGCCGGCTCGAGGCAGCTGAGGGGGACGACACCGCGGTTGCCGGCCTCGTCCTCGCACAGGCACCATCCGTCATCGTACGTCTGGTGCAGGAAGAGGTTTTGTCCCTGGGTGATAGCTGCGTGGGTCAGCGGAAGTCTTCATTCGTCGAATGATCCAACTCACCCAGTTCATCCTCGAGACTGCGAACGAATCCAACCTTGACGTTGACCTGCATGTTGTCGTGGAGACCAGCGGGAGCCGGAACACCAACCATCGACTGGCGCTGGTTACCGCCAGCGGCAGCAGCACCAGCGGCGCCAGCAGCGGCGGCACCGCCAAGAGCAGCGGCACCAACGCCAGCAGCGCCGACACCGTTGTCCATGAGAGGCTGCTGGTGGGGGACCTCACCCATAGGGGTGCCGTCGGCGTTGTAGCCGGCGTAAGCGGCGCCAGCACCAGCACCAGCCATGCCGCCGGCACCGGCACCGGCCATTCCACCGGCGACAGCGTTGTCGGTGTAGGGGAACTGGGGGTAGGGCGATCCAGAAGCGTCAAACTGGCCGTAGTTGGCGTAGTTGGGGTCAGCACCACCGTTGTAGTAGGCGCCAGTGGTGTCGGCACCAGTGTCGGGCGGGAACGAGGGCTGCTCCTGCATGGGGAACGACTTCTCGTAGGGCATGTCGTCGACAGCGGGGGCAGTCTGCCAGGGCTCGAACATGGATTGGGCGTTCAGAGTGCGGCGCTGGCGAGAGCGGCGGCGGAGGAAGCTCGTGGCGATAAGGGCGATGAGAGCGACACCAGCGACACAGCCGATAACGATACCGGCAATGGCACCGCCGGAGAGACCGCTCGAGCCACCGCCGTTGTTGGACTGAAGGCCGGCGGCGCCGGTAGCCGAGGTGTTGGGCCTAGGGCTGGCGGACTGAAGACGGACATCGACGAGCGTGGTGGAGGTGAGAGGGCCGCCGTCAACGGAGGAGGGAACAGAGTTAGTAGAAGAGGAAGAGTCAGCAGCCGAGGAAGAGGAGGACGAAGAAGGCGCGGCGGACGACTCAGTCGAAGACGGCGCAGCCGAAGACGAGGGCTCGGCGGAAGACGAAGGCTCAGCGCTGGACGAAGGCTCGGCGGACGAAGTGGAGGAGGGAGGCGCGGCGGACGAAGTCGAAGACGAGGTGGGCTCGGGCTCGTTGGACGAAGGCGGCTGGGTCGACGAGCTGCTGGGGGCGGCCGAAGACGAAGTCGTGCTCGAAGACGTCGGCTGCGCGGAGGTGGTCGGCTCAGCCGAAGAAGTGGTGGGGTCGTTGGAGCTGGTGGGCTGAACAGACGAGGAGCTGGGCTCTACAGTGGACTGAGAGGTCGTAGAGACATCTACGGCATCAGACCCAGATCCCTGTTGAGAAGTCAAGCTGGGAGCAGAACTGCCTTCGGTGCCAGCACCATCGGCGGTCAGTCCCGTACCCATACCTGAAGATGAAGGGGGGGCGGCCATGGCTGGATGAGAGCGCCAATCAGGAAGAATGTCATCCAATAAACCCATATCGAGAGCCGTGATGAATGATTGTGTTTGTGCGTCGTAGTCGTGTTTGAAAGGAGCGTGATGGTCGACAATAGGGGAGGGATGTCGTCGCGCAGAACAAAGAGTTTCAGAAACGGCGATGGAATGGACAATGAGAGGAAAAGCGAATGTCAGCACGCTGTACTACCCGAGCCCACGCAAGAGGCAAAAGTGTGATGAGAAGGCGGCGGCGCGATCGGGCCAGGATGAAGGAAGACTGCGATACACCATCGGATAGCGCGTCCAAGCGATCTGAGGACGAACACGTCTTCCCCCGGATTGGGGCCTGACCACATCTGTCCGCATTCCGGATGCCCGTCCGAACCCATCCCAACACGCGTAATCGGCACGCGGTACTACGCGTCTAGGCCCTACACTAGTGTCGAGTGACGTTCAGGACTCATGCTCTCAAAGAGGCCCACAAGTGCCGATCCAGTAGAGTCGGTAGCGGCGAGATGGACGCGCAGCAGTGCGCAGTTGAAGGTTGGGCTTTGAGGGCGAGGGAAGGCATACTCACCGAAAAGATCAAAGGGGGACGAGCGTTTCGGAGTAGGCGGAAGGTTAAGGCGGGCTAGGCGGTACGGCGGGATCTAGTCAGTGAGACTAGATGTGTGACAAGAACAAGCGTCGTTGTGTGAGAGTGAGGTGGGTGAAAGAGAGAGTGTTGTGGTCGATGTAGGACGGGAAGAATGGAGGCTTGGCCGTAAGGCGTAGGGTCGGGGGGTCGGTGTGACTAAGGACTAAGGGGGGGAGAAAAGAGTCTGAAAAGACTATGTCGAAAAGGAAACGATGGTGAGGGGGGAAAGAGGTCAAAGAGCCAAAAGAGCGTCGCTGCTGGAGCTGAGCACAGATAGCCGTGGTGGTTGAAAGAGAGAGAGGGTGAGGGGCGATGAAGAGAAAGGAAGAAGGGGGGAAGACCACTGCGACAAAGGCGCAGGCGGGGGGTGCAGCGTGTGCACGGTCAGCGTACCTCGCCCAGTGTCCCAGCAGTGCTGCATTGCTGCCATCGACGCGAGCCTCAGTCAGACTCCGGGTGCAAGCCCCGGAGCCAAGAGGCGAGAGGCTTTCTGAGACCTTTGCTGTGCGCTGCTGGCTGGGCGCGGTGCCGACGGGGAAGGGATGGGGGCGCTGCTACGCGTGGTCGGGCGCTCACCCTGGCTCACCCTGGCCTCACCCTGGCGCCTCAAGTCCAGAGCCGGGGCGCAATGTCTCCGCCCGCCCTTGGGTCTCTTGCTGACAGATGCATCCATCGCTCCGCGCGGCCTCGCATCCTTCCCCCTTTTGTCTCCGTCATCCCCCTCCCTCTTCTCCCTTCTTCTCTTCCTGCTGCTGGCGGTGCCTTTCTGTGCCTCGCCCGGGTTGCCTCACGCGCCGTTACTGGCTGCTGCGCACTCAACGCGCTCTGTCAGCATTTCTGCAGGCTCGACGGGCGTTACTATATTCCGCTACAGACTTTTCCCTAATACTGCAACGCCGAGTAATTCCAGGCACGGTCAGGCACAGCCTGACGTGTACATGAGGTGGA